CAATTCAATTCAATTCAATTCAATTCAATTCAATTCAAACAATAAATCAAGTCTTCAGTCCTTGGCAGCGTACGCGCAGATGATTACAGCCCTCTAGTCCAGTCTAGTACAGCCAGCCCATTCAATGGACCCCATTCACACCGTTGACGCCGTTCACACCGTTAGTACCGTTTACGGCCTGCTTCTTCAAACCCAAAGCACCCCTGACCACAATCGGCACATATCCAGCAATGGCGTCGGTACCAAAGCTGTTCATGTTGATGGTGTCCTCAGTGCGCATCATCTTGCGAGCGCGGATGTGCTTGACAGCGCGCTCCTGCTCGGGTGAAAGATCCGGGTTGTAGCCCGTGCCGTTTTCGGCTGCCTCCTTCATGGCCTTTTCGCGATCTGCATCCGACGAGATGGGCTCGAAGGCGTACGCGCAGAACTCCAGCGTCTTGTTGAGCTCCTCTTGGGAGAGCTTGTTGTTGTGGGCGTCAGCTGTGCCCTGGATGACTGTTGCTTGGTGTTAGCGCCCGTCTAGGTCAGGTAGGTGAGCCGATTGGCATCTCCACTTACTGGGCCTGAAGAAGGCAAAGGCGCGGTCAAAGTTGTCCTCGTCAAAGTCGCTCAGCACAGGTTCTTCTTGGTGGCGGATCTGCTTGTAGGCGCTCAGGACAACAAGAAGGAAACGGGTGTAGGCGTCCGAGACCTTCTTACTGTGCCATTCGGCGGCATCGGACTCGCTGCAGTGGCCGCGGATGGAAGCGCAGATGGTGGTGGCCGCCGAGAGGCCGCCCGTCAGCGCGAGGTGGACGCCCGAGGAGAAGTAGGGGTCGATGAAGCAACCGGCGTCACCGACAATGCGGGCATGAGGGAATGCGTACGACGAGGCGCTGTACGAATAGTCGGAAGCGCTCTTGATGCTGCTGACGAAGCGGCCCTCGCCTATGAGAGCAAGCAAGTTGGGTGCCAGCTTGAGTGACTCATGGTAGAACTCGGAGGAATCCAGGGCCTTCTCCCGCTTCTTGATCGTTGCCAGTTTCTGGTTCATTACGACACCGACAGAGACAGTGCCGTTGTGCAGGGGAATGAACCAGGCCCAACCGCTTTCATCTACGTTCTGTCAGTATTCCTTCGTTGCGTCTCACAGTGCGGTAAAATGAACCCACCTTGCAGGGCCTCGAAGAATGGCGAGTTCTCCCTCGTCGTGCCTGGAGCATACTTGTTACACCCCTCCCAGTAGCCCCAGTTGGCAACGTTCTTGAGGCCCTGGTTATATCGGCGATTCTTCATGTACTTAGTACTAAGGATTCCGATACGGCCGCTGGCATCGACCACATAGTCAAAGGCAATCCGGCCACTTTCCTTGGTCTCCTTGACCTGGTAGGTGGCAGCGACCGGGCGACCGGGCATGAGGTTTGGCTGGTCATCTGGTACCTGAGTGGCATCCTCAAACTCGATCGACTTGACCGAGACACCGTCAAAGATCTTGGCTCCCATCTCGCCGGCGTGGCGGAACATGAGGTCGTCGGCCTCGGACCGCACCACGTTCCAAGCATAGTTGTTGGGGCCGCCAGCAGCCAAGAAATCGGTGTCTGCCACCCGTCAGACTTATGTCGCATCGTCTGTACGGCCAGCATGAATATGGTACTTACAGCCCTCACGCTTGTTCTTGTTCAGCTTGAAGGCCGCGCCGGGCTGTGGACGAGCCGTGTCAGTCCATCTGAAGCAGCATACCCTGACGCACAGGAGTCCTCACCTTCTTGACGAACCCGTACGCGTCAAACTTGGAGTCCAGCTCCACAAACTTGAGCAAATGGCGCATCGAGGCCAGCATACTCTCACCGATGTGGTACCTAATATTGGATATCAGTCCCGATTCTATGGCATCCCTGCTTACGTTAGGTAACTACCCACCTGGGGAACTTGTCTGCCTCCAGAACTACCACATCTATGCCCTCACGAGCTAGAACAGAGGCCGTGTAGGAGCCCCCTGGCCCAGCCCCTATCACAAGGACAGTGCATTTTTCCGGGATGGACAGAGACATGATGGTTGTCTGCCGATCGTGAAGATGAAGATGCGCTTGGAAGGTAGGTGAGTCAGAGATCGTGGGAAAAAAACGAATAGGGCGATGAGTACTAACACTGTCTGGAACTCTGGACATTGCACAACGATGCTTGGGTTTTTCTGTTTCGTTTTGATGCTTCACAGCCAGCCATCGGGGGTTTGTTTGTGTCGGTGTATTGCCCTACATTCCATGAGAGTGCAATCATCATGCCATGACCACGGGCAGAAAACCACCGAATCAGACCACACGCACCGGCCACCACATGCACTAGAGTAGGTAGGTCAGTAGTTAGCACTGGGGACGATAGCACAGAATATCCAGTGAGATAAAACGCTGACTTTGAAATTTTCTCCTAACAAAAGAGCAGAATTGGTATGATTTCAGGCGTCCATCATCCGTCTAGATGCTTCACTAACATTGAAAACTGTACCTCCTCAGAGTCAGTCCATAGAAACCAAGATGACTGAGCAAATCCCCGGGCCCCCGGGGCTGCCAATTCTGGGAAACGTTCTTGACATCGACCCAGTAAATGCTGTGATTAGTCTGGGTCGTCTTGCTGAGCAGTATGGTGCGTTTGGAGTCGAGTGTTTTTCAGACGTCTGGTATCTAGCTTCCGAGTCAACGAGCTGATATGCTTGCAGGGCCCATATTCAAGTTGACAGTTGGCGGCTCAGCCAAGATCTTCATATCCAGTAGAGATCTGGTGGATGAAGTGTCGGACGAGAGTCGCTTCACGAAGCAAGTTGGTGGGCCTCTTTTACAGCTGCGAAATATCTGTGCCGACTCGTTATTCACGGCTCACTCAGACGAGCCAAACTGGTGGCTTGCCCACCGTGTTTTGATGCCAGGTGAGTAAGAACCATGAATGATGAGAATGAGAGGGAATGATGAAGGACACCCCCTTGTTAACTTGAATGCCCGCCCAGCATTTGGACCCTTGGCCATCAGGGGCATGTTCGACGAGATGCACGACCTCGCATCGCAGCTGGTTGTCAAGTGGGCGAGGTTCGGAGAAAAGGAGGTCATCGATGTGTCATCAGACTTCACCAGGCTCACCTTGGATACCATAGCTTTGTGAGTCTACCTGTAGTTTTGTCTTTACGGACTCCGGGACTGAATCCGGTCATGTTCCTCTTACTTACGATGCGACAGATGCTCGATGAGCACCCGCTTCAACAGCTTCTACCATGATCAGATGCATCCATTTGTTGGGTCCATGATCTCTGTGCTCCAGGAGTCCGGGAAGCGAGCAGTGAGACCACCATTTGTCAACAATCACATCATGCGAGGGTCTTTGAGGCAGTACCGGTCCGACATTGAGACTCTTCGGCAGATCGCCAGCGGCATTCTTGCTGAACGGAGGGCCAACCCATTAGAGAAGAAGAAGGATCTCCTGAACGTCATGATCAACGGACGTGACCCTGAAACCGGCCAAGGCTTATCTGACGAGTCGATTCTCAACAATATGATAGTGTTTCTAATCGCAGGTGATTTTTTCCGGCTCAAGCTTCCATAATGATAAAGGCCCATTGCTTCGACTAACTCACGTTAGGACATGAGACTACGAGCGGTCTACTGTCATTCTTATTTTACTACCTTCTCACTCGGCCTGATGTCTTCGCAAAAGCACGGCAAGAGGTCGATGAAGTTGTAGGACGGGGCCCAGTCACCATCGAGCACATGTCGAAGCTGCACTACCTCGAGGCTTGTCTTCGCGAGACATTGCGGCTGCACCCGACGGCTCCCGTCATCACATTCCAAACCCGCCCCGACTTTGAGAAAGACAGTACGACAATTGGGAACGGGGCGTACCAAATACTGAAGGGCCAAAGCATTGTTGCGCTTCTCGTCCAGATGCAACGGGACCCTTCGGTCTGGGGCTCCGACGCCGACGAGTTCAGGCCTGAGAGGATGATGGACGAGCACTTTTACAAGCTGCCAAAGAACTCGTGGAAACCGTTCGGCAATGGGATTCGCGGCTGTATTGGCCGTGCCTTTGCGTGGCAGGAGAGTCTGCTCATCACGGCTATGCTGTTGCAGAACTTCGACTTCCGCCTTCACGATCCCGAGTATAAGCTCGAGATCAAGCAGACTCTCACCATCAAGCCAGGCAACTTCTACATGCACGCTAGCCTTAGGGAGCATCTTGACCCTCTGCAATTGGAGAGAGCCCTCCACAGTGTAGGAGGAAATGCCACACCGCAGACCCAGAATCCGAGCCGAGGATCTCCGTCGGTATCTTCAGGTCGATCATCGTTGACCGCCAACGAGGAGCAACGGTCCATGAGCATATTGTATGGATCTGACTCTGGGACTTGCGAGTCAATGGCTCAATCGCTTGCACAAGCAGCCACGGCACGGGGATACGCAGCATCAGTTCGTCCGCTCAACTCGGCCGTCGGCAAGCTGCCCTCCGACCAGCCTGTTATCTTGATTTCCTCGAGCTACAACGGCCAGCCTCCAAGCAATGCCGTCAACATGGTCAAATGGTTGGATAATCAACAGGGCAACACAAAGATCCTCCAAGGCGTCAGGTATGCAGTATATGGCTGCGGCAACAAGGACTACGCCGCCACCTTTCACCGCATCCCGAAGCTTTTGGACTCTGAATTTGAGAGACTGGGCGCCCAGAAACTGGCACCAACAGGCCTGGGCGACGTGACGGTCGGGGATGTCTTCAACGATTTTGAGAAATGGCAAGACGAGCATCTATGGCCAGCCCTGGGTTCCAGCGGCCCACTTGAAGACTACGTTGACCATGGTTTGGCCATTGAAATTGACTGCAGCGGACGCCGAAAGGCGCTTCAATTTGACGCAGATGAAGCTGTCATCTTGAAGAACGAGGTCTTGACTGCACCGGGCGAACCCGAGAAGCGATACCTAACGCTGAAACTTCCCGAGGGCCTGGAATACCGGACGGGCGATCATCTCGCGGTACTTCCCATGAACGATTGGAGCATTGTCCACAGAGCCCTCAAGTGGGCCGGGTTGCCATGGGACGCCGTTCTCACCATTGCAAGCGGAGCAAACACGGCGCTTCCCACGGGGCGTCCAATCTCGGCAAAGGACCTGTTGAGCGGATACGTTGAGTTGAGCCAGCCGGCCACTCGAAAGGTGAGTGGCATCTCTTTCGTCAGGTTATGCAGCTCTGGTTGTTCATGTTCCTACTAACCATGCCGATGTGCAGAACATCGCGAAACTGGTGAGTACTGCATCGGATGAGGCAACGCGAGAGAAGCTCCGAGCCATTGAGGAGGATTGCGATAGCGGATCTCCGCTCAGGACATGGAAGCGCTCAGTCCTCGATATCCTGGAAGAGTTCCCGTCGATCCAACTTTCCTTCGCTCAGTTTGTCGCCATGCTTCCGCCAATGCGTCCTCGACAATATTCGATAGCGTCAACACCCATGGCCAATCCCTCTATTGCCACCTTGCTGTGGTCCGTAGTTTTGACATCGGAGCGTCTTCCAGGCTCATCCAGGCAATTTAGGGGGGTTGCCTCGACCTATCTCGCCGGCCTAGTTGCGGGTGACAGAGTCTATATCAAGGTGAAACCCGCCCTCCGACTATTCCACCCACCGAGTGATGTCGAGACCTCACCAATCATCATGGTGTGTGCGGGTTCGGGACTTGCGCCTTTCAGGGCGTTCGTGCAAGAACGAGCGATGCAGGCTCAGGCAGGCCGCAAGCTGGCACCCGCCCATCTCTTCATCGGCTGCAGGCACCCTGAAAAAGACGCTGTTCTTCGGGAAGAGTTTTGCCAGTGGGAAGAGGCCGGTGTCGTGAAGGTACACTACGCCTTCTCTCGAGCCAGCGACAAGAGCAATGGCTGTGCACATGTTCAGGATCGCCTTTGGAGTGAGCGGGCCCTTATCAGCAAGAGCCTCTTCGAGGACAACTACCGGTTCTTCGTCTGTGGTGGAGCAGAGGTTGGAAGGGGTGTTGAGGATGTCTTCAAGCGCATCTACAGGGAATCTCACGGCGTGGACAAGCAAAAAGAAGCAGAAAACTGGTTCCAAGAGTTGAAGTCCAGTCGGTATATCACCGAGGTATTTTCGTAGAGTTTAGTTACGTTTTGGGGTGGACAGCTAGAGTCCAGGACTTACATAATAGGTACTTAGTCACAACACAGTACACATAAGATCACTCTCGGCCCTGAATGAGGAAGCATTCGTATCAAGGCGTACGCATCCTCCGGGCCCAGTTCCTTTGCTCCTAGGTAGGCTTATTGAGTCTCCAAGTCCAATCGACTATCAGAAAGCAAGAACCGAAGTGTTACTGTTTGTTTCTGTGCTGCATGTATCTAGAGAGTTGAAGGCACGGCGTCTCGGGATGCAATAGTTTGAATTCGATTGGTCAGGAGCGTTATTACTAGTACTACCTAGTACCTACTCTAGCTTTCCCACTCTGTGCTGCTCTGGACGTCTACGTCCGTCGCCAAAGACCTTCTCCGAACGTCTGACACGGTAGAAAACCAGGGCGTACAGGATGTCACACACCGTAGTCACAGCCCAGATGAAGATGGCAGGGGCACTCATAAAGTACTCATGGGCTTCAGGCCAAGTATACCACGCCCAGCCATAGTTGAAATTGAGACCGACGAGTGTACCGAAAAATCGGAGCGCCCTAGAGAACGAGATTAGCAAGCTAGACAGAGCGGCTGATGAGGGCGGACCAGTCATCACTGACCAAATAGCCCAGCTAGCGCCCCTGGTGTGCTGCCTAACAATCAGCATGGCGAGCGATGTCGTCGACACTAGAAGCTGGCACATGGATACGGCCCAGTAAGCCATCTGAGTGAGGTCCGGGCCGGGACTCCCGTCATGATCCCTGGACCCGATGCCGTTGGCAATCCACCATGACTGGAAGCTCCAATGGGCCGCAACGAAGAGTGCGGTGAGGGCCAAGAGAATCTTGGCCAGATTCTTCTGCACGGCGGGGGCGTGCGTCCATTCACACGCGCCGTTCTTGACGGTGCTGTAGATGATGGGGACGTCGATGAGCATCCACACCGTCATGGCAATCTTCTCTTGCGGCGCGTCGACGACCCACAGCGCGTAGACCATCTCCCACGCGAAATTGTTGGCCAGGGCAAGCAGGGGCATGCCGTAGGACTTGGTGCGCAGGCCTTCGCGGGCGATGAGCAGGTAGCATAGCGTCCAGCAAATGCCTCCAAAGTGGAAGGTGGCTTCGTACACTGGGGTGAACCAGGGCGACACGTGCGGTGGTGGGACTGCGCCGAAGGCCATGGTCAGGAAGGTACTTGCTTGGCTGCTTGGCTGCTTGGCAAGAGACTCTGAGCTGGGAGTAGTGTTGAGGACAGTTGTGGAAGGAGCAAATGATGCAGATGGAGTCGATGGACTGCCAGTGTGCAATGAAACGATGGAAAGGTTTGTCCTGAGATGTTGAAACAGGACTTGAGGAGAGCCGAGAAGTGAGTGCATGATGGAGGACCCATCGTATGCCTGTTCGAGACTACGGTCAAAACTCAGAAGTTGAGATGGTGAAGGATTTCGGTGGATATCGTTGGTATCGGCGCATTTCTACCGTGGCCGATACGCACAATTGTTCACCAAGTCCCAAAGGTACGGAAAGCTACTAATTCGACACCGGGGCAGCATTGAATTATCGGTAGATGCTGCAGATAAGATAGGGACTTTCCGTAGTGCGAGGTACACCTGGTGTAGGCATAGTGAGCAAATCGCGAGATGTGCTGGGGTTTGGTTCCTTTAGGATTGCTGAACAGTTGCACGTATCGGTCACCATACTTAAACATATATTCCGACAACGCCATGGCTGCTTGATTCCATTTTGTTTACACATCATCCTTTCTTGACATGTACGCTGGCGGATGACCAGTTTTTCTGTCTTGTTTTGTGTCCAAGAAGTTTCAGTACAGAGACCTATGCCGACGATTTCTTGAGACTTGATCCGTTTGTCAAACCCGGTTCTTGTTAGGTAGAACGGAACATATCCGGCGCCATGGAGTCTCTCACCTCTGGGAACCCCATTGGGCAAGCAGTCATGTCCTTTCCGGGACTTTCTATCGCAGTTGCAGTGCTTGCGATAGCGCTGTTTGCACGCTTCAATTCCACCAGGACTCCTAAACCTGACCTACCGGTCGTGGGAGTCCCCGGGTCCAAGATCACCAAGAAAGAGCTTCTCGAGGGTGCCCGCAAGGTGAGTGGACCATCATGACTCGATAACCACGACCTGATACAGTAACTAATGATTAGAAAGTATCCCGACACTCCCTTCATCCTCCCCATGGAACCCCCCATTGTCGTCCTGCCCATCAAAATCCAGGATGAGGTGCGGAACCTGCCTGAGTCTGTTGTCTCCTTCACCAAGGAGCACCAGCGTAACTTCTTCGCCCAATACACGGGCATTGGCGACCACCGGCCCGAAATGATCCAGGCCATCCGCATCGACCTGACACGCCACATCGTCAGCACGCTGCCCGACCTGCAGGACGAAGTACGCTACGCATTCGACAAGGAATTTGGTGAATGCAAGGATTGGACCCCGTTTCCGCTCTACTTCAAGGTGCTGCGCATTGTCGCACTCCTGAGTGGCCGTATCTTTGTCGGTCGCCCCCTAAGCCGCGAGGAGGAATGGATCCAGGCCTCCATCAACTACACGGTCGATTGTGTCAAGGCACGCAACGCCATCCGTGACTATCCCGTGTGGAAGCGCCGCTGGGTCACCAATTCGCTGCCTGAAATCAAAAAGATCACCCAGTACAGGATTAGGGGCGGCCAGATGCTGGAACCCATCATGAAGGCACAGCTGGCCAAGGATTCAGTCAGGGAGAAGATCTACAACGCCGAAACAGGCGACGAGGAGGGAAACTTCATCGAGTGGCTGCTAAAGTACACCCCCGAGCACCTGCGCAATGACCCTGAAAATCTTGCTCTCAACCAGATGGTTTGTAAGTGTTGCGTCCAATTGGCCGACTCTCTTGTAGCTCATCGTATTGACTATCTGCCGCAAGTGTCCTTTGCCGCCGTTCACACCAGCTCCATGGCCACCACCCACGCCATCCTTGACCTGGTCAGTAGACCTAAGTACATACAGATTCTGCGCGAGGAAATAGCCGCTGTCAGAGCCACCGATGGAGAGACCATCGACGACGAAGGATATGTTCGCCTCAAGAAGGACAGCTTCAACAAGCTCCGGAAGCTCGACAGCTTCATGAAGGAAAGCCAGCGCTTCAATCCTCCAATCTACAGTAAGTTTAGCGATATCCAGCGAACTCATGGCAGTACTAACGTCAATTCAGCCTCGGGCACACGCATTTGCACCTCCGACCTTGCGCTCTCCACAGGCCACGTCCTCCCCAAGGGCACCCGTATCTGCTTCCCTTCTTATGCCGTACACACGGATCCCAAGACGACAACGTACTCGCCCGAGTACAATCCACCGGGCTACACGCATCCCGAACAGTTTGACGGCTTGCGCTTCTACAAGCTCCGGAACATGCCCGGTAAGGAGCAGCGTCACCAGTTCGCCACGGCAGGACCCGAGTCACTTGTCTTTGGTTGGGGAAACCACACTTGCCCCGGCCGCTTTTTCGCCGCCAACGAGATCAAGATTATTCTGGTAGAGCTGTTGATGAACTGGGATATCCGGCTTATGGGTGACGTCGAGCAGAAGGGTGGTGCTGACAAGCGGCCGCCGAACATGGAGGTCGATTTAGTCATCACGCCAAACCCCAAGGCCATGGTCGAGCTCAAGCGCAGAAGGAGATCGTGAAACTAATGGAAGGGATTGGGGCACCCCACGAAACTGAACAGTGCAATTTGTATATAGGCCATTTAAGAGATGCTTAACATCATTCATAAATAACTTGAAAGCATGCTTGCTCTGTCACTTCTATCACTCATAGAAAAGACTCACGCTGTTGGTTCGGCCGAGATGATAACCTAACATATATACTACTAATAGTAGTACTACAATCAGACTATCCTGACCAAGTAGATGCTCACATTTATACGCTTATGTTCGTTGCTAGGAGAATGAGCTCCTGGAATTTTAAATTATCATTAACGCCGTTAAGTGTACATGCACATATATGTACTACACTCAGTACACTGCCGTACTGATAGATCTGGCCCAAATCCTAGTGTCATCTGTCGGTTTGGTTCTCAGCCCTACGTCACGACCTACATATCGGTACATATCACACTGCACTCCAAGTTGTAGAAGTACACTGCAGTACGTTACACAACCTGAGCCATCTTACACAGTGCTGTAACGTTATGGTTTAAATCTCTCACACCATTAGGAAGTTCGGCCACCAACTACAAGAGCGGTGAATGCTGTCGCATGTCTTACATATCAAACATTGATTAGTAGAGTAGCATTCCTCGTCCGTTCGCAGACACCGACAGCTCGGATTTGTGCGAGATCACGGCATTGGATCGACCAAAGGACACAATCGTTTGGTCCGCAACTGCCGTGATTGGCTTACAGTTCTCCGGCTACGCCGTGGGTAAGTTGTAAGTACGAGAGGAGGGATAATCTGACGAGTACCTACTATGGACTCATGGAGGACCCTAACATCGAACTCTGCCTCCCTCGGCCATCAGTCAGTGTCTTGTCCGCCATCTCCTTTCTTCTATCTTCGTCAAGTTGTACTAGTAGTCCACGCTCTGTGACAGACTCTTGCCAGACTCAATCGTGTCGTCGTCCTCTGGTAACTGACAATGGCCACCATGGTAAGACGAATCGTGTTTTTCAAGAAACATTCTCATCCAGGGCCAGAACGCTAAATGCTTCTTTAAGTATGAATCGGGACTAGAGCCTGCTCGGCAGGACTTCCCGGAAGTGACAGCCGCAGAACGCAATGCCGGCCAAGGCCCTCAACCGTACCAAGGGTCATACGACCATCAGTATCCACAGGCTTACTACCCTCACTTACAGCAAGAGCAACAACACTACGATTCACCGATAACCCCTCCCAAGCACGAAGCGTCGCAACTATCCCCAGCCCCTCCATCGACATACGGAGGCCAGACAGCCACCTCCCCCTTCAGCTCCTATGTCCAGCCTGTGACGGCGCCAACAACAGCAGAGAGAGTCCCGATATCGGCCAGGAGGATATTCGGCTGCAGCTTCCTGGTCTTTGTCCTCTCGTGCATCATCGCACTGCTTGCAGCAGCCGCCATCGGGCTAGCCGCAGCGACGGGCATCGTAGCCCAGCGCGCCAATAGTGCGAGCAGCAGTCTCGCTGCCGCACTCGATCCGACCACGATAACAGAATCCGCCATCGACGGCGGATGCTTGAATAACCCAGAGGGTGTCAACAAGACAGAGTACACGTCATTCTCCCGTATGGCCATAATTCAGATCCCACTGCATTGCGCGATAGCACACACCACATACTAATGGTGCCATTCACAGTACTCGGCGGGCTGAGATTCACGCGCTATTGCAACAGAGACGCCCCTCACGCTCCCCTGGTGTCCCTGTTCGCAGCCAACTTTGACACGTGCATCGATGCCTGTGCTGCCTACACGAGATATGTGCCCGTGAGTTTCGGCAACGTCGAAAACTCGACCTGCGAGGCCGTCAGCTTCATCCCGGCGTGGACCAACAAGACGAGGGCCAATGCCGGAGGGGCGCCGGGAAACTGTTATCTCAAGGCTGGTCCGCAGGATGAAGCACAATTGACAACCCCGAATATTGGTGTCAATTGCCACGCGGCGATTCTAACCTCGAGTGAATAACGGACGGACGGAGGGAGTGAGCGTAAGGTGGGAACCGCACGAATTGAGGATCATAAAGAGGGCGGGACGAAAGCGAGCGTATATATGAGATATGTAGGAGCGGCGCCGGCATTGTATTTGGAACTGGAGCTGAAGGAGTGAAACTTTTGTTGGCACAAGACTGGATATCTTGGTTGGAACTTGGAAGCAACGGCGTTGGGATTTGGGATGCAAAATACTTCAATTGGATCTGTCAAGACAAAGAGCGACAGTATTAATTGTATCAACCGCCATTGGCCCGCTCTGCATCGCCTTGGTTAGTCAATTGGAGTGGCTCGGAGTTCGGACAAGTTTGAGGTGCTCTGTTGTAGCAGCGGATGCTGCCATCTCGGATGCCAAGCGGCGACCGCTCGTCCTTCCGACAACGAGAGTCCCCGACATCGAGCCGGCTGCAGTGGACCCGCCAGGGTGTTTGATGGGCTGCCCATCTGCGGGAGAAGGAAGCCCGGGGTATTGGACCGACGTCAGATCAGACCATCATTGCACAAGTCTCCTGCTGGAAACTGGACCTATTATCCCTGAAGAAAGAGAGTGCCGTCGTGTAGATAAACCGGTTTCTCGCCGATTTGGATTCGACCTGCGAGTCTCCTCCGGCTCCGGACCTGTGGCCGAGCCGTCGCTTGCCGTGCTGAAATAGGTATTAGGCCGCGCACCCCACCCCGAGCCTTGTGCGGTCGCAAAAAAACGTCAGACGCGGTGCAACTTTGATGTTGGCGGCGCTGACTAATGCGCGCAGACCCAAGTTCAGCGCCTAGCACATCCAACCCCCCTTCACTCGGCTTGGATCGATCTGTCCAGGATCACGCTTATTTCGAGGAATCTGTAACGTTATGCTGCGTCGGTCGTAGTAGGTAAGGATAACCGTCGTCCCGATATCGGAAGGGGGGTTCATCATCCATCGAGGGAAAGAGGACCAATGTGACCTGGATCTAGATGAAACGGGCAGAGCATGGATCGCTCGTCAGTAAGGAGGTTAGTAGGCAGTCACAATGAATTATAACCGACTGCTCGGCCCGTCGGATACGGGCCTCGGCCATCGGACTGATCGGAGTTCCAAGAGAGAGTGAGACTGAGAAACACACACAACCCCGCTGCAACTTTGCTTGGGTGTGGGAAGGACTGGCAGCAGCCTTTGGTCTTTATCTTTGCACCTAGCGGCCGTGCTCGGGTGGACCACCGAAGGGAACTTGCCGGGTTCTTTTACCCCTTTCCGTTAAGCTGTCAAGTTATGGGAGGGGTTCCCGGTGAGATATGCATGCTCCTCCGCTGCACGCCAAGCATACCTCTCATACGAAGTAGGTATGCGCTACGATGCTTTGAAAAGAGTCATAATGTACTTTTTTGTTCGCACTTCGTAGGTACACGTGTAAAGAAGGCAGGACGGTTGAGGGTAGGTAGGCGCGATGGCGGGGTATTTAGTCTGGTCCCCGTTTTCGGGGTCGCGTGGGCGGTGACAGGGGTCAGTTGCAGTAGTCTTGTGTAGGCTGGGATCTTTGCCTAGCTCCGCGCATGTCAATCGAAAGGCGCATTCCCACTCCATTTTCGACATCCCTGCAATGGATCCATGAATGCGATGCTAGAGGCACAACAGTTGCTCAACTTCCCCAAAGAGCATACAGAAGCAGGTGGAACAAGCCTGAAGGCTCCGATGTGCAACGGCCATCGTGTCCTCCAGCGTCCAAAATCAAAGGCTTGGGCGGTTCTTGTCCCGAAATAAAAACGGATCCGCGCCCAGGTCGCCTGTCGTGGCTTACATTGTTCCTCATATTCTCCCCGGGTTGGCTTGGTGTTGCTATCAAGCCCAGCCTGTCGACATCGAGACTCGGGCCATCCAAAACCACAAATGCTTGTTTTCTTGTGAATGTGTTTGTGGGACATTCGCATCGAATTTTTTGTTGTTATTTCCCTCATCACACCTCCCATTGTTGACGGGAGACGACATTAGTAATGTAATGGCATTCTAGCGCCCTTTCGGGTACGCCCTTTGGTCTGACAGGTTCAACAGTACGTTCGGTGACAGCGGGGTGGAAGCCATGTCTGCGCCTTTCGGTTCATTTGATGTTGGCCACTCTCACGGCCCCACTGCTGCTGGTCTCCGAGAACTCCGCGAGATGGACGAGTTTGTCGACTGGAACCAGGCGGACCCGGCCTCTGCGGCCGCCGGTGTGGACATGATGCCTCCATCTGACTTGACCCGAGGCGACGCCTATGATCCCCTCCAGGACCTTGACCTGGCACTGGCCAACGTCGATGGCGATGAATTCTCCTTCTGGGCCTTACAACACTTTGAAAACAATGTCTCACCCACACTGGATGCATCTCAGGACATTCCCATGCCCACAGATGGGGTTACCAGGTCGACCAGGGCATTCGAGGACCAGCTTGAGCACCCTGAAGCCCCGTGTGCAAACTGCCAGTTGGGCGGCTACCAGTGCAAGCGAATCTTGGGCGACTACAAGGGGTACTGCACGAGCTGCGTTGCCTTGCGATGCGCATGCAGCCTCGGTTTGTCCTCGGCATTCCCCTCTAACCCATGGCCCCTGATGGGTGATCATCCCACGGCCATCGCTCAGGAAGATGCACAAGTCGAGCCCCATCACTCTGCTTCAGCGACTGACCTAACCGGTTTGGCCTCTACCTCTGGCCCCGAGAAGAGCGGCGCGGATACCGTTCCCAAGGCCAAGGTGGGCGCCCGGTTTTCCAGAGAATCGGTCAAGATATTGAAGAATTGGCTGTCAACCCACAGCAAGCACCCCTATCCCACCGACGAGGAGAAGGAGATGCTGCAGAAACAGACGGGCCTCAGCAAGACACAGATCACGAACTGGCTCGCCAACACGCGGCGCAGGAACAAGAATGCCGTTGCACAGCGCTCAACATCGCCTGGAGTGCGGAGCTGGTCAAACCCCATCGACATACCGCAAAGACGGGGAACACCGTCGCTAGAACAGATGAATCCGCTGCAGCGTTGGCAACACTCACCGCCCGAACACGAAGCAGCGTCCGTGACGGCCATTGCCCGCGCCGTCAACGCTTCCGCTTCGAGCCTCTCGTCTGGTCTCAACAGCCCGTACAGCCTCAACTTCACCGATGACGGCTCCGGTAGGTCGCTCTGTGCGTCGACCATTAGCAGCGCCAACACATCGCACTCGAGCGGAGGCTCGTTTGCGTCGGCGTACTCTTTTAACTCGAGGAATTCCTTCGGCTCTGCGGGTTCGCTCCCTCGGGGACGGAGGCGGAGAAGGAGAAAGGTTCCTCCAGCAGCAAGCGCTCCGTTACGTGGCCCGCTCAAGACATTCCAGTGCACTTTCTGTACCGAAACGTTCAGAACGAAGCACGATTGGCAGAGACACGAGAAATCGCTGCACCTGTCCCTCGAGCGGTGGGTGTGCTCGCCCGACGGGCCGCAGGCCTTGAATCCCGAGACCGGCCAGATGTCGTGTGTCTTTTGTGGGCATGTGAACCCCGACGAGGCGCACATCGATAGTCATAATCACTCGGCCTGCCAGGAGCGGACCCTAGGAGAGCGCACATTCTATCGCAAAGATCATCTGCGCCAGCATCTGAAGCTGGTACACAGCGCCAAGTTCATGAGCTGGTCCATGGACGCCTGGAGAGTTACGACACCCGAGATCCGATCCCGCTGCGGTTTCTGCGGTATCCTCATGGATACTTGGTCCTTCCGCGTTGACCACCTTGCCGAGCACTTCAAAAAGGGTAAAAGCATGGCGGACTGGAAGGGTGAATGGGGTTTTGACGACCCTGTGCTTGATATGGTCGAAAATGCGATGCCACCTTGTATGTTTCCCTTCGCCTGGAGTGCTAATTTGAAGCGGTTGATAACTCATGCTCTTCTAGATCTTATCCACGACGAGAGAAACTCCCCTGATCCGTTCGAAGCCTCAAAGACTTCATCCGCGTCGGCCCGAAATGCGTTTGAACTGATCAAGACAGAATTGAATGGCTTTATTGACGACAAGCGCGAGAAGGAAGGCAGGACCCCTTCGGACGAAGAACTACAGCGTGCCGCCTGCGCCCTGATATACAACGCCGAAGAGAACTCCCAAATTCGCGGTGTCGCCCCAGCCGCTTGGTTGCGAGACCTGCTGTTCTCATCCCAGCAATTGGCGCAAGAGGCGAGGTGGTCTCGACCTGAACTCTTCAATGGTGGTCAGAGTCTGAAGATCAATGGCAAGGGCCATATCTTTGAGAATGACCCGATGGAAATGGAACTCGAGGTCTTTGTCAAGGCACGCCGCCTTCTGGGCTTGACCGCTATGGACAGCGAGCTGCAAGCCGAGGCGTGCAGCATTATACGCCGCATGGAGGAGATGTCCAACTATCCGTCTGACGAGGTTACACAGTTCCTGATGCGACTCGTGAACGGTTCGACATCCTGGCTTGCCGGCTTCCGCCAGCGGGCCCACCTGCCGCGATCCGAAGACCTGGCAGACGAGACGAAGCGGTCCAGGGATCCCACTACCATCGACTCGACGATTTACAATCCCAGCCGCCTAGAGTCCGAGCTAGCCGAGTACGTTCGAGAGCAGAGGTCACGAGGTATTGAGCCCACCGACTCCGATCTGCAACGGCAGGCCCGTTTCATCATATACGAATACGACGATGATGGATGGAACCAGACAGCTGCAGATGACGCTGCCTGGCTTGCGACGTTTAAGCAACGGCATGTGTCATCTGACCTCGGCGTCGCCGCCGGGAGCTCACAGAACTCCAACACTACCCCCGCGGGCGATTCGGGTTCCTGGGGCCAGATGCACCAACGCAGTGGTTCATCTGGCAATGTCGTGTCAGGAGGGGGTGGTAGCTGCGCTGGCACCTCGCGAGCTCCCGTTCACATCCTCAGCGATGCCAACTGCTACCAGCGCTTGGCGCGGGAGCTCAAGAAATTTGTCGCCGCGACCATGTCCCCTAACAACCCCAACTGCCATGTGCCGTCGGACGAAGAACTCCAGCACCAGGCCAGGTGGATTATCTACGAGGAGTAAGTTCCGTATGCTACCCCGTTTCCTTCCAACGCTCAACTGACTGTGTTGCGCAAAGTGACGACCCCTGGAACCAAACAGCCGCCGACAACGCCGAATGGCTCCGCCGCTTCAAGCGTGACGCAGGCATCCTTACGGACCCTTCCGTCCCAGGCTTGCCTACGACGCTAGCATGGAACATTTCCCAGGGCGGCTCCGGCTTCGCCCCGCCGTATATGTTCCCCAACCCTAACAAGACCAACTCCATCACCATCGTCCCCTCCGAAGACGCATCCAACAACAGCCCATCTTCTTCCAAAGGGGACAACGCCATCACTACCACCTCCTCCAATAATAATGCCAACTCCCCTGGCAGCGGCGCTCACAATCATAATACCGCCGCCGGCGGGATATTGCAGGTGCCCATCCGCGACGGAGCCAAGAGGCTGTTCGCAGCACAGGGGAGCACGGCCAACCGCTTTGTGCGCGCGCTGGCGACGCGGCACGAGAAGCCCCCCAGTGTGTTTTGCTCGCGCGAGCTCGAAAAGGAGCTCGTCGACTGGGTTGAGAAGGAGGTGCAGGTGCTGGGCCGGCCGTTCCCGCGCGACGATGAGATCCGGCAGCGCGCAAGGGATTTCTTGTGGCGCGAGCGCACCCCCGCCGACGACGCCGTGCTGTTGGGCAAGTTCAAGGCCATGATGCGCACTCGGTTGGGTATGGATGTGGATATGGATAAGGGGAATGGGGATGCTGGTGGTGGTGATACTGGTGGTGTTGGTGGAGGTTGGGAGGACGGAGGAGGTCCTGCTGGCCAGGGGGCGGGGACAGGGACGGGCCTTATGGCCTATCCTCGGGCCCCTGAGGGGATGGATATGCATGATGAACTCCTTAGCGCTCAAGAGTTGGATGAGATGCTGCAGAATATGGATTTTGAGTTTGGGGAGCTGGCAGGGGGAGGGTTTATGGGTGGTGGGAGCATGGATATGCAGCACATTTAATCTGTATTTTGGGCTAAAAGGGAGCTTTTCCCGATCATTGAAGAGTCGGGGGATGTATACGATGGATACATATAATGCTCTGAGGGAATTCTCTGGGGTGCTGAGAACATAAGGGGTTTTGGATGGTAGTTTTTGTTGTTTGATACCTCGCACTCAACTCAGATTCAAGTTTATTGGATGGCCACTGGCTCTCAACACACAGACAAATATACATGATGTTGGTCCCTTGCACCATACAATCTCGTTGTTCGAAATGCTATAGGAATTCGAACACTACCGAAGGAGGAAAAAGGGGTTCAAAATCGGCAGGGCGGTTACTGAGTTGTGCGCTTCTCAGAGGTGCTTCTGGCGAGCTCGAAGAATGAGAAGCCCGGTTAGCTCAGCTGGTTAGAGCGTCGTACTAATATAACTCCTGGTTATATTGAGTGATGCGAAGGTCAACAGTTCAATCCTGTTACTGGGCATCTAGATTCTTTTGATTTTACCATCTTGGTGCTTTTTACTCCTGGATTTTTGTTTTGACCAGGCATTTCACCGGCTTGTTTTTGATAGTAACTGGTTGCTTGATGCTCATCCATTCGTGGGTCCTGACAGAGGCAGCAGTGACGTTTACTCGGCACATGCCACACCCTCACACGACATACACCATTCAGGTCGATGGCAAACAACCGCTACGTGGGTTTTGCGAGCCTCGTGTCAGCACCTATAGTGCTTTTAGGCCAGATCGCGTTTGACTCAAGTTGGATAACTTCTTCGCACACTGAGAATCAGACAATGCCCTGTTACAAGTTCCAAAGCAATTCATTCCCCAGACCCACTGACAGCAGAATCGTCGATGAAGCACCTATCATTTATGAGCGTATCATATTCTGCAATTGTTGATTGCCATAGGGCAAACGTCCTGATCTAACTGTCGAGCGTCATTGGTCGACCATCATAATCATTGGATTGGGTACAGCTCCCAACCCCTCCCAAGGAGCCCGTGCTGTGATCCAGAGCATGTCAAAAAAGACCTTCAGACTCCCACCCACACGCCAGCAATGCACAAAGCCATATCCGTGAACCTAACCAGAATAGAGATGCAGAATCAAGAGGCCAACAGCAAACGCCGTGCACCCAGCATCCCGACGTTAGCCCAGCCCGCGGGCATATCAAGCCCCCCATTAGTCGAGTACGTGAAAATCCTATGATGTCGTGAGACACAACGTACCCCTTCCGCTTCGTAGCACGTGCCCAAACTTTGCCCAGACTTGAACAGAGCAAAGAAGCCTCCAGCTCAGCAGCGGCCCCCGCCCCAAGCAATATGCATCAAGACACAATCAACAACACCTCCGCCCCTGCCGACCGTCCGCATCACCCCTCCTGTCCCCATCTGGACCGTAGCCGTCCTCCCCAATCCCAACAGCGGGCGAGAACCCAGGAGAAAACAGCCAGCTCCTCCGGTCCCTGCCAACGCGGAAACTGCCCCCTCCTCCTCGGGGGGTGACACCTTCAAAATACCCCCCCGCAGCAGCCGCATTAGCAGCAGCAAGGTCGGCACTGCCGGCGGGCGAATTGCCGGCTGCGGCGGCAGCAGCGTAGTGGTGGTACCAGTCGGGCGAGAAGTAGCCTCCCGACGATGCGGCGGTGGCGGCCAGCAGGGCGGCCTGCATTTTGCGATTCTGCTCGACCAGCTTGCGCGTGACGACGCGGAACACCTCCTCGACGCCCTCGCCCGTCTCGGCCGAGATCTCGTGGCATGCGTCCCACCCGACCTCCTGCCCCCAGAACCCGGACGAGCGCTTGCTCGAGGGCGAGCGGGGTTCTATCCCTCCTCCTCCTCCTCCGCTTGTGTTGGTGTGGTGGTGGTGGACGCCTAATAATTGTGGTGATGATTGTTGTTGTTGTGAAGGAGAAAAAGGTGACGGGAGGACGCTGAAGCCGCCAGGGCCCGGGGACACAGCGGCTGAGGCCGTGGGCGGCGGAGTCGAACCCATGCCCGGGTTCAGGTTCTCGGCCACATAGGCGATGCACCGCTCGAACGGCACCTCACGGCGCGACGGGTCCCGCGCCACAATGTCGGCCTTGGTGCCCACGACGTGCAGCACAATGTCCGGCGGCAGGTTGCGTCGCAGCTCTGTCAGCCACATGCCCATCTCAGCGAACGATCGCGCATCGGTTACCGAGTAGCACAAGATGCAGGCGTTGGCGCCGCGGTAGTAGAGGCGAGAGATGGAGCGGAAGCGTTCTTGGCCAGCTGTGGACGCAGATACTGTCAGCGCGTTACAAACTACTTTTGCAGGGCGGTGGCAGAGGGTCAGGGCCACGGTCAGGATAAGGGTGAGGGTAAATAAAGCGGTGGATCCGATTCCCTCTTCATCTTATCAAACTGAGGGGAAAGGGGAAGACGGAAGTTACCAGTGTCCCATATTTGCAGACGAACTAACGTGTCCGTGTCGGTGTCAATGACCCGCTTGGTCAGGAAGCTGGCGCCGACCGTGGATGTGATCTGCGACGGGTTGAACGAGCCCTTGCAATACCGCATCACGAGCGACGTCTTGCCGACACCCTGCGAGCCGAGGACGACAATCTTGGCTTCGAGCGACGACGACATGGCGCCTGGCTTTTTCTGCTTTCTTTTCCGCGTGGCTGTTGTCGCGTTCCGGGTCGTGCGGAAGGATTGCACGCGGAGAATCACCCAAGCCTCTGCAGACTTGGGCGCTGCGCTGGGATGCGCTTGCTACCTATACTATCTGGACTATGCCCAATTGGTGCCGGATATTTTGTTTGCTGCTTAGGGTCTGGGGACGGTTTATCATCAGGGCAGCGGATCGGACGGGACGGGCCAGGTGACAAGCGGTGATCGCGGGGCGAGGCTGACGGTTTGTGTCATTATGCGAGGCTACAGGCGGGTAATTACCTTACCGAGCGGCTTGATGACACTGATTGAGTGTTGCCGGCGGCAGGAGCATCCCGTGACGGGTCCGTGCAGTTCTCATTCCGACCCAAGTGGTCATTGCTGGTGTGGGCCTCTGGTTGACGTCATACTGTAATGTCGGAGGGTTCTGCGGGGTGCAATAGCGCATCGGTCGCCTCGCCGTTGCCTTCAACCCTCCGAAGAACAGTGGTGTAGATCTGACGAAATATCAGACGACCGCTCCAATTCATTCATCTAGACTCGCTAGATAAACCTTATGGAAATCAATCTGTGTTGAGATCCCCGGCACGGACTGGGTAACTAACCCAGGAATGATGAAGCAGCTGCATCCAGCCAATAAACCGAAGATATCAGACTTGACCCTCAAACATGATGCCTTGGAAATTGTATGCCGCTCTGGATTCAGCAGAGTACAAACTCAGGGCGAGGTTCTGTTAAGAGGGGTAGTCGAGAGGACGATTTTTGGGTGTGATATCTTGGCTGCACTTACAGATATCATGCACTCTCAAAGTACCCTGCCGGACTGTGAGCAAGTACGAATAGCTCCTCCCCGATTGGCGTTTCTCCCACTACAGTACTCATGAACTTCAACATAAACTGAAACCAGACTTTATAGACCTGAAAGCCTTCGAGTAAGATATGTAGTTGTTTCTTATCATGGTTTCTTTCTCTTTCTCTATTCATGAATGTATCCTACTCGAAGTACCAAGCCAACGAACAAACAAGGGGGGTATTGTTATGTACATCAGCCCAGGTAAATAGCCCGCACCCTCCACAAATTCTCACAACTTCGCCTTATCCCCCTTGACCGGCGACCTCTGCGGCGGATTATGCAGGGGATCGTAGACGGCGTGCGAGAGCATATCGACGGGGGGCGCGGCATGAGTGAACAGGCTCCTGGCATCCACCATGCTCGCGTTCAATTCCGCCACGCTCCGGGCGCCGATCAGCCGCATGCCCATCTCCATCTCGTCCTTGAGCAGCTGCATGGCACGGTCCACGCCGTCGAGGCCGTACGCCGACATGGCATACAGGAACGGGCGACCAATGCCCACGCCGCGGGCGCCCAGGCACAGCGCCTTGAGGATGTCGGTCGCGCGCCGGACGCCGCCGTCAATGTAGACCTCGAGCTTGTTCTCGAGCCCGAGCTCGCGCAGCACGGGCATCGTCTCGGCGAGGATCTCGATCCCGGACCGCGCAAACTCAAGCTGCCGCCCGCCGTGGTTGGACAGCACGACGCCCTGGACGCCCGCCTCGGCCGCCTTGACCACGTCCTCGACGCGCTGCACGCCCTTCAGAACAATGGGCATCTTGGTGATGGACTGGAACCAGGGGATGTCCTCCCAGCTCAGGGCCGGGTCGATGAAGCTGCTGATGGCGCGGGCGGCGCCCTGGCTGTTGTCGATCGATTGCCCACTCTGCACGTTGCTCCCCTGGTCCGTGAACTTCATGCGCATGTCCTTTTCGCGGCGGCCCAGCTGCGGCGCATCCACCGTGATAAAAAGGCCCTTACACCCCCGCTTCTCGGCGTGCTGTACGATGCGCTGCGTGATGGCCCGGTCCTTGTTGACGTACAGCTGCAACCATTGCACCTGGTCCCCGGAGGCGGCGTCGACGATCTCGTCAAAGGCACACGAGGCCAGCGTGGGGATCATCTGGATGACGTTGTGCTTTGCTGCTGCCCGCGTCAGCACCACTTCGCCCTCGACATGTCCCAGCTTCCCGAGCGCCGTGGCCGTGACGTAGAACGGGATGGATACGGGGGTGCCGAGCATGGTGGTGGAGAAATCTACTTTCTCGACGTTGACAAGGATGCGCGGGCGGAACCAGATGCGGTGAAAGGCCGTGTGGTTTTCGCGCATTGTCTGGGGAGTGTCAGTGGGAACGGCGGTGGCCTAGATGGCTCAGATCGACCTACGATCTCATCATCAGCTGCGCTGGAGTAATATCCCCACGCAGTCTTCTTCATAACCCTTTTCGCGACTGCCTCGAAGTCGAGGAGGTTATAGCACTGCTCGAGGAGGGGCATATCCTTGATGCGCTGTAACCTCTCTCGTTCTTCCGGAGACTCTTCGGCCTTTTCCTTTACCACTGTCGTCATGTCCACGGGGCCCAGGTGCTTATTTTTCGGCAGATACTTCTCGAGGGTATCCGGGGGGTGGATCGGGTCAAATTCTTCTGTTGCATCCTTGCCCTACGCCGTGTCAACAATCAGTTGCGATACACGATGAGGATTATCACTGACCGCATACTTCAGAATGATCTTGGTCCCCCCGGGATGTTCTGTTCAATATCAGTAAAATCCAATTTTCCTCATATTGAAGTAGCACACACCCGGCAGAAAGTCTGTGACATCGTATGCCCTCCCCTGACGTGTGAGATGAGTAAGTGAAGGATCACTTTCCCACTGTTTGGGGGGTGACTTACGTGGACTATCACCCAACAGTCATCTGGTTTATTGTGTTTGGCGACCTCAATGCCCGTCAACGACGCCATGTTGACCGGTCAGGGGTTAACGGTAAAAACGTAGTATGTTGAAGTTAGCCGTAACGGTACAGACTGACGTATTGAAAATGCAGTTCAATGGCAATCTGGTAGCGTCCCCGACCATCAAACATGAAGCCGCGACGCTGCACACACACGCACAATGATGGGATACTAGTCGTAAAGGAATGAGGAAAAGAATGTAGAAAGTAGGAATCCAGTTCGGAAACATGGATGAGTGAACGTTCATAAATCCGGTCTTCTCCATTGAGACAGGGCCCATCAGATGTGGGGACTTTGGGAACACCTCGGCCAAGACTGCGGGGGAGCCTACCCCACAGTGGCATTCCAGCAGTCAGTCAAGACCCACTGCGAGAACGGATGAAACGGTGCAGTTCGCCCCTTTTTCGGCACTTGTTACACCGAGCAATATTATCACGCTTCTCACACCGCAAACAGAAAACATCTGGGACCCCTCTTATGTGTCGCTGTGCTCTGATGAATTACTTCATATAAGAGGACGGTACGCTCTCGCTAGTTGCAATATGTGTCACTGAACCGACCACGGTCCCATAGTAATGTATTGTATGTACAGTACGAAGGCTCACGGTATGCTACTGAGCCGGGCACAGTTCGAGTAAAACATGCCGTTGCTCATAGATCTTAATCAACTGACGATGCCCAGTGATACACGGAAATCCTATCCGTACGTTAGAGCACAAATCTGCCCATCAAATTGGTCCAACGAATTCCGACACCCCGATCAATAATAACTCGCCCGTGACGGCCTCCTGCCAAGGGTCAGCTCCTCCACGGGGCTCGTGGGTGTGCCGCGCCCCTTCTTCGGCCTCCACGACCAGACACTGCTGCTTTTTCCCCCGGGTTCATCGATCGTCGAGCCCTCTTCCGACGGCCCACGAAGAGACTTGGGCCGGATAAACGCCCGGGGAAAGATGCCGCGTTTCCCCTTTGCATTCCTGCCGGACCAGCACCAGTGTTCCTCGTACGGGACTGCGGTGAGTTACGATAAAAGGTCAGCCGCCAACTCATTGAGAACGACAAACAAGGGGTATTCTTGTACTCACAGCTAATCCCCGTAATGACCTCCCCTTTCCCAAATTTCAACCACTTCTCCCCGTCGCCCCCACCACCTTTCCCCTTCTCCATGGTGGACGGATTAAACTTCCACCTCGTCACAGCGGACATGTCCCCCCCGCCACCTGTACCACCACCGCTCCCACTGCCACTTCCACTGCTCCAACTGACCCTCATCCCGCCATCTCCTTCCCTGTGAGTCGCTGGCGGCACAAGCCGGACGTACTCGAGCGGGAAAACACCCCTCTCATCGTCGGCCCAGCCGGCCGCCCACTGGCCTTCGTATTGCGGGGGGAACTCGATGCCGACGATTTTCTGGCCGACGACGAACTGCAGCACCTCGGCCCGGTCGGGCGGGGTCCGCAGCCCGTAGACCGTCATCCTGAACGATTCGGCGGCAACCGCACTGGGCAGGTTGGCTGACGGCGTCAGGTACTCGTCGGGAACGGCCGAGGGGATCGGATGCGGGCGGGTGAAGCGGACATCATAGTCATGATGCCTGTTATTATTGTTGTTGTTGTCTTCTGGGACGCCGTCCGTGCCGACGACTACTTTGAGGGCGGGGATCTGCGGCAGCGGCCGTGGGTGCCGCGCCATGTGCGCGCAGAGCTCCGTCTGCGAGAAGAACACGGTCGCGTCACTCGGTCGGGGTGTTTTTCCAGCAAAAATGCAGAAGTGGCAGCCGTAGATCCGGTCGGAGGGTTGCCGGGAGGGTAGATGGGATTTGGCGAGGAAGCGGGCTCGGATGGAGATTGAAGAGGAGGGGTAGTTAGATTCTATTGGAGTGTTAAACGACTGGTGGTCAATCCTGGCTTGGACGAAGGGAAGGGAGGAGGGCATACCAAGGCGGTTGTCGTCGGCATCGAGAAGTCGCGCGTCTACTTCATAGTAGCAGTAGTTGCATTTGGCGACCGCCGTCTTCATCATCGGGTTAGTAAGTTGTCCAGCGGATGAAGGGGTCTATGATCGGTATATACTCACCCCCTTTTTGTTGTTCTTCCTAACGCCGAATTCACCAGTGCGGAGGGCCTCTCTGGCACCTTGACAGAATTTCCCAAAGTGCGCAAATGAACTGTAACGGTCAATATTGCAGTTGAGTCCTTGGGGTGCTTCACTGGCAGAGTCTGGCTCCGTCGACTCTGGCATGATCGGAATTGGACCATCATCACCCTTCGGGGAGTGGACAACCTCGAGACCCGGCTGCTGGCTAGACAGCGACCCTGGTCGGCAATTTGATGAGTGAGAAGTCACCGGCGTGAGGCTCAACCTTGAAGCTGCTGGAGACCCGGCAGATCCCTGTGCAAAGGGCTGCCCAGAAGCAGGCCTTGAAGCGATGGGCGATCCGAAAGAGCCCTGGCTGTGGCGTGTCACGGTCTGCTCGGTGGTAGAGTGGAACGAGGAGCGACTGCGGATTGAAGGGCTCTGGGGGGGTGCTTGGCTGTCCGATCTGTCTCGGAGAGAGAACATCAGCCCGAAAGCGTTATTATCCGTTGTCAGGGGCGATACTAGGTCAAGGTCGCCCCTTTTCTGAATGGGCGGTCGACGTTCTGATTCCTCCGCCGTCTCGAGGTCCGGTGCAGGTTCAGTAGTCTCCCACGGATTAGCGCCCGGCTCACGGGGTATATCCTCCGGGCGGATCGTTTCGATGGGTTGCTCTACCTTCGAAGCCACGAGTTCCTTCAACTGTGCGTTGGCCTCCGCTGTAGTTTCCAGCCTCTCAGTTGGCCCAACGCTTGTCTCAGCAGCAGTATGCCCATCATTCTGCTCTCTGACCATAGCGGGTTCAGGTGTCTCAGGCTTCCCTGTCTCCTCCTCAATCGCCGGCAATGCTGCCGAAGCCGGCGGCCGCTCCACCTTCATGGTCACTAACACATCCGCAATTTTCAGGGCTGCCGCCCTCAGCTGGGCAGCCAGCTCGTTATACATCTCCTCGTCATAGCTATCAACTTCCATATAGTCATCAAAGTCCCATAGCAGGTCGTTAAGCTGTTTTCTGTGCTTCGCAATATCTCCTATTGCCACCGTCAGCAACGCCGGGAGAGCCAGTGATGAGATTGAGCGAATTAGAAAGACAGCAGCAAGCTTACCATTGTCCTTGACAGCATCCACAAAGGCCGGTCCATACTCGCCTGTGAACCTCTCGCAAAGCGGCTCAATCTTTTTCAATGCACGCTCGGCTTTGCTTAGCAAGCCCCGCGCGGCGCGCTGCATTGCGCGGGCCACATCTCCATCGTGCTCCTCAGCAGACTCGGCATTGTCGAGCGCTGTCCTGGCCTTCCCGGCAGTCTCGCGGAACGGGGCGAGAACGAGGTGTTCGAGTTGGACGTTTCTGGGCATGTCGATGGCTGCCTACGAGTTGCGGAATGCCTGACTGGCCCACGCACGCCTCAGGGCGGGGGAACAGAGGAGCATGGAAATGGGAGAGTTGGTAGTACCAAAGGGAACGAAGGGTTGAACAAAGATATTAAATTCCAGATGGAAAACCTATCCGACATCACACAAGGAGCTCTATCTAAGCGAGGGAGCCGCAAAGGCTCGGTCATGGAAAACTGCCTTAGCTTCTCCCGGTCCATGAGACCATTGAGCGAATGCAGGCCTTGGGACCGAGACCAAGATATGTCTGCATACACTAGCTTCCTGGGCAGGCGACACATGGCAGGAGCTGTAGGGCAAGGGGAAGGCGGGGCAATTATGCATCGTAAGCGCGCGAGCGGACTGAGGGTGGTCCTCTGGTCGGGCAAAATGCCCGGTGTCCAGGTAGGCAAGTAGCCTAGCTGCAGGGCGTTTGACAGTTTGGGCAGCCTGGGCCGAAGTGGCTGTGCAAGGCCGCGGGCTTCCAAGGCGGGAGTGTGGTAGGGCTCGTAAGATAAAACGGGATGTGGGAGAAAATATGCCCATATGACTTCGAATTTGACATGTTTTCAAAGGTGCCGAAGTCGAGATCAATATCGCGGATTGAGTCATTGGGAGAAGGTCGATGGAGGCAAATGCGATGAATTGTTAAGCCGACTACGGAGTAGATCGCAGGTGTTATAAGACGGCGGCTGCCTTCAGAACCTTTTGGTCGGTAAACACTCACCTAGGACAGAAAGCACAGCCGTCTTGACAGGATGCACCTGAGACGGGCTCTTGTCAAACTGCACTTCGATGGAGCGGGCAGCAGCGACGGAGATGGGTCCGTCCGTTCTACGGAAAGAATTGACCAACCACAATCTAGAAAACAGCCCCGTGCTGATCGGAAGGCACCGATAACGGGACTCGAACTAGGTACATAAACGCTAGTATTCACAGTAAGGTAACGTGAGAGGGGTAAAGCCCTATACTAGATAACGCGCTCTCTCCATCAGAGGAACTTTATCGATCCGCATGTGCTTGGGGGGTTACATTACCCTCATGTGAAGCCTCCTGCGTCATGCAGGGCCCTGGAGGCTCTGTGCCCGTTTTCCTGGAATGTTAACACCACCTGTCTGTCACCTTTGATCACCGAAATGATGTCTTTTCAGAGCAACTACCTTGGTTTAGCCCTCATGTATTAGTTATTCAATCTATCAATGGCACCTTTCTCCAGCTTCAACTTGGAAACACAGTAGTATTCAGCTATCGTTGAAGTCGATCGCGCTTCACTTCGCCTTGGTATAGTTCCCAGCAGCCTGCAACGAGTCAGATTCCGAAGACAATGTCTCCTCTCCGACAGAACTCACCTCTGCAATCAGCGAGCGGCCCACCTGGATGGTCTCTGACGCGCCTCTCTGTCGTAGCCAGAATCTAGGCTTTGGTCAGCCGGGACGTACAAATGCACATGCACAAACGAAACACTTACAGCTGCTCCGGTCTCCCCTCGCCCGCGACGGAGAGTTTCCGCGCCTCCTCTTCGAGCGACGCCTTTGTGATCTTCTCGGCCCCGCTCACTCCGGGCCCGCTCGTCTCCTCGCTGATATCCCGTTCCATCATCTTTTCCAAAAGCTGCTTCCGCATTGCAAACCGTTCTGCCTTCTCCTTTTGCAGTCCCGGACTGTCCAGCTTGCGGATGACACCCCGGACGACAAGCTGCACAACCAGATAGAGATGTTCAGCAAAGAGGATCGACAGAAGCAAGGCCCAACCGCGAATATCCGCCGGCGACCCGTCCGGCCCACCGTTGCTCCCATGAAAGAGAAAAACGAGCGCTGCGCTAGTGAGGCTGCCCAGCCACGAGAGGAAGCCGAGAGCGTCAAGCCAGGGCCCGATCGAGTCGGCGCGCCAGGGTATTGGGCGCTGACAGTTGGTGGCAATCTTCACGGCATCCGACCGGGCCTCGATCCAATTGTTGACCAGAAACGAGCAGGCAGTGAGAGGCCACACAACTGAGAAGAGGGATAAGTAGCCTTGAATGAATTAGCAAGTCGGGATCTGCAAGCGAATATGGGGCGGAGACGTACCAAACTGGATCACCATCTCTCGGTAATCGATGGTCACGTCATATTCCTCCAGCTCAGCCTCGTCTCTGACCCTCTCGAGGAAGTCGGCCTCCTCGGGCGAGTCCTTCACCGGTTCTGCGGTCTTCTCGGACAGCTCGGATTGTACCTTTTCGACCGTCTTGAATACCTTGCGCTTCGCATGCGGCATGATGACTTCGGTGGCGAAGTTGACAACCTGTGCCGTGACAGTAAAGTAGATGACCTGCTTGGTAAGCCTGTCAGGATTGATCTCCCAACGCTTAGTCGGCAAAGGCTTCGCATCGGCAGTGAATTTCTGCGCCGTGAGCTGGAACACGTCTAGATAAGGAACCAGGATCTTTCCAAAGGGAACGTATACGAAGGCGGTCAGGAAGATGCCCATATACGACGTGATGAAGTTGAGCACGAAGATCTTTTGGACGAAGGAAGCCTGGTGCGCTGTGAAGGGTCAGCATGGCAGCTTGACTCGGTGTTCCAGCGCACCTACCGTCATGAGTCTCGTAGTTTTCCATATCGGTAAGCCTCTCGGCCAGCTTTGTGAGCAGTGTTGTGAACGTGGGCATGAACAGGGTCAAGAGTATGGTCGGCAGGAAAGTCTAGACCAGATCAGCAGACGCCTCTCAACAGACCAAACCATGTGGCACCAGACGCACCAGGTACTGCTTGAACGGCCCGTTATACACCTCGGTGATGAAAATCTCGATCGCAAAGCAGCCGACAATCAAGCCGCCTAGTACAACCATGCAGGCCGCCGCAAACGGCACTTGCAACAGCTGCCTGGCCAACCTCTTGAAGGGCGAGTACACCTTGACAATCTCGCCGGTGACGGGATCGACGCTCTCCCTCTCAAACTGAAACTGCGGGCGCGGGTGCTGGATGCGGCTGACGCCCCGAACCCCCCAGCGGACCGCCAAATCAACCTCCTTCATCTTCCAGTGCTCAAAAAAGACGACGGACCACAAGCAATTGACAAGGGCGTAGAACCACGAGAATTTGCCCAGCATCATCCACGCGGCGAGGCCGAAGGCGGCCGGGAAGAGCAAAAAGGAAAAGTACGACTGCATAAACGCAAAGTAAAAAGCCACACGCTCCCCGAACCGGCCCCGAATCGCCTCAATGTCGGCATCCTCGAGCGAGTACTTGGTGCTCCACTGGGTGAGCCATTCCCGATTGAAAGCGTGGTCGTGCAGCGGGAAAATGCTTTTTACGAAGCGCCATTGGCCGTGCCCGCCGGCGGACTGTGCAGTGACGATCCCCGCGCCGCCCTCGTTGCGAGGTTGTGTGATGAGCAGGTAGGCGATGCGCAGCCGCTCAGCTTCGGTGACGGGCTCTTCTTCTTCTTCTTTGTCTTCGCTGTCCCTCTGAGCCGCTTCGTCCGAGGTAGGGACGGGGGCCGGGGCTGCGGCGCGCACGCCGTACAGCCAGTCCTGCACGCGCGAGCGGTACACCTGGCTCCTGAGCAGCCGGTCTGAGGCCAGGCGGACAAAGACCAGTAGGGAGGAGGGCTTGCGGGCCCGACGGACTTCGGTCGCGAAGCCCGCCGAGGAGAGTGCCGTGATCAGCTGGCTGAAAGAGGCTTCTGCTTCTGCGGCTTCTGCATTGCGGGTAAAGAAGCGTTAGCAAGGGGGAACCGGGTGTGGTGTGCTCGTTTAAGGTGATAGGATATTGGAGTGTTGATCGAACCTTCGGGCGGGATCACGTAGTGTATTACATAGTCAACGCTGTGCGTAAATAAGGTTAACTTTAGGTAAGTCTAGTGTTTGCGAGGCTTGAGGCTCACTCATAGTTGGACTTGGACCCGGGAGAGTCCTTGCCCGAGTACCTAGAGCCCGCCATGAGGACGGGACAAGATGGAAGCAAACTGGCTTTTGGTAGATGCTAGAAGAGAAGGAAAATACAAGCTATTATCCAAGAGTGAGGTGAGTTATAGCTTCGGAAGAGTTAGGAAAAAAATGTTTCCAGCTTCTTGCGGTAATCTGCGATATTTGGGCAGCTAAGAACCTTGGTGTTGAAAGGACCCGGGACAGCAGATGATCGACGTCACCCGGATGCGAAACGATGTCACCGCTGCAGATTGCATAGGCGAGCTGCAGTGGGGCCTAGAGTGGGGCTACGGGGAACCTGCCGCGGTGGTGCCCTGGTGGGGCGAGCCAGCGAGAGAGCGTCTGTGCTCTCAAGTGGAGCGCTATTCATTGTTATCTTATCAGTGTTCAGATGAACTGCTGCGAGTCGAGACTGCCGGATCGCTGTGAGCGCCGATGCTCTCGGCCGTCCTTTCCTTATTATCGCTGGACCAGATTTGTCAAAAATCATCTGAAGGCTTGTTGGAGACCCCCGGCTGGAATTTTGCTGCCACTTGTATACAGCATCTTAAGGCTAATCAGGGGAACATGTTCCTGGCTCTGTCTTCTGTTTGATCTCTGCGATGGCGCGGCATCTGCTGAAATACATACACCAAAATCTGGGAGTATATCCTCTTCTACTGCCACTCTCAACAAACCTTCATCTAAGATGCCGCTTACTTCGTAGTGAGGAAACCAGTTGCACTACATTCAATTCTCGAAACTGGCAATGCAAGTCAGAGGGCAGGATAACCCCTTGTCCCTTGGGGTATTGGATCCAGACTTCCACTGTTAGACCGGATTAAAGTCGTCCCAATTGACCCGCACCTATCACGCTACCACTTACCTCCGTACAGACTACCAGAATGCCGACAACGGCCTTACACCCCGCAATGGAACCGAGGAGATCCTTCATATATCAAAAACCAACACCCCGCGCCTCTCTGCCAGCACGTCTCTTATTATACAGTTTGGACAAACGAAGAAGCGAAGGAAAATGGACTCGCAGGAATTCAGAGCCGCAGCGGCAACGACCACTGACGATAGTGAGTGTTCGACGCCGTAGGCTCCAACCCAGCGCCAAGTTTAGTCGCCTCCTGATCTTGACACTCCAGCTACAACTTAGTTGTCAACTACTTTGACAACCTCGGTTCGAGAGATGTAGTCTCGTCGGTTAGGCCAGGCTATCTGAGGACGCTGCTCCCCGGGGAGGCTCCCCAAGAAGGGGAGCCGTGGGAAGACATCCACAAGGATATTGAGGCCAAAATCATGCCGGGCATAACACACTGGTGAGCAACGCATAAAGAGCAACAAAACGTATGTACAGTACAGTATACATGCGTTAACACCCAAGTCAGGTCCCACCCAAACTTCCACGCCTTCTTCCCCTGCGCCACGAGCTACCCGTCCATCCTGGCCGACCTCTACAGCTCCGCCCTGAGCGGCGCCTGCTTCAACTGGATCTGCAGCCCCGCCGTGACGGAGCTCGAGACCATCGTGCTTGACTGGCTGGCCAAGATGCTCGGCCTGCCCGCCTGCTACCTCTCCACGGGTCCTACTCGGGGCGGGGGCGTGATCCAGGGCTCGGCCAGCGAGGCCGTGCTTACGGCCATGGTCGCGGCGCGGGACAAATACCTGCGGGAGACGACCAAGATCCCCATCAGGTCTTCCGAGCTCTCCGACGAGGACGCCGAAGCCCTAGCCATCAAGCGGTCGCGGATGGTCGCGCTGGCCACGACGGCGACACACTCGTCGGCCCGGAAAGCCGCGCTGATCCTGGGCGTGCGCTTCAAGGCCATCCCCGTGCGCGCCGAGGACGGCTACGCGCTGACGAAACCCGTCCTCGCGGCCGCGCTGGCCGAGTGCCGGGCCAAGGGACTAGAACCCTTTTTCCTGGTCGCGACGCTCGGCACGACCGACACGTGCGCCGTCGACGACTTTGCCGGCATCAGCGCCGCTCTGGAGGAAGACCCTGACGCAGCACTAGCAGAAAGTGAAAGTGGAATAGCCAAGGGCGAGATATGGGTGCACGTGGACGCGGCCTATGCCGGCGCGGCGCTCGTCTGTCCCGAGGTGCAGGAGGCGACTGGTCTTGCGGGACCGCTCGCGCGCTTCCACAGCTTCGACGTCAACATGCACAAGTGGCTGCTGGTCAACTTCGACGCGTCGTGCCTGTACGTGCGCGACCGCGACTGGCTGGTGCAGGCCCTGTCGGTCAACCAGGCCGTGTACGGCAAGAAGCCTCTGGTTGACGCGGACGGCAACGACGTGCCCGATTACCGCGAATGGCAGATCCCCCTGGGCCGGCGGTTCCGGAGCCTCAAGATCTGGTTCGTTTTGCGGTCTTACGGCGTCCGCGCATTGCAGGCCTACATCCGGCGCACCATGCGGCTCGGGGAGGAGTTTGCCGGCTGGGTGAAGGGCAGGCCGGATTTGTTTGAGGTTTTGACGGGGCCGAGTTTTGCGCTGACCGTGTTCCGCATGGCGGAGCGGTCGCAGGGGCAGTCGCTTGAGGAGCGGAATGCCCTGACCAAGGCGCTGTACGAGAGGGTTAATGCGACAGGGAAATTATGGTTGACCAGCACCGAGCTGGACGGCAAGTTGGCGATTCGCTTGATGACGGCCGTCAGGACTACCGAGAGAGCGCATGTAAAAGCGGCATTCAAGACGTTGGTTGAGGTGGCTACAGAGGTGATCAGAGAGTGACCAGTGTCGTGAGGCAGGTATCCGACTAGATTACATCTATACCATAGCATAGGTGTATCTGCTGGATGCCATGTCCCCTGTCTGCTTCCAGCACTCGTCAACTCACTGTCTCCTGCTTCCTTCTTAACCAAGACAGTGCGCATGCGCATAAAGTCCTCTTGATGTGCTGCAATACTCACCGGCATAGATAGTACTAGAGGTTACATGGTGATTAGACGCTAGACTACCTATATAAAGTACAATCCCAAGTGGACACAACGCCGAAGAATGCCTCTCACATCTTTCTATAACCCCTTCCATCCCCACACATATTGATGCAATGCTCAAATACTCGCCCGCCGGGGCGCCATCGTCCGCCTTAAAGCCTTCTTTCCCTCCGTATCCCCATCCTCTTCGCCCAGGGGCAGCACTCCCTGCTCCTTCAATTTCTTCAGAAACTCCTGGCCATACTTATACCCGACCCCGTAAATCTCCATAAACTTACCAAAGTCCAGCGTCCCATACTCGTCAATCGGCGGACGCATATAGATACAGCCGGGCATAGCCTTGGCCCTCTCCAGCGCATCCACGCTGCTCACATACGCCAGCCTTGCCTGGATCTCGGCGAGCGTGGGCGGGTTCGGCACCGAGGAGAAGGGGTTCCATCGGTTCATAAACGCCCAAAAGCCCGAGAGCGAGTCGCCAAACTGCTGCGGCGTATTGTCGTCGAGCGAGCCCACGTCGATGGCAAAGATGACGTCGCACCCCAGCGACTTCATGTGCGACACGGTCAGGTTATCAATGTAGCCGCCGTCAAGCAGCATGCTGCCTTCGTCGCAGAGCGGCGGCAGCAGGCCCGCCAGGGACATGCTTGCCCTAACGTAGCGCCACGCATAGCCGCTGGTGTGGAACTCGGCGCGGCTTTTGCTGATGTTGGTTGTGTTGCAGTAGTAATCCAGCCAAAAGTCCTCAATCTGCGTGTTGCCGAATGCCTTGAAGATTCCGCGGTTGAACTCGTGGCCCGTCGTATATGAAGCCGATGGATACGTCAGGTCCAGCGCGAAGCGCCACATGCTGGCCATGCGGCCCGCGAACTTCTTGGCTGCGTTCACGATGGGCACCACGTCGGCGTGCCGAGCATAGAGCGCGCCAATGAAGGCCCCAATCGAAGTTCCTCCCACCATGTCGATTGGGATGCCTTCCTCTTGCATCGCCCGGATGATGCCAACGTGCGCGATGCCCCTGGCTCCTCCTCCACCAAGGACCAAACCAACCGATTTCCCGCAGAGCCGCCGCGCCAGGCGGTGAAAGTCGCCTTTGAAGGGGGCATCCGGAGAATAGAACGTGCTGTGGTGTACCTTCCTAGAAGTGTACTTCTGAATTTCTGCCTGGAGAACCTGTACCCGCTCCTTAAGAGTTGGCCCGCTTGGTTTTACGGGTGGGTGGATGGGCACGGCGTTGGGACTGTATGTCATTTGGACGTGGAAATGGCCGCCATTGATCCAGACTCGATTCTTCAACCATTTTCTGGTCAGACCGGGCATGGAGTACCGTTCCTGGTGGAGCAGAACGAGGATCTTTCTCGCGGTTGACTTCACCCCGAGCATAAAGCGTTCGTATTCTCCGATCTCGGGGGAACCGTCAGCCAGGCCGACTAGCAGAACGCAGTCGGCTTGCGTGATACAAGTCTGTGTCCACGGAGCATTGACGTTCGTGTCTAGGTAGCGATACCAAGTCAGCTGAAACAGATGAACACTAATCATCATGAGTTGTCCTTACCAGCCACGTAAATAACAAGCCCGTACTTCTCCTCCAAATCTGCCAGGTACTGCGATAGCTTGAGCTTTCCCATCTTGTTGAACGCGTGTTTGCCGAGGTGATTCAAAACGGCGGTACTATTCAACGAGGTCGCACCGTTCGGAGCGCCGACCTCCGTCAGAGCATTCAAAAGCCTATTGCCAAACTCGACTACAGGTACACCGGCCGAAACTGGCAAGACGGCAACGGTCCTAAGGTTGAGAGTTGTGAAGCTTTTGTTGATCGAACTCCTCCCAGTAGAGTCTTTCAGCCCCAGCGCAGTCGAATGATCATCGACAAGGGCTCTCATGCGGGATGCAATGATTTTAGAAATCTTGATTGTAATGTTGGGGTGTTCCTGGGCCAAGCTGTTGAAGAGAGTCCGGGGAAACTTGACCAGCTCCGTGTCCCGTATAGCATGTAGGGTGCCGGACCGAGAAGATTCTGTCAGTACCTCTAATTCTCCGATACTCTCTCCCTGGCCAAACTCGGCCTTGACATTCATCCCGCCGTCTTTCCGGTCCTCCACCAATCGGGTACGGCCGTTCAAAACGATATATATGGCCTCGCTTTCGTCTCCCTCGTGGAAGATCACTTGACCGGCATTGACCTGAAGCCATTCCAAGGCAAAATCGATATGAAGAATCAGACGGGGTAGCAGGTTTGTGAGTCTCTTTGCCATGGTCAAGAGCACGATGGGATATCTGTCGACGATCCGCTCGATTGAAAGCCGAGGAAGAAAACCGACATAAACGTCGGTCTTTGCCACGACGTCAATGAAAGATCTGTACGACGAAATGGTTCCCACGTAACCAGCGAGCCCGCCAGGCTTGATCAAGGCCACGCTTCGCCGGTATGCTTCAGGCTTCTTTTTGATATCTTCGACGTTATTTCCCTTGCGCATGGATGCAGCCACCCGACGAGGCGAGCGAAGCGACTCATTACTCTCCATGGCATGTAACGACGTCCTGCCGGAGGCCTGAACCACATCAGATGAAGTAGCCTCTTCCTGGGTGCACACGTCCAGAAAGCCGTCAATGACATAATAAAGGCCGGGGTTTCTCTCGCCTTGTTCAACCAATACGGAGCCTTTGGGAAAGAAGACTATCTCCATCTCATCTCTCATCTCTTGCGCGAGCGCGTGGGCGTTCGGGACTGGCGACGCAGATAGCCCCGCAGAAGTCATGGACTCCGAATCGCCGTCGGGAGATGCTTCAAGCCCATCCATGAACCCAAACGCATGGTTAGTAAAGACAGCTTTCTGGCGCCTCTGATCAAAGGATACGAGCCGTGGAGAAGCCTGTGTCGAGTCTGGTTCTCGGTTTGCCCCGTTGCTGGTCAAGCCAATGGCCTTGAATATGCATTCCAAAGTAGACTCCCGAAATATATTGTCTTCGTCGAGAGTCTCCCTCTTGTCCCGAGAGCTATGGGCGTTCCTCTGCGTTTTGAAGGGGCTGAAGGGGCGTTGAGTCAACGGAGACACGGCGTCCCTTTGGAGGCCTAGGTGCGGAGCTTGGTCGTCGGAGAGATTGGCGCTGAGTGGCCGGTTGCTGCCGCCCCTTGCCTGATGGAGGTCCGCTAGAAGGTCGCCAGGGCCAGCAACTTCCAGGGGTGTCACAATCATTGACTGCTGGCGCTGCTTCGAGAAGGCCTGCAGGGCAGCCTCTTTCCGGAGCGTCGTGCTCGAGCGACGACGACGGCCGGCGCGGGCGTTGTGGAGAGCTATCCCCTTGCTAAGATCCTCTTCTCCAATTCTTTCCCTTTCCCGCTTGAACTTTTCCTTGAGTCTATCTAACGCATCACCACGGAGGTGGTTAGGGAGTTGCTGCGTCGTGTATTTGAGCATCTGGCGCTCCGTTTGCAAAACCTCGCAGGTCAGGCCAAGATAATTGTACGCCGTCGCAAGAGTAACTCTCTGGAATCTTGATAGGATAACGTGGACAATGTGTGCGGTGGCCTTGGGGTATATTCTTATCAAGCGCCGAAAAGCACTGGCTGGAATGATAGCGATGGTGGTATCTACCGTTGCTCTCGCGATGATGTCTGGGTGAGCCGAATTGATGCTGCTTCGCTGAGGGGCAAACCCGTGGAGCCTACTGCTGCCATTACCATCAAGAGAAATTGGCGGTATACGGGGCAGGGCGCGGCCCGAGCCGGGAAGGGTGAGGTGCTCAGGCGGCGTTTCGGCCGAGTTCTCGGCTGGACCATCCATCTGCGGAGTCCCCGGAAGGGACGTTGGCACTCTTTGTGTTTTGCGAAAATCAGCGCTAGTAGGATAGCCATGAACCAAAGCGTTGAGGGCAGCTGTTCCGGGTCCTGGGCTGTCGTCGTCCGTCTGACGCATCGGCACGTCTTCGGTGAAGAGGGACATGATGGAAAAGAGCGAGGACATGGGAGCGCCATTCCGCACCTCCGTCAGCAGCTGGTACCGCTGATGCCCAGGGGCGGACTGCTCGTCGTCGCTCGACGGGGGCTCGCTGGTGGGCCCGACTTGAGCACTGTGACCAAACCGGCGGCTGTCGCTGGACGGTCTTACGAAGATCTGGACTAGGCCGTCGACTACCAGGCAGAAGCCCTTCTCCTCCTCAAGGTTAAAAGTTTCGCCAGCAATAAGCTTCCTGGTCTGCATGCTGCGGGTTAGCTCGTGGAATACGGGCCGCTCCAAGTATCCGAAGATCTTGATGGCGCTCAGGAACTCGTCAAAGTAGCTCGCTAGTCCAGCCTTGACCCCCTCCTCGTGTGTGTCTGGGAAGAGATCGACGTCGGGTTCCTTGCGTTGAGGTTCGGGGGGTAGGCGGGAATACATATTGAGGTAGCGGTATCTGACCACCAGGCTAATAGCCGTCATCATCGCGGCCACGATGAGCATCCTATGAGCTGTTAGACTTGTCGTCACACAGAGGCCCTGAATACCTACAGAGTAGTGGCATTCATGGTCACGGTGAGGCTGGTTGAGAAGAGGGTGTAGAGGAGGGTGGGTATCGAGATAGTGGCCAGCTTGATGGTGTAATAGAGTATTGTCGATACCAGCTGGAGAATCCAGAGGACGAGCCTTGCAAATAATCCAAGCCATGAAGAGGATCCATGGGCGTTCGCAACATCGCTAGCTACAGCCACAGCCGAGGAGAGCGGATTAGACGACCCATCGCCGGCAGCAGCAGCAACTGATGCCATTGCCCCGACGGCCGTCGAGTCCATTACATCCATTGTGAACGTCGTGGTTCAAGAATCAGTCGCTACCATTGGAACCACGAAAACCAGTCTCGTTCAAAGTGGTACATCAGTCAGAATTGCGCGCGAGCAATGGATTGCCACGACATGTCGGCTTCGCGCTCTCGAGTTCTTCGTTCTGAAGGTTGCTAGTGTTGGAACAATGGTGACTCGAGAAGCTGCAGGTTGCCAGCAATGTGACAATACTTCGTAGGTCGATCTCGATTTGCGTTCCTTCTATATTGGAGAGATACTGCCCTGCTCTTGAGAACTCGATCGAAAGGAGAATTGGGTAGTAGATGGGACCAGCCTGCCAGAGCTCCCTTTACCTTGCCAGTTCCACTCAGAATGCAAATGGAAGGAATGGATGGAAGCAACCCGAATCCATTTCCTGACGTAGTTCGTACATTGTACCTCAGGTAAGGTACCCTTGAATTCTGCCGTAGTGGGGTGAAGCTCTCTTGCTCACCGACACCGAGGAGCAGGGGTTGTGCCGTGCTTTGCCGAGTCAGCCAAGCGCGCCATCCATTTCTCACCCCGCCACCCCGCCGAAAACGCACCAGCCACAGCCTACTTGCTTTGCGTGGTTGCACGTAATTTTTGGCGGGCGTTTTGAAAATAGTGTGGGCCCAATGACTGTTTCTTTGACAGGCAAACTCTCGACGTGCTACAACATTCACTCCCTTATTTCCTCGAATCTCGATCAGATACATGCGACTCGCCGTCGCAGTTGAGGTCCAAGGACGATCGAAGCTACCAAGAGCCCTAACTTCGAAACATTCTTACGTGCGTTTCACGTAGCGGCCCGACGCTGCGCAACTACTCTACATCCCACCTTTGCCCCGCCTGGGAACGGCACCCTCCGACAAGATGTCGCTCTCAAACTGCCGGTTTTATGAGGAGAAATACCCTGAGATTGACTCCTTTGTCATGGTGAATGTAAAACAGGTAGGACAGTTTCGTGCAGATCCTTGAGCTGCTAGAATAGCACTGACTGGCGGCCAGATCGCCGACATGGGAGCCTATGTCAAGCTCCTCGAATACGATAACATCGATGGAATGATTCTCCTTTCCGAGCTCTCGAGGCGGCGTATTAGGAGCATTCAGAAGCTGATTCGCGTCGGTCGCAATGAGGTTGTTGTCGTACTGCGTGTCGACAAAGAAAAGGGTAAATACCCCTCGTCGCTACCGGCGTCAATGTTGCTAAAGGGTCAATAGGTTATATCGATCTTTCCAAGCGTAGAGTTTCCCCAGAGGATATTGTCCGCTGCGAAGAGCGATACAACAAGAGCAAGATTGTGCACTCAATCATGAGACACGTCGCTGAGAAGACCCAGACCCCGATCGAGAAGCTTTACGAGACAATAGGCTGGCCGCTCAACAAGAAATATGGTCATTCTCTTGACGCCTTCAAGATCTCAATAACGTATGTTGTGCGCTGCACCGCTCACTCTTTGGGAACTCTGGCTTATCCCTCGTATACAGCAACCCCGAAGTCTGGAATGATATCCAATTTCCCAGCGAGCCTGTCGCGGAGGAGCTGAAGTCATACATTGGCAAGCGCTTGACTCCTCAGCCGACAAAGGTCCGGGCCGACGTTGAGGTCACCTGCTTCGGTTACGAGGGCATTGACGCCATCAAAGCGGCGCTGTCAACTGCCGAGGCGAGCAACACGGCCGAGACTCAGGTCAAGTGCAGGCTTGTCTCCCCACCTCTCTATGTGTAGGTACCCCATCGCACGGAGCACGACATTGCCGTTCATATAGTCGGATTCAAAGCTAACTCGGTCCCAGCTTGACAAACACATGCCTGGACAAGAATGCTGGCATTGCGCGATTACAAGAGGCCATTGACGGCATCCGTACAAGCATCGAGGCGGCGGGCGGCAACCTGATCGTAAAGATGGAGCCCAAGGCGGTTACTGAGTCGGACGATGCAGAGCTCCAGGCTCTCATGGAGAAGCGTGAGCGCGAGAACGCCGAGGTCAGCGGTGATGAAAGTGTCAGCGAGAGCGACGAAAACATCCCTGAGACTGTCTAGACGTGGCTTTTGTTCCACACACCTTTTCAAACCGGACTGCATGGCGAGGGGTATCTTCTCCTTTGTAGGGGACCAGCGAATTAGAGGAGAAAGGGTCGGAGGAATATTTCAGAATCCGCGACGTGGCTGGGTGTCTACGGGATCAGACGAGTCCTCTACACGATAGAGACAGCTAGCTCCCCTGGGGTCATGCAAGGGAAAAGGAAAGGGAAAAATAGCGAATCATCACTTTATGGACGAAGTGAATCAGTGTAGTCAGTGCAGTGTAGTCAGTGCAGTGTAGCGTAGCATCAAGTATGCACTCACAGGTGATTATGCAACAATGGAGGCGGTTGCTTATCGCCTTATCTGACCAAGCTCACTCACACCTCGCCTAAGCTTCGCTGACTTCAGAGCCGACACGCAACTGCCAGTGAGCCTGCATTTTTGCAGCGAGACCACCAACGAAAGAAGGCAGAGAAACCCCCAATGTCAAGATGGGGTGGCAGCTGGGGAGGCCGCGCTAAGTTCCTCTCGCAATTCTCGCACTACCTCTTTCGCTATGCGACCTGGATCCCACCCCTGATCTGGTTCAACACTTATGTCGCTGAGGTCACCTTCATCCGCGGGCAGTCCATGTACCCCTTTCTGAACCCACACTATCACGAGTCCCTGCGCAAGGATCTCTGTCTGGTATGGAAACTGTATGCACATGAAGGTCTGAAGAGGGGTATGGTTGTTACGTTTAGGTGAGTTGCTTTTGTCAGTCGCTGCTTTCTTCTCTCAAGGCATGTTCTGACGAGGACAACAATGAGTAGAAATCCGGATGATCCCAACAAGATAGCCGTCAAGAGGATTGTCGGTCTGGAGGGTGATGTTGTGCGCACCAAGCCGCCATATCCGTACGATCACGTCTGTGTTCCTGAAGGGCATGTCTGGGTAGAGGGAGATGGGGTCTTGAGCCGGGACAGTAACTATTACGGGCCCATCTCTGTGCGGCTTATCACTGGGAGGATCACTCATATCCTGTCGCCCTGGGAAAGGGCTGGCAGAGTGAGGTGGTGGGAGCACCCGCTCAGGGGGGGTGTTAATCGGGCAGCCTAGAGGAAGAAGTTTATTCGAGAGCGGAATGGCAAAGTAGGCTGTTTATCCAGAACACCGGTGTATCGCAGGCGATACCATGCCAGGCAAGGACGCATTGTTTGAGCCTGGGTCTAGTTATTTTGAGCCGGTTACACTTTTCATATTGTCCTTTCCACTTGGAACGGCACGCGGGATGCCTTCGTTTCACAAAGAGCTCCGGAGCCTGCCCGTGGAGTGTGGGAACTGGGAAGATCTCTTTTAGTGGCATAAGATACCCGTGCACGGGCCATTCCTTATCGCTTCCAGAAAAAATAACGGTCCGACAACGCCGCCCCGAGATTCATAAACCGAACTTTTTTCGATGCGCCATTGACTTCCGCAACGTCGTGACGCCGTAATACAGCAACGCTTTGCGCCCGCTCCTCGGGAGGCGGATTGTTTTCTCCTTCTCTCAAGGGGCGATGGTGCTGGGCTTTGAAAGGGCCGCCTGCAACCCATCGACCGCCCCGCCTTCGCCCTTCCGCAACAACCCGGATATAGACCCGGCCGTCCTCAACGATAGACATGCGGATACACGGCAACTCCTGTCGCATAGCATCACCGCCGGAACCGAATCGCTGCATGATAATAATAATATGAAATCCAAAGATGGAGAGGAGGAAGGGCGTCCGCCTTACCTTCATGTGGGTCCAGCGTCTTCTCGCCTTGCTTGCGTTGAATGCTGACCCGACTGAAAGTGCATGCTTGCCGGAGGGTTGGGCGGCGCCAGCGGCGACATGCTCATGCATTCCCTAGATACAGTCAAGACGCGGCAGCAAGGCGATCCTCACATCCCGCCCAAGTACACCTCACTAGGGTCCTCATACTTTACAATTTTCCGACAAGAAGGGATTCGGCGCGGGTTATATGGCGGTTGGATCCCCGCACTCTGTGGCTCCTTTCCCGCAACCATGTTGTTCTTTGGGAGCTACGAATACAGCAAACGACGGCTTTTGGAATATGGCGTCCAGCCACATCTGGCGTATTTGACAGCCGGTCGGTCCAATGACGTGTCCCGGACGGGATTTTTGTTGTTCTGACCCTTCTGTATTTCAGGCTTCATTGGCGACTTCGCTGCGTGCACTGTATATGTGCCTTCGGAGGTACTCAAGACTCGCCTGCAGCTCCAAGGGCGGTACAACAACCCGTATTTCAACTCGGGTTACAACTACAAGGGGACCGTTGATGCCTTCAGGACGATCATTCGAACCGAAGGAGTCTCTGCATTGTTCTACGGTTACGGTGCCACGTTGTGGCGCGACCTCCCCTTTTCGGCCCTTCAATTCATGTTCTACGAGCAGAACCAGAGCTGGGCTCGCCAATGGAAAGGCAGCCGCGACATTGGGTGGGAGTTGGAGCTTTTGACGGGAGCGGCGGCCGGGGGTCTGGCCGGTACCATGACATGTCCTCTCGACGTTGTCAAGACGAGACTTCAGACTCAGGTTCATCCGGAAGCCGGAGGGCTCAGCGTCGCCCAACCGACCAACACACCGCCGACGGGGACGAGCAAGGACGGGCACGCCAAAACGAGTACTGAGGCAGCGCAACAAAAGCTCCAAAAGCGATTAATATCGACGTCATCTCCGTCAACGCATACACCTCAACCTGGGACTGTCACGCTCCAAACATCCTCGATGATTACCGGGTTACGGTTAATCTACCTGACAGAAGGCATTGGGGGTTGGTTTAGAGGCGTCGGGCCGCGTGCTGTTTGGACCAGCATTCAGAGCGGGTGCATGCTGTTCCTGTACCAATCGATTTTACGCAAGTTAGAGTTATACCTGCCCATGGAGCGGCGCGAGCTCGCTTAGTGACGCAAGCCTAGAGCATGGCATGTCGTGAGCCGTGTGAAGGTTAGTAGAGGTTGGCTGTATTATTTTGTACCATGTACCTTATGTATGGAGGAGACTGGGGATGGGAGGATGCGGGCGTTTTGGTGCTGGCTGGATAGAAACGTACAAGATAGACATCCATGTTGATATACATATACAATACCATCCTCATTCTTAACCACCAATCCTGAATACTTACACTTGATAATAAGATACACGAGATACGCAATGTTCGATTGTAAGGTATCTGTACGGAGTAGTCCGTACTTTTAAGACATCTCAGGTCCCGATTGCGTGGGTGAATGCCGCAGAGGGCCGCGATTGGTCGACTGCAGAGCTCATGTGGGGTTCCATGGGCGCATCACCTCATGCCTGGAAAACGGCTGCAGAGCTAACCACTTTGCCAAATCTTAGGGAATGGACGACCTTACTTGAACGACGAAGTGCCGAAACACGCCCCCGAACTGAACTATACGATGCATTGAAGACGAGATGGAAACTGCAATACAGGGACTACCATGTCATCTTCGCTTCCTGTGCCCTCCAAGGCTGCCTTGACGGCACTTCGAGGCCTCGTCGTGGGCACCTCGTGCACCCTCGCCCTGATCGCCGAAGATCGCCGGCGAAAAATCAACAATGCCGTGCGCGTCATTGAAAATGGCCAGAAGATCAAGTCAGCGAGGCGATATCGCGCCGGCGGGGCCGCGCTCGTTGCTGCTTTGGAGGAGGAGGCGCTGTCAGATCCAGGCTGGTTCTCCATCCTCCCAGCCCATGTGCCGCCGCAGCAGTACGGTTCATCACCGCCGACCCCGATGCAACGGACAAGGCGGGATATTAAAGGAGCAGTCAATGGGGACGGCATTGAGAGCATAGCCGAGGTATCCAGGCCGGAACTGCCCGTCCCAGACAAGACGGTTGTGCCACAGCAGGAGGACCCAATCAAGACAACCATGCCAAACGATGATGCTAGGCGACCGCGTCGACCTACCCCGAGGCTGCGAAAACTTCATGCAGATCCAGCGAAGCGGCGGATTATGCCACTTGAGGCAGGCCCCAAATGGCTTCGGGCAAACACGGACGTCTTGAAGGCTTATGCATGTCCCACAAACGAGGAAGTCATAGCGAGGGTGAGGAACGCGTGCGAGGCCCGAGATGCCCGTCAACTCAGCAACGCCTTGCGCCTCGTTATCGAAGTGATGGGAGAAAAGGACGCACCAGCCAACTCGGACGAAGCATGGATTGAAACCACCGCGCTGCTGTGTCGGACATGTCAAGAGGAGGGACGAGTCGAGGATGCCGCGAGGCTCCTCAATCGGGTAATATCTCGAGGTCCGTTAAAGGAGGATGTCTATTTCAGGCACAACCCGTTCGCGCTGATCGAGTCACTGCTTGCTCGAGCGGAACTCAGCGAGCATGAAGGAGTCAATTACCGAGCAGAGACCCTCAGCAGTGCAATCAACTTGTTCTTGCCAACCTTTACGGAGCAACCAGCCGAACCCGATCCCCAAGCCTACCAACTCGGGCGTAGGTTACTCGAGATGACATTTTCGACTAGTTCAGCACATCGTGTGATTGGGCTGTTCCGGCGTTGTTTCCTGTTTGCAGGAGACAGCTCGGAAAATCTAACCTCTTGGTTCCTCACGAAGCTCTACGAGATGCACGATTACAAGTCCGTAGTGAAGATATTTCTCTCCACATATGCCAAGACCTCTCCCCCCGAAGAATCTGTTGGCGCTATAGGAGACAGAGTCGTCGACAGCGTCAAGCTCGCCCACAATTACAGGGCCGATGAGGTCCTGGAGAATCTCCATGGCATTTACTCCAGTCTTGGGCATGCCAAGATGAAAGCAAGATGGGTGATGGAGCTACTGACCGCGCACTGGGCCAAACATCGCAGCTTTGAAAAGATCGAGTCGCTCTTTGCGCTTTTGGGGCCCCCCAACATCCAAAAAAAGGTGATCCACCCCGAGGCCGTATATCGTGTTATGGTTGAGCTCGCTCTGGAAGCGGGGGAGGAAATGAAAGCCGAGTCATACTTTCGCGATGCTGTCGCTCAAGACGCCCGGCAAGCCTCGGACATCCGGTTGTTAGGCGTCCTTGCTCGCTTCCATGCCAAGAATGGCGACTGGGAAGCAGTTCGCAGCGCATTTGCAGCCATGAATTGGGAAGCGAAGGCAAATTCCGAGGGGAACTCCAAGGCCTATGGCCATGCGTTCGTTCCGATCCTCAAAGAGTACATCCAGCATCATACGATTCGCGAGACGGAGGAGTTTGCGAAATCCTACATTGACGAATTCAAAGTACCGTTATCCAGCTACACGGTTACATTGATGGCCAAGCAGTACGCAGCCATCCGTGATGTCAGATCTTTGATCGACTGGTTGGAATACTGCAGCCGAGCGGGTTTTACCGTCGACGCCGCTTTCAGCAACGCCATCCTGGTAAGCTGCCGGAGAGAATGGAAATTTCCATTCAGAGATCTCCGTACACTCTTCCGAAAACTGAGGTCCCTAAACCCCTATTTTGTCGACAGGCATACGGAGCGTATCATGGCGGATGCTGCGCTCTCGGCGTCTAAATACGGCGGGAAAGCCGCTAAGGGGCGGCTCCTCTCACTGAGGATTGACCCGAGCAAAGTAGCGATCAAAAACAAATGCACCCAGGTGGATGATGTTCGCCTCGCAATGAAAGAGGCCATAACATGCCATCGGCCCGAGAGCGCCGTCCGAATCTACAAACTCGCTCTACATCAGGGAATGCCATTTTGCCCGCAGATCTTGCGCTTAGCGGTGCAAGCGCGGTTCAAGTCAGCACCCAATGGCTTGTTCGGGGCGTTGGAGCTGATTCGTGACGCCGAGAAAAGGGGCCAAGATACAGAACCGGCCATCAATTACCTCCTCGCCATGCAACTGGCCGAGATTACCGCCACCAGAGACCCAACAAATACCCTGAACACAATCCGGGCCGCTCTTGCGCAGTTCAAAAAACTTGGCATCCACCTGACAGACCGGTCCCTCCACCGCGCGGCCCTGACGTGCCTCGAAGCCGGCCACTTCCAGGGGGCGATCGGCTATGCCCTCAAGGCGGCCGAGGCAGCGGGCATGTCGGCGATAGGGCCATGCTACAACCTGCAGAACTTCAAAATCCTGCTGTCCGCCTACGCCGAGCTGGTCGACGTGCCGGGCATCAGGGACACCGTCCGTCGGGCGCTCGTGAGCCGCTACCGCGAGGACACGGCCTGCCTCAGAGCCCTGAAGCATGCGCGCGCCAAGGTCGCGCACGCGACTGCGCGGGGCGGCGTCACCGAGGCGCAGCGACGGCTGGCTCGCGCCGCCATCGACGGAGGCATCGATACCGTCGTGAATGCCAGGGAGAACCTGCGCCACGAGGCTAAGCAGCTCTGCGAGGAGGCGCTGCGGATCATGAAACGCGCCGCGCTGGATGCCGGCTGTCCGCCTGTCGACTTTGAGGATATCCCCTGGCTTGGTGGGGGGAAGGGGAAGGGGGAGAGGAATCGTGCTGGGGGTGGGAATAGTAACGAGGTTGTGGACGACGACGGCGACGGCGACGGGGGGTTGCCTCGCTTTGACGGTGCGGACGGCAAGGAACCGTGCAGCTTGGGTCTGGATGATAAGAGAGTGCCTGCTCGCGCGATAACGGCGGTTGAGGCGTTCTGAGAGGAGCCATGTCTACAAAATATCTACTTGTCTGTATCTGGGAACGGGCAACTTGTAGCGTCCACCGTGTCAGTGTATGTGTAAGCTCTGTATGTATGCGTATGTGTTTGTATGAAATGTATATATGTGTGTATTAATCATGTCTGCCATGTTGTTGGCCTCTGGACACTAGGTAGCAGCCTTAAATTCCATCCGACAGCGAAGGGACTGTTGTTGGGGCTCAGAAGAAGACAAAACATACCACCGCTGGAGCTCTGGTCTTGGCGATCAGGCCTTGTCCGGAATGCCTGCGCAATCGACTGACATGTGAATTTTTGTGGTCAGGGGCAAAAGCATGATCAGTGGGTCCCTACGCGCATACCCGATTGGCCTGATTGGCTAGCCAGGGACTGACAACCACAATGGTGCCTTCCGCATGGGACGATTTGCTTCAGAAATCGGACTTCGATAATTTCATCAACTGGCCTTCCTTCCCTTTAGAACTCAGCAACCAACGACAGCCGTTGGTGTGCTGAAAGGGTGTGTGATACCCAGACTGCTTCATCTACATACGGCCTGCAGCGTTCCATCTTTCTCCGTCATAATATTTCTCTTCCCTCGTCTTAGGCGTCGACTTTGTACTGTACCCATTCCTTCTCAGCCCCCCTTGTTCAAAGGAGTGAAGTAGTCAAGTCAATCTCAAGACATCCATTCATCCAATCGCTCGGTAGCACCCGCGTTCGCAACCAAAGATTCTACCTGCCTTTCGACTATATAGGCTTGCGGTACAGAGTTACTCAGCGGCAGCCGACTGCGTCATGGCGGCAGCGGCCATATCCCAGGCCGACCGCATTCGTGAACGGCGAGAGCAGCACCATGAGGCCGAGGTAGTCGTGGTCGGCGCTGGTGTCTTTGGGTGTGCCATTGCCTTTGCACTCGCGAATCAGGGGCGCAGCGTTATCCTGCTTGAGCGATGGATGCACGAGCCGGACCGTATAGTTGGAGAGCTACTGCAGCCGGGTGGTGTTGAGGCGTTGAAGAAGCTGGGGTTAGAGGGCTGTCTCGAAGGCATCGACGCGGTGCCATGTCATGGCTATCATGTAGTATACAGGGGAGACGATGTCGCGATTCCTTACCCAGTGGTCAGCCCTGAAGGAAAGGTGGTTGTTGGGAATCGGACAACAGCGAATGGGCACGCCAATGGGGATGCAAATGGACTGAAGAAAGCTGCTCGGCCGGAAGGCAGGAGTTTTCACCACGGCCGCTTCATAATGAAGCTGCGAGAGGCCTGCAGAGCGCACCCAAACATCTCCATGTTCGAGACCGAAGCGACGGCGACGATCAAAGGCGAGCACAGTGACGCTGTCTTGGGAGTAGAAACCCGGACCAAGAATCCCGAGACGGGCAAGAAAGAACCCGATTGCTTCTTCGGCCAACTGACCATCATCGCCGATGGCTATGCATCCATTTTCCGCAAGTCCCTGCTCAACAAAGCGCCCCTCGTCCGCAGCAAATTCTACGCCCTCGAACTCATTGACTGCCCCTTCCCGCCCGCCAACTACGGCCATGTTGTCATCGGCCCCTCGTCCCTCTGCCTCCTGTACCAAATCGGCACGCACGAAACACGCGCCCTAATCGACGTCCCAGAGAAGCACCCCGACGCGACTCCGGCCAACGGCGGGGTGCGCGGCTACATCGAAAAGGTCGTCCTCCCTTCCCTACCCTCGCAGGTGCAGCCATCGGTGCGGACGGCGCTCTCGGACGGGAAGATCCCACGGAGCATGCCGAACAGCTGGCTGCCGCCGACCAAGCAGACGACGCACGCGGGCGTGGTGGTGCTGGGCGACGCGCACAACATGCGGCACCCCCTGACGGGCGGCGGCATGACGGTGGCCTTCAACGACGCGGTGCTGCTGGCGTCGCTGCTGCACCCGACCTACGTGCCTGACCTGGCGGACCACGCCGCCGTGCGCCGCGCCATGGCCGCGTTCCACTGGCGCCGCAAGAGCCTCACTAGCATCATCAACGTGCTCGCCCAGGCCCTGTATGACCTCTTCGCCGCCGACGACTGGCAGCTCCGCGCCCTCCAGCGGGGCTGCTTTAGGTATTTCCAGATGGGCAAGACGGATGAGCCCGTCGCGCTCATGGGTGGGATCATGCACCGCCCGCTGGTGCTGGCGTCGCACTTTTTTACCGTGGCGTTTGTGGCCATTTGGATGAACATTGTGGAAGTGTGTGGCGGATCGGTGCTGGGCATTTTGAAGCTGCCCTTGGCGTTGGTGCAGGCTGTGTTGATCCTGTGGAAGGCGTGCGTGGTGTTTTTGCCAGTCTTCTGGACCGAACTAATGTGAATAGAACTGAGCGGATTGCAAAAGGGGTGTGTTTGAGCTTTCACTGTATGTAGTTAGATACGATTTATTATCGCCGCTAGTACTATCTGTTAATGATGGATAGATATAATGGTAATGGAACGTTGGTCATGATTAGGAGTCCAGGTCTGGTTGCGAGAATTTCTGAGTTTATATACGCGGTTAAACAGTCCATACATGAACTAAGAAGAGGGATGGGGGTATCCGTAGCGAGATACGTATGGGTTTCCCAAGCAACTAGGAATACGCAGAAGCTATGTCTTACAATGAAGCAAATCCAATGTACATAAACTCAGCCTATGGCATGCCATGCTGACTCAGGTTAACCGCCGCCGGTACACCCCCATCATCCAACTCGCCCGGAGCACAGCCAGCCCGATGGCCATCCGGATGCTGTCCTGGACCAGGCTCATCTTGCTGCCGGGAACCTCGTGCCAGCCGACGGGCACCTCGGCCACCTTGATGCCGTAGCTGGTGCCGATGACGGACCCGTCGCTGGCCAGGACGGGGGTGGCGGGCGCCGACTCAGCCAGCATGAGCATCTCAATGTCAAAGATCCACCCTTCCGAGTGCATGTAGGGCACAATGTGGGGCAGGGCGGCGCGCGAAAAGAGTTTGAAGCCGCACTGCGTGTCGCGGATCCGTGACGTCGCGGGCGGCGTGAGGATCATGAGCACGAAGTGGAAGGACCGCATGAGAAAGTTGCGGATTGCGGAGCGCTGTGATTGTTGGGTGTGAACTGTGTTAGTAGGCTGAGAGGAATCGTAATGGGGGGTAGAAAAGGGAAGCTGGTTTTTTTCCTTCTTCTTTGGAGATTTACATAGAGAGCATACCTTGACAACGGCCTCGCTGGCTACCAAATGTGCCCTGCTCCCGATGGCCACCCCCCTATTGGACCCGTCCACGACGTCCTCGCACCCTTCTATTAGCCGGCCGAGGTCGCTGAACCGGCTGGCCCCGTCGGCGTCGGCAAACACGGCGTACTTGCCCCGTACATGCCGCAGGCCGTGCGTCACGGCCCCGCCCTTGCCACGGTTCTTCTCAAGCGTTATCACCCGGAGGATGTCGTGCAAGCCGTGCTTGCGCGAGAATTCAAGGGCAACCTCGACTGTGCGGTCCTGGCTGCCGTCGTTGACGACGAGGATTTCGTAGCCTGACGGGCCAGCACCATCCTGCCCCTGCGACTTTGACGGGTGCGGCGTGTTTCCGCTTCCTGGGCTGTCGGGCTTGAAGACGAGGCGGTGCGGCGTCGTGCCCTTGCCCTTCCTCCCCTTCTTCTGCTGTGCAAGCTTTTGTTGCTGTGCCGGCGGGGATGGTCCACTGCTGGCGTCCGGTCTACCAAATTGCTGGTCTAGATACTCAACCATCTCCTCAAGAGCAGCGGAGATGCGGGCCCCCTCGTTGTATGCCGGGATCACGACGCTCACTTCTACCTCGGCCGGCTCGATGATGGCCTGGTCGGGGACGGGAAAGCCAGCGGGGATGGTGGGGTATTCCTGGTTTCGGCGACCTTCGGCGCGCCAGCGGTCATACCAACAGGGAAGCGGCCGCGGGGCACTGACGGTGCCATCTGGGTTGGTGGTGAGGTAAGTCTTTTCAGACGGAAACGGGAGTCGGGGCGTATGGGCGATAAGGTGGAGGAAGATGTATATCTGGGGCGTGTCTTCGTTAGGCACTTTGATATTGGGGAGGATGCTAACGGGAGACCGGGGAAAGTGGGCATACACATAAGATCCCCAGTCCAGCAAGCGGGAGGACGGCAGAAAGGAAAAGATGGAAGGGCCTCTCTCGAGCAGTTTCATACGAGATCCAGACCAGCTGCCTCAACGCCTCGAATGAGCCCTCGATAATCGCCATTGTAGACTGCGCCAATCCGCGCAAGAGAGAAGAAAGAAACAAAGGGTGTCAGGTTGTCAATCGACGAGGCTGTTAACTTGCACACCTGTCACGAAGTTGTCGGGTTGGGGGGCAACAAGGCTGGCGAATCATAGCAAGCCGGGGGGCCTGTCGATCGTCCTATCCGAGGTGCCTGGACCCACAAGGCTTAACGTTGGCACGTTGGCGATTTGCGATCGAATCATCGAACTAGGTACAGAAGGCCCAAGCTCCCTAGGGGCCCTTCGAAGCTTACAGCTTTACAGGTACCTAGGTGCTTTACCTACCCTAACTGCCCGGAAGTTACGAAAATTGAACAACCTTCTCTGACCCTGCTGGTGTGATGGGTTTCCTGCTACCCTCAGGTATTCACCCGACCACCCCGAAGGATACGTGAGGTCTTGAGTATGGTTGTGCACTCGTGTTACAACGGAGCGGCCCGATCGAGGGACATCACACAATCTCCGTCATCCACGCGGACAAACCGTCCGCTAGCATCCAGTGATCAGGGGTCTTGTCATCATATATCGTAAATCCCTCAAGCCTTAGCAACTATGTGGATGTTTTCGTCTCTACCGACGTTGTACAATACGCAGTCTATGTATTGTATGAATTGCAGCACCTTCCCTTTCGAATGCGGATTACAGAACGCCTCGATTACCCAAGCTATCCTGGTCCTCGGTGCTGCATGGATCTTTTTTGCGTCTAGGTTACCTAATGGACGGTGAGTCTCCGTAAGCACGCAGTATGAATAATCCCTGACCACTTCCTCCAAAGACCCGGGAGAGCTCGATATTTCGGTTCTCGGGGCGGTCGGTTCACTACTCGGTCGGCTGGTAATGCTAGCTTGGTAAAAACGTCAGCTGAGTCCTTGCAGCATTCGGTTCCTACACTAAGGGTTCAATATGAGATAATTTGATGCAACCCTTACGAATGCCTCGCCGCTGACAAGCCTGAGAGTTGAACCCTGGGTGCCATTCAAACGAAGGCTGAATGGTGTTCCCCTTCTGTGACACAGAATGGTTGCCGAGATGAACTAGTGGTGCCTGTCATATCGTCTCTTTGCTGAGGCTTTGAAGACCCAGGCATGTATGTACGGATACTGTGAACACCCGCCCCGCCGTTGGTTCACGCTTCATCCATAATATATATGCAGCCGCCCTTTGCACCACCTGGACTACAGTGAACCAACCTGTTGGACCTGAAAGCATTCATACATGACATTCTACCTAGATCATTGGGCCATTCATACGATCAGATCCAGCGCAACGCTCCGTCGGAGCAGGACAGTCAAAAACGGTTAGGCACTCGCAAAGCCCTCCCCGACCTGGAAGGCAACGGCTGCAGCATGGGGATAGTTGCTGCAGACGCACCGACGCAAGAGCTGCACGGTAGGTATGTAGTAACATGCAATGTCAAGCAAAACGGAAAAGTTTTCAGCTGATGCTGTCATGGTAGCCACCTCCCTATCTCCTTGAAGGTGGAATGGTGACAAACAAGGTAACCCTAAGGTTGTCTTACACAGTAAGCTAGGTACCTTAGGTCAGTACCTAAGCTCTTCAAGCTCGAGGTGGCACTTGTAGATTTGGTATCTAAAGCTCAGGCAGAGGGACCAAGGTATCCGTATCATCGACGCATCTTAGATAAGAATGCAGGAGAGGAAAAGAGGCGCAAGTCCTAAAGGGGGCAGGTGCCTAGTGTAAAGTACGATAATCATTAGCCTTGGAGATTACCTTTTGGTATTTATGGTCAGACAGTTCGATGAGCGGCAATCTACAACATGGAGATGCAGAGAACGCTTCAAGTTCGTCCAGTCTATCCGGACAGCACCATCAAGACTCCATCCAGCTCGGTTCCTGGAGCAGCCCTGAAACGCACCAACGAGATCCAAGACCGAAACCCGTGCTTCAATGTTCCAAAAGGGCTGAAGCAAACCGAGTCCGCTAAAACGACGGTAATCCCGTGATAAAACGACTGTGGTCGAGTGGAAGCCTTGCCCGCACTGGAAGAGCGAATATCACTGTCATTCGAGCAAGCTCTACCCCGTTTTTCGAGAGTTACAAGTGAGTATAGTTAGCTTGAATAGCTATGCCTGGTTTCGCGCTTGTAGAGGCTGAAGAAATCTGTGTTTTCGTCAAGTACAAATGGGTACCTGGATGTTGGATTTTGATGTCGGGCGAGTCCATGACTTGGCGGAGGAAGTTGGTGCCAAGACCACATGTCATTGGCCACATCCCTCAAAACCTTAGTCGTTTTATCACAGAACCACCGTCGTTTTAGCGGACTCGAAGCCAACGGAGCCGCAATTCCGGAACAAAACTACACTAACATACACTAGTGCGATAAGAGACGGGGGCTATAACTTGGAATGATGGCATGGTTGAGAGATTGCGAACACGATGCTCCACAGAGCATCACAGTCAACACGTCCAACAAGATGCATGTCAGCACGCATTCCCCTTATCCATTGGCCCCTTTTCGTCCTAAACCCAGCTTTTCTGGGCTCTGTAATCAAGCTAGAGAGGCTAGTATCAATCATCACGCTATGCATGCAGCTCCTAGGCAAGCACGCAGTGTGGCGGTGAGAAAGACAAGCCGGGCGCCACTCCACGAGGTGATTCATCCCAGGGACTGTACCTGAAATCGGCTGCCGGAACGGTGGGGACGAGGAACAAGCGTAAGATGTCCAGATGACGAAGGCTAGGGTTAGGCACTAACTTTACCATGGCTGGTAAGATTTGCTGCACTGGAATTCCGGATCTGTCCTTGGACATCGACATCAAAACCGCTACTTAGGTACAGTAGCTTAATTGTTTCTCCTAGGTAAGGTAGTACAGTACCTTAGATGCTAAATAGGCAAATGGTTACATATCTTGGGTTGATATAAATAAATGAACTGCTAGCAACCAGCTTGCCCGTCCTGTCCTTGGACTCTGGTTTCATCATCTTGCAGGATACCAGGCAAAGGATGCGCCCATAATCTTCAAAAAGTGTTGCTCTGTTCAAGACGGTCTTGTTTCAACCATCCTCGAGCTGTCCTTCTCTGTACAAGGAGGCCCCTGATTCCACCCCCCCCCCCTTACAACACCTCAACAAACCCACAATCCCTTGCTGGAAAGTTTTGGATCCTAACATCATTGACAAAAACGACACATAAATATCCAAACGCTTCAAAGTCCCAAACATGTGCAACGCCGAACAAATACTAGACCGGACAAAGTGGCAGCACGAGATAGATGGCCTCCTGCGTAAATGTCCTCATAATAGCCCAAAAATGAAAGAAACAACAAAGTAGATGGAGTGCCGATAGGTGTGTTATATAGTGGTGCCAGATCCGCAAAGCTCGCGCCAGGTCTCAGAAGGAGACAGGATGGTATTTCTTCAGCCGGCTGCCACTGCGCTCTTACTGCTCCTTAGTGACCAGCGATTCTTCTTGGCCAGTTTCGCCCCAGAGCCTGGGTTCTTGGAGAGCTTGCCCGGCTTGGGAGGAGGCAAAGCCATGTGTGTAGGCGCGGGAAGACTCCCTTCGTCGAAATTCGTCGGGAGCGCAGTTACCACCGAAGCTGGCCGCCTCTTCTCGTCGTTCTCTCTCGCCAGCTCGGTCGGGGTGCTAATCTCAATGACCTCGGATACGTTCGACTTGATTGTCTCCAGCTCCGAGAACCGGGTCTTCTTCGAGATTTTCCGCCTCTCCTTGCCAGAAGAGTCCGACTTCGAAGGCGAGGATGAGGCTGTCGGCGGAGTGGTCGGAGGTGTCGAGTGTGCAAGCTCTTCCTCGCTCGAGGGTTCTGGCGTGATGCTGACCTCTTGAACCGTGTCTTGTTCTTCCGCTTTCACCGCAGCTAGGAGTGTAACTGTTGGCGCCACCTTAGCCGCAAGAGATGTGCTGGATGCGACAGGCACCATAGTGACCGAACTTGAGGCCGATCCGCCGGACAAGGATGCTCCCGGGGTTGTAATGGCTGTGCCAAACTGCATCGGCGGAAGCGTGGGAACAGGAGGGATCCCGGGAGCGATGGAACTGGTGAGCGGGACTGACGATGTTCGTGAGTGTGCTCCGGAACGGTTCGGGTCGGACACTCTGCGCGAATGTCCCGGGTGCAGCCGATGGATGGTCTCGAAATTGCTCATCGGCCTGTTAGGTCGTGAAGCGCTAGCCGAGTTGTTGACTCGAGCGGGCTTCATCTCCAAGTCATCCTGTGAGCTGGTCGAGTTACCAGAGCTGCTGACAGGGGAGACGGTACCATCCCCGTTCGCAAGTGGAAGCGAAACTCGGTTTGTGGACACTTTACTCGAAGACCGACTAGTGCGGGAGGAATCGATAACGACCCTCTCAACTTCCTTGCCTTTCGGTGACATGCTCGACGCCATGTCCATCGAGGTGTAGCTCATTTCCCCCGCTTGGTTAGTCCAACCAGACGGCATGCTGCTATAGCTGTAATTTCGTGGGAGCTGGACGATGGGGGTCGCATATGCAGACGGGTATGAGACGTGAGAGAGAGAGCTGGAGACACGAGGCATGCCGGCATGAACCGGCGTCATCATGCCGCTCATACCTACTCCGCTAGCCGTCATGGCGCTCCGTCTCCGGTTCTGTTCGACTATCTTCTGTCGGTCGTTCTCCCTCCAGCCCGCTGGGCCGCCCGACAGAGCATCTATGGCAGCATGCTTCGGTATGTGCTTGTACGGCGCCTTCGCGGCCTCCTTCCTTTCCCTCTCGGCCTGCTCTGCACGGTGCTCTTTGGCTGCCTGGCGGCCCTTCTTGATTTTCGAGAATACCGACATGGCGGTGCGACGACCTTCAAACCCTGAGGCGGGGAATGGGGAAGAGTCTGGTTGGAATCCGTTGAGGCTGTGGATGAATTGCGACTCGGCAAGCAGCGGGGTTGGAGCGCGGCTCTCCTAAGCGTCATACACTTTTGAGTCCCGGCTGCCAGAAAACCGTGAAATACCCGACTCGACGACAGGTGGACCGGATCGCGGGTGCAAATTTGGTATGGATGTATATTAAGTCGTTCTGGGGCACATAAGTGGCAGAAGGTAGCGAGTGAGATGAGTGCCTGGAGGCCGGGTAATTTATATAATGCGTCTTTAAGGCGGGGACCCTAGCTGAATACCGGCCTGCTGGGAGGGAAGGACGGAACCGAATCTTGAAAGACGGAGAACCTCGAGGCGTCCCGGCGATGATGGGCAAGATATAAAATATCAGAACTGAAATACCTTGGTGATGCTTCGTCTGGAAAGCCGAGAAAAGATAGTTGGGCAAGGGCAACTCGCCTCTCTGCCCTACGAAGAAAGAGGGCTACCGCACATTATAGTAACAGAGAGTAAGGGAGGAAGGGGCATCCACAGATTTTTAAGCTAATGCAGCTACTCAGCTCTCTCACCCAGCTGTTGAGGGCAACGGCAAGCATTCCCGTCAGCCACGCGGGGGCATTCACTTCAGATAGCGCACACACCTGGCGCGCTTGGTGGAACGGTCCAGCCAGGGCAGCTGCAACAGGGATCCTGGGCTGCAAGCGGGGCTACCAAAATGGAAGCAATAAGGACGCCTTCGATCTCGGTACCTCTGTGGGTACCGTACCGAGGTACCTTCGTACTCTGCTATAAACCAACACTGTAACTTACCATACCATCTGGCATACACATCGCCAGTATGTAATGTTACATAACCTAGCAGGACAAGTAGTCCTGAAAGATTTCCAATCGCCTAGTTGCAAACAAGGCCAACCAAGGTGGATTAGGAAAAGCACGGCCGAGAACTCTCGCTGATGCTGAGATTTCGATCCATGACGGAGTTTCTGTCTTGTTCAAGAACCCGAAGGAACGTTGACAGACCTGCATGCCTGCCCGGTCCTTACCATTCGTCCATTCAATTGGTTTGCTTGGAGCCACGCACGCAGAAATCACCAGTGGAAAAGTGGGACCTCGTATTTGTGTACTTGGTACATCACTTCTTGAGACGATAACAGTTTTGCGCCCGACAGCGCGGCTCACGGCGGACAAGGATCTTGGCATGATCTTCGCCGGCAATCTGGGACGTCTCTATCAGCCGCAGACAGAAAACGATGCGCTTGTTAGGTACCCAGACAGTCGACACATCAGTTTTCGAGTCGCTTGGGGAAGAGCGCTGCAGACACAGATCGGTTCCTGCCCATAAAGCTAGGTAGGTATATTTCTTCATACAAGATGGCGCATCCTTGGCGGACGCACACCAGACAGAAAAAGTTCATTAGTTCAAGCAGGTAACGTTGAGCCCGTCCAGCCGCACCGCTTGGCAGGGGAGAGGAGAAGCCTTTCTCAATTCAACAAGTGTCACTCCATTGCGTTAACGTTAGTGCATGTATCCACTATCCAGAGTTTGCCGCCACGAAGCACGGAAAGTGAGACTTGGGCCGATCTTCGGGATAAGCCGAAGCCATCTGCAAAGCCCGCTGGTCGTCACCCGCAATGTGGCGTATGTTGTCAAGACATGCTGGCCACAGCCAAGGCGAGGCACACCAATATTTCTCTCAGCTCAGCCGCCTTTGTTCACCCCCATGCTGAGTTACGGCGCAAAGTGCACGGAACTGGACGTCCAATTGATATGGTTCATATTGCCGCCTTTGGTCATCTGTAGATACATGGTTGTAATGACCTGCTGGAGTTTCATTTTGATTTCAATAGTTTTTGCTTGTGACATGGATCCTGTCCGCATGGCGGGGCGATAACCGGACCTGACGCAGCATAGATTCAATTAGATCTTCGACGCTAGCTACAAAGTAAATAAGTCTTTAGAATAATCGAAAAGAAACACTGATGGCACCTGACTAAGGTAAGGATGCTGTTTACTGGTGTCAGTATCTGTACATTCTTTGGTGAGCTGTTCTAGGCTTCTAGCTTAATGCCCATTGTGATTTGTGATACCTATGGGCCAGTCCCTCGTCTCACCTCTCGAAGATGTCGGGAACAGGGAAATGCTTAAACCCCATATAACTACCAGTAGTATCCGTAGACCGCAGACGATTCTTTACGGGTGTCCTGACGACGATGCGGCTCGGGCAGTACGCGTGTAGTACCCTACCCATCACATTCCACTTCATCAAAAGATGGGAACTACCTATGTGGGTCCTTGTCGAATCCTATCCGATACCTATCTGCAAGAGAGAAGAGAAAGGTAGATAGATATCTGCCAGCCTTCCAGATTGTTACGCAATGTCCGATCGCAGGTCGCTGTATGTAACCTGACATGATCAGGGACTAGCGAGCAAGGGCCGCCAGAGCACGTTTCGTCTCAGCCTTCTAGCAGCAGACCTCTAGGCGGGGACTGTATCGTATGTTCTGTATGTACATATTATACAATGCATACATAGGTACGTACTCCGTATTGTACTCCCATTAATTCCCGCGCGAACCAAAGAGCCACAGTTTCGGCTAGTCGCACCTCATACACGTGGACCCAGCGGCGCGGTATCAAGGCGGTCCCAAGGACGGAGTCGCCCAATCCTTCAACTTGTTTATGTACGTATGCCGGCATATCAAGCCCGGATGTGGTCCATGTGGATATGTAAGGGCGTATTGTACCCATGTAAATACCAGGTAGCATTGGCGCATCTGACAAGCGATAAGGACACAACCAAACTTTGGCTGCTCCATGGAAGATACCGGTAGCTCGCCCAACTAGAACTGGAATGACCTCGTCTGATGGGTCAACGAGGCTAGTCCAGGCTATACTTATTACTGGAGCATGACGCACACTATCCCTCGCTCTCAACCGGACTCTTCTCCAGTGGGCTCACATCATGATCATATACCTACCTAGCATCGGCGCTCGAAGGTCCTAGTTGACCCCGAGGTTCCGGTTCGCTGCTCACATCTTGGCTGATTCGGCAGTCTTGTCCGGATTCGAGGTACTACTAGTAGGCACGTTTCAAGTGCCTGCCTACAATGTCCTGCCGCTCATTTGACGTCCCAAGTGATGCTAGAGTGCGTCTAGCGAGCAACGTCAACTCGGACTCAAGCATCTCAGAACAGAGTAGATCGCAGGCATATTGTACTCCTAGTACCATGGGCCGTGGCATCTTTCTCCGGGGGACTCTAGGCTCAGCTCCGGGCCATGGAAATGACGCCGCGGATGGGGCAAGTCTGAGGGGCGATGGAAATACGGCTGAACAAACAAGAAGTTGCAAATCAACTTGTATGAGTCGCCCGTTCAATCTCCGAGTGCTGCTTCCGATGGATGGGGCTCAGGTCCAGCTGCTCAGCGAGGCTCATGGGAGCAGCGTCTACAAAGTAAGTGACAGCCTCCTTATACATTATAAGTACCACGATGTTATCAAACCATCATTAGTGCCACCTGTGTCCTAGTTGAAGGGAGTCACTGTCTAGTCGCAGCCTAAAATCCCGATCAGATTGAAACATACCACAGCGGGAGTCTATAGGGGGGGGCATTGAATGTCCCAAAAGTGTTGCATGCCACTGCAACATTCAATGCCACTGCAACATTGAATGCCACGCCCATACTGGGCCCTGATTGGTCGGATCGGCCAGGGCAATTGATCTGACTGGTCGAAGCAGACCCACCAGCCACTAACGTCACGTGACCCCCGTACGCGCAACCACAACCACTACGACCACTGCAACAGTGCAATTGCAGCTCTTACAGCCGGATCCTCCAGGGAGCGTAAGGCAGGGCAAAAATGAAGCAAAAGAGCCGGGCACTCAATTGCACACTTTACAATTGAATGCCTAGAAGATTGACCGAACTACGGATCGAACAGAAGAAGGTACCAAGAAGATACAGAATCAACAAGCGAATTTGTCACTTGACTGACCACTTGGCCATTCGCTCGTTAATTCAAGTTGGGAACCTCTTCTTTCCTTGAGGATATCAATCACGACGGGAGGAAGTTGCAAGTCGTGATGGCAGTTGTCAGCTGTATTGGTGGGGGCTGGCATTGAATGTTGACTTGGCATCGAATGCCCGCCATTGCCACAGACAACATTGAATGCCACACCCTACATTTTCCCGCTACGGTAGGCGCCTGTCTACAAGGCGCTGATGGCCACAATCGACAGCGGCATGACGACCAACCGGACGGCCATACTAGTCATGACTGCCAATGGCAAGGTCCTGTCCACGTCGGAAGGCCCCCCGAAAGGTGTCACGCTGAGCACCCACTACGGCACACCGGACGAGTACCATCTGCCTGTCCCCATTGAGACAGTTTCGCGCGACGAGTTGGTCGAGGTGGCCCCCTGGCCCCATTCGTCGATCTTGTCGCCCCCGTGTCGTCGCCTTCTGAGCGGCTGGTCTTCAAGCACTACGAGGACGGCGACGCCATCATCCCTGGCGGTACCCTTGCAACTACCAGGACGAGCCGGACCTTCAAGCTTAAATGGGCCAAGCATCTCTTCCAGACCCTCGACGACCTCAGCCTCAAGTACGGCATCCTACAGGTGTGACATGAACTTAGGCAACCTCATGGTCGACTTGGCCACGGACAAGCTCGTCGTGGATGATTGGTTTCGACAGGGCCGCAGAGCCCGGTCAACGCCCCAGGGTGCCAAACTTTTCCTTGCCTCCCGTGGTCATCGACGAGCTGCCGCGAATCGAGCCGTCCCAGCTGACCGCTCTCTTCGGGCCGTGCCAACCGCACCAACATCGGCGGCGGAAGTACAAGACCAAGAAGTCTCCCCTCGGCGGGGTTCGAAGACCGTGGCGTATGGAGCGCCATTGTCGCCGTCTACAATCTCGTTGCGCAGAGCCCCACGGACAATCCGTGGACGAAAGGGCGAGCGCACGTGGATGCTCGAAATCCTCGAATTGATCCACGAGGCGGTCAGGGGCCCGAGGACCGCACACCCGGACACTTTGCTGGAAGAATCCTGTAAAGAAGAGAGAAGGTCTTGACCTCTGACAGGTAAGGTACTAAGTAAGAAGACCCTAGGCTGACGCCTGCTTCTGCCGTTATTCGGGTGGATAACCGTGAATGCCCAAAAACGGTAACTTGGAGCGACGCAGCTGGTAGCATGACAGGCGTACACAGAGATGGGTGCAGGAGCATGCATGGTAGATGAAGGCGAGCGCTTGTCGGCTTTAACATTAGGTACCTAAACTCGCTGAAAACTGTTAATTGAGAATTTGAGATACGTCGTATCTTTCTGCAGCTAGGTACAGTCCAACCCTTGTTCGTTCGTTAGCGTGGTACTTAGGATGGATCTGAACAAGCATGCCAAAGCCAACCAAAATCAATTGCGAGAATTCATTGATTCAGAAGCCCTGGCGATAGCTGTTTTGAAGCCCTGTCGATGCGGGCTGATCCGAGTGCTTTGCAACGTTGTAAACATATAAGGAATAGTCGGCTAAAGAGGTTGAAGAAAGAGGAAAAGTGAAGCCAGGTTTGAAGCTAGGGTGGAAAAGTCGAAGGTTAGGTAGTTAAGACCAAAAAATGGGTCAGTGGGCCGGATGCGCGCGTTTTGGCTGGCCAAAGGCCCCCGAATCTCTGTGCTGTGGTTGGTTAGAAAAAGCGGGGCAAGTTCCGCACTAACAAATGAACAAGCCTTATCCTGTATATGTACTGTACGGAATATTTTACATTGATACGATATAACCCCAAATCAGCCCCAGCAATGTAATCAATGATTACCTCCGTACGCGATATCACATTACAGCTAGCCAGATTGGCTTAGTCGATGATAGTGACCCACTACTACTTCTGCTGCACGGTCTAATAGTGGAAATACTGCGTTAGGTCTGTGGCAACCTCTATATTCTATAGTAGAAGTGTCCCTCACTCAAGAGATTAGGCGATTATGCGATACTCCGCGTTGTTCAGGACGGCTAACAAGGAATGAAGATGATGTGACATCAGATCGGCATCGGCGCTTAACGTTATATGCCAAGGCGCGCTTAAAAGCCTGTTTGCATATGGGGGGGGGCTTTGCCACTAAGCTAATTTGGGACCCGCCCGAGCCAAGCGATCACGCACCTCCGCCCACTCCATTCCATCGCAACCTTGCGCCTGCAGCATCGGCCCAAGAATTCATCGCCATCCCATATCGTCCGAAAACTGCCATCCGCCATCGCGGGCTTGACTTGTTGGCGCGACATCTCCACATGATAGCCGCCTTTAATACCACCGACGAGTTTTATTCCCTGTCAAGTGCTTTGGCGGTTAAAACGCCCAGTGGCTGGCGGTTGCTGTCGCCTGAAACCGTCTCGTCGAAACCTTATGGCTTCCTGAACAGCGATAATATCGGATCTTCGTTCGTACCTTTTACCTCGACGTCACACTGCGACAAGGCTTACCCCTACGAACGGGCAGCCGACCCCGCAACCAATTACCAAATCCAGCCCGCCTCTTAGAACGCGCTTCCTCAGGGAAGTGCGCATCCTTCCGAGACAGTGGCTGCTCTTGCTGTTCTCAGCCCGGCCGAGCCCGACCTGTCGCTTTCGCCTCATCACCTAGACGTCGCACCTCGCCTGCTCACCGACAGCCACGCCGTGCCGGAGGCGGCGCCCGAACCGTTGATGATGGCACAACCGGTGCCTCATCAGACGACCGATAAGAGACGCGTCAAGGTGTACGAGCTTCGCCACAATGACTGGTTCGACCGCGGTACCGGCTTCTGCTTTGCAAGCTTTGTCGCCGTATGTTTCTCCACGCTCGCCGCACGCCTCCATCCAAACCTTGTCCTCTCGTCATCCACTTGTACCGAAACCCCGTGATCGTCGAACAAGCATTGATTGCTAACCGAGGTGAACCTCCGATTATCAGGTCGAGGAAGGCCAACCGAAAGAGCCCCGCGTGTTTGTCGAGTCCGAAGACCAACCAGAGCGCCTTCTCCTCGAGACCAAGATTGTCAAGGACGATGGCTTCCAGAAACAGCAAGGCGCGTTCCTGCCGTCTCCGCCATACTCCTGCCCGTTTCTAATGTCTTTCTAGATACCCTCATCGTGTGGACCGATAATGGCGTGGATATGGCTCTAAGCTTTCAGGAGGCTGAGGGCTGCGCATTGATCTGGTATTGCCTAAACCTATTGACGGGCCAATGCATGCTTGATTCGCTAACCCACTGACTTCGCATAGGAAATTCATCGATGGCGTCCAGCAAACCTACCAAAGCGTCATGGGCGCTCCGGACGACGGACTATCTGATGACTTGGCCATTGATATGCCCGCCTCCATCCAGCTACCGCCGGCCGACATACGGACTTTGCATGAACTAGAAATGACCATCCGAAACCTGTCCCAATCGCCCGCCGGCCGCGATGCCCTGGCCAAGACAATCATGAACGAAGACTACATCAGCAAGTTGATCCCGCTAGTAGACATTGCCGAAGACCTCGAGAGCCTGCAAGATCTTCATCGGCTATGCAACATAATGAAGACGATCCTCTTGCTCAACGACACCGCCATAATTGAACATGCTGTGTCCGATGAGTGCGTCTACGGGGTTGTCGGGGCGCTGGAATATGACCCGGATTTTCCGAGTCACAAGGCAAACCATCGGCAATGGCTGAAAAACCAGGGGCGGTACAAGGAGGTTGTCCGGATCCAGGATGATCAGGTCCGCCGCAAGATTCACCAGACGTACCGATTGCAATATCTCAAAGACGTGGTGCTGGCGCGCATCCTTGATGACCCCACATTCTCTGTCCTCAATTCGCTCATCTTCTTCAACCAGGTGGATATTGTGCAACACCTGCATAACACGCCGGGTTTCCTGAAGGACCTTTTTGCCATCTTTCATGACCCGAACGAGCAGCCGTTGCGGAAGAAGGAGGCCGTCCTCTTCATTCAGCAATGCTGTGCCATCGCAAAGAACCTTCAGCCACCAGCTCGCCAGGCTTTATACACACACTTCCTCAGCCAGGGCCTTCTCCCTGTCATCAATTTTGGCCTGCGGCATCTCGATGTCTCTGTTCGGGTTGGCGCAACCGACATTTTGGTATCCATGATCGACCACGATCCATCCCTAGTTCGGTTGACAATTTACGAGCAAATCCAGCGGCACTCATTGCCGCTCACCGACACTCTGATTGATCTTCTCCTTGTCGAGGTTGACTTGGGCATCAAATCTCAGATATCAGACGCCCTCAAAGTCCTTCTCGACCCGACACCACCTGGGGCCCCGCCGCAGGAAGCGCGAGAGTTCATGGTTGGCCAGGCCAGGCTGAGGGCTCAGCAGGGGATTGAACCGCAGCAAGACTTGTTTCTAACGCATTTCTACGAGCATTCGGCCAGGAGACTCTTCAAGCCCCTTCTCGATCTTGAGAAACGCACCGAAATGAAGTTCAGCCCTCTAGAAGATGGCATATTCAGTTATCTGAACGACATTCTCTGCTTCTATATCCGCCAGCATCAGCATCGCAGCAAATTCTTTGTCTTGACGAACAACCTAGCGCAGCGTTTTGTCCAGTTGTTGGCCTGCAAGGAGAAGCATCTACAGCTCGGTACGTAGATCATGACTGTTTCTGCTCGTACACAATCCAAGATACTAACTTGCATGTATGGCAGTCGCAATCCGCTTTTTCCGCCAACTCGTAGTCCTGCAAGACGAGTTTTACTACAAGCACATGGCCGACCAGAAGGTTCTCGGCCCCATTCTCGACGTATTACTGCGTACCATGCCGCGGGATAATCTTCTTTGCTCCGCCTGCCTTGAGCTTTTCATGCTCATAAATAAGGAAAATGTCAAGGAGCTGATCAAGCATATGGTGGAGAACTACCGCGAGAAGATCATGGCCCTCTCGTATATGGACACCTTCAACGAGATACTCAACCGTTACGACCAAACGCAAGGCTTCACCGCCTCTGTGGACCCTTACTTTGAGAGTGAGGACGAGCTCGGCAGGAGACCGATGCATGGCAACGCGGTTGGGTTGAGGGGCGAACAACTTGCGATCGACCAGGCTCAGGAGGAGTACTTGAACACCTCTGACGACGATGAGGACGAGAATATTGCTACGGCTAATCGCGGAATGGGCGTTTTGAATCACAGCCTGGCAACCAACGGCGGCAGTGCGGCGTCTAAACCACTTGTTGAGTACAACTCGGATGATGACGAAGAACTAGATGAAGAGGCAAGCAATGGCCTCGTGGAAGCGGACACGGTCATGACACCTGCAGACACCGCTTCGCGGTTAAGTAACGGTGATAGCGAATCCGATTCCGCTAAGGAGAACAAAGCTCCCTCAACTCCAACCACAATCACCTCCGCGGCGGCGGCAGCGGCCGCAGCCGCCGCCGCCGCCGCTACCGTTACACCACCCGAACGGCTAGCCGAGAAGCGACGCAGGGAGGAAGACGAGGACGACGACGCGCTCAACAAGCTAACACAGCACAAGCGTAGGAACAGCTCGGGCAGTGTGGGCAGTGTTGGGAGCAATAAGTCGACCAGCAGCAGTAATGCCAATACCGGCAGCAGTCCTAGGAAGTTGAAGCTGGCCGGCTATACTGCGGACGAGACTCGCGCAAGGGGCGGGGGCCGTAGCAGCAGGACGGCAAGTCCGAACGGTACTAATAATACCGCGCTCGGACAAGGTCAGCGACACGGACACCCGAAAAAGATTGCCATTAGCATCGCGCCTTCGGTCAAGACTGCTGCCACGACCGGCGGAAAGGGCAGCCAGCTGGGTGGCCAGACGCAGGGGCAGACAACACAAGCCAAGGCGCAGACGCAGGCGCAGACGCAAGCTGATGGTGGAGGCGGGGGTGGAGGAGGTGGAGGAGGGGAGCAGTAAAGTAAGCCATGGGAAGGCTGTGGCTGTCTTGTCTGGGTTCATCTATGTCTAAGCTCATCTCCATGTTGGACTTCTCGTCTTTGCAGGGACCAGACATATACATGTTCAGATAATGTGAACGTACCCAGCCCAAGTTTACCCCCTGCACTGATCTTCCTCTTTAAGAGAGGAAAAAGAGAGACAAGAGACACACACAGGGAGGAGAGAGAGGGAAAGAGATGGCGTTGTTTTTATTTTCTCTACAGTGGGTCAGGGTCAATCGGGGCTTAGCTGTCTGATACCGGTACTCATATACTTGCTTTTCTTCTTTGGTCGGGTTGGGTTCGGCCGGGTGGGTTGGGGTTGGGTGATCCTTGGGCGGGTTGGCTGGGCGGTTTTGCTCTACGGGGGAATCGGGGGGGAGGGGTAATGGGCTACTTCAGTTACTACCTACTCGTTCGTGTATATGGGGCATGGGCTAAGGCGGCTTGTTCTCCTCATAACGAAACCCTGAATTTCAAACAACTTCTTATTGAATCCCCGGTTCGACCTGTCATTTTGTCGCGATTGCCTGTTTCGGTCGGTGCTCGTTGTCCTTGGACTCTGGATGTTTGGTTCCCCTCCCTGATTTGCTAGTATGATTTGAAAAGGACGGCCGGCCTATTTAATACTGGGTTGCAGACAACTCCAGGTTTTGAGCGGCTACCCTCTCCACTTTTTTTCCTTGCCTCCTGAAATCCGGAAGACCTAGGGAGGGATCAACTGATCGCGTGGCGCGGCTCACAGGACTATACGTTGGACGGTTGGTTGGCCATTCCTAAGATGGGGAATAAGGGTAGCGATGTGTTTGGTATTATTCTTCCAAGCCTTATTTGAGTTTGTGAGTGCTGCGAAATGTACGTAAGTCTTGGGAAAACGTGTGGTTGACACGTCAGAGGCATTTTTGGCGAGGGCAAGGCAGAGTTGCAAGACCCCGTTGAATAAACGATATCAGCTATGTTCCGTGTTTTGCCTCTTCTAGTGCCAATGGTAGTGCAGCTTGATATATCGATGGGTAGATCGGGATCGCTCCTTGGTCTATAATTCGAACGATTTCATTTCCAGTCATTTTTCCATTCCGTTTCCCCCTTTGCCCCTTCGTTCCCCCGCTAGTACTTCTTAAACTGCCTCTCCCACTCCTCAAACCCTTCCAGCATCTCCCTCGTAATCTGCCTCTTCTGGTTCCGGATCGCATTCTCCAAGTCCTGCATCCTTATACCCTTGTCCTCGTCCGCGACCTGCCCCGCCCGGTCGCGCTCGTAGGCGGCCATGCCGGCGACGGCGCAAATGCCCTTGATCTCGGCCCCGGAGTAGCCGTCCGTCTCCTTCGCTAGGCGGTCAATGTCGACGTCGGCGTGCATGCGGCGGCGGGCGGCGACCTTGGCGAAGATGGCGCGGCGGGCGCTCTCGTCGGGCGGGCTGACATAAATGAGCTCGTCGAAGCGGCCAGGACGGAGCAGCGCCGGGTCGACGGCCTGCGGGCGGTTGGTGGCAGCGAGGACGACGACGCCGTGCAGCGCCTCAAAGCCGTCCATCTCGTTGAGCAGCGTCGTCAGCACGTTGACGCCGCTGCTGGTGCCTCCTCCACCACCGCCCGACCTGTGGCTGTTGTTGTGGCTGAAACCGCTCCGCTGGCCGGCGATGCTGTCGATCTCGTCAAAGAAGATCATGCTCGGGCTCACCTCGCGCGCACGCTGAAAGAGCCGCCGCACGGCCCGCTCCGACTCGCCCACGTACATGTTCAGCAGCTCGGCGCCTTTGACGGCGAAGAAGTTGAGCCCTGATTCGGTGGCCATCGCCTGCGCTGCCATTGTCTTGGAGCACCCCGGAGGGCCGTATAATAGGAACCCCTTCGGTGGGCGGTCAAAGTATTCCGAGAGAACCTCAGGGGGCTCGACCGAGAGTCGCACGGCGCGGCGGAGCAGGAGCTTGACATTCTCTTGGCCGCCTATGTCATCCCATTTGATTGGCGGCGGCTTCAGGTTGATGTCGTGCATTGCTGACGGTCGGACGAGGCGTAGGGCTTCATGGTAATCGCTTGGCTGATAGTACGCTCCAGTGCTTAGAGGTTCTGCAATCCTCTCTTCCTGTTGGTCGTCGTCTGTGGAAGGCGGTGTCATGATGGACGGCTGGTCGGGAGTTTCTGCGCTAGCGTCGCGAATGCGGATACATCCTATTTGACGCGCCCGGGATACTAAGCGTTCAAGGTCCTTGCCGTTGTAGGCGTGGGTGCGCTCGCTCAGGTGACGGAGAAGGTCCTGCTCGTGCTCAGGGGCAACGCAGAGGTCTAGGGACGCGAGAATCTCCCTCCGGCCTTCCACGTCAGGGAGGGGTAGATAGACCTCACTAGTCAGCCGACCGGGCTCCTTGAGGTCCTCGGGCACATCAGTGCTGTAGTCGAGGCACGCGGCGACGATAACCACTCTGGGCACTTCCCCCTTTGCCTTCGTCTCTGCAGCGAGGGCGTCTAGTGCCTCGCAGAATGCGAGAACGACAGCAGCGCGATTGCTGCGCTCCTTGTCAATGAGTCGCTCAAACTGGTCAATGAGCACGATGCTTGGTTGCTGGAGCCTAGCCCTCTGTAGGGTCTCCTGAATTTCCGAGAGCTTATCTTTGAACTGGATACGGAAGACTGTTCCCCAGCCAGTGTTGGCGATGCTGTTTAGGAGCATTGTCTTTCCCGTGCCGTGACCGCCGTGAATTACAATGGCCGAGTAGTCCGGCTTCTTCCTGAAGGGGATATCGGCGGTGAAGAAGCTAAGGAACTGGTTGAGTTCCTGAATTTGCGTGTCCAGTTCCCGTATGCCAGTCACTTCAAGCTTCCGCGTGCAGACCGAGTCATCTCTGTTGACGGGAGCGCTCGTTGCAAGCCTGACAGCCGTCTTCCCGTGCAAATACCGGGCATTTCCCGTAACTCTCCCATTCACCGACACTACCAAGAACGATCTCTCAGGCCCGTTGGCAAAGAGATTCTTAAAAACCAGGCCGCCATGCACATGCTCGATCTGGGACAGGCGACCTGCCAGGAACCACTCCCATCCTGGGATGTCCTCTGGAGCAATGGAGTCAGGAGTGGTTCCGTCCTGACCCGGTATTTGCTCCAAGACGAGTTCGTCGGCGTCAGGTAGTGGTCCGCCTAACGATGTGATGCGGACGTGCTCGCCTAGCTTATAGCCGCATGCATCGCGGAAGGCGTCATACATCTGGGTGACGCTCTTGTCCAGCTTCTCAGGGGCCTTCCACAGCGTGGCTTCGCGGCGGACGGGTGGCTCATCGGGTGATGCCGAGACCTTCTCGACACAGACGGCCCTGCCGCCATCTCTGGTGCCGGTGAGTTCAATAAGGGCTTCCTCATTGACATAGACACGCGAGGGCTGCTTCTTTTGGAGTCTCTTGTCGGCGTCGGTGTTGACGTGCAATTTGCGGATGCGGAATTCCAGAGACTTCATTGCATTTTCCTCTTTCAGGGGATTGTGACGCTCAACTTGGTGAACTGGGAGTTTCACTCCAACAACACCTTGTATGCAGGTCAGTTCAATTTGTGAGTCGTCATCCAAGCGCAAGCAAAGGGGTTAGCATGAAAACTTACAAGTGCTATTTACAAGTATATGGTTTAGTTTCGTGATGATGCTGGGCTCTGGGATAGGGAGGATCAAAGGCGATGAGAATTTGTTAAGGGAATTTAGGTACAGTGCTGCAGCTTTACGTTAACACGTTCAGTGGATGAATGCAGTGCTGAAATGCCCCTGCGACCACTTAATAAGCACTGCAGTAGAGTGAACCCCACTATACCGGCGGCACCTGCAACTCAACACTCACTCGTCAATTCATTCTGGTGTAAGATAAAACCACAATGAGCACTCCCATGAGCCCAACGTTTGTGACGCGGCTGCGACCGCACTGTCTGCAGTCCACAATCCAAAAATGCGTATGTCCAGGACATATATCGTTCCGATCCGCTTCTTCTTCATCTCCGTCCTCAACTTCGTCTTCTCCCCCTTCCGCTCAACAGCCACTTTATGAAAAACTATTTGGCGGCAACTCAGCCTCGAAAGCAAAAGCAAGACAAACAAGACAAGCAAGGCCTTCGCCAATATCCCCCCAGAAAGCATTGAACAGAAGGGAAACACAGGAGCAGCGACCATCATCCTCGGGGCTTGGTGATGACCTCAGGGCTTGGCTTGAGAATGCCAGTCTCCAGGAAACTGGCGTCGCCTCCCGGCGGGAGACCAACCCGGCCGTGATCGTCTTGCAAAATGCGCCTCGCTCGCTCATTGAATCCGACTTCTACCGCCTCGCCCACCAGGGCAAGCATGTCGATGGATGGGCAGCGGGCATCACCAAAGGTTCCTCCTCCCTCAAACTCAAAAAATGACTTTGGGTTGAGAAACGCCCCATCTAACCTGACACAAATACAGTCATGCAACTCCGCTCCCCCATCACCGGAGAGCCCCAAGGCCTGTATCTCATCTTCTTCGAGTCGCATACCGCAGCCGAGGCATACAGCGACAAGTTGCACAGCCAGCACCGTCGTGCTGCCGAAATCATGTCGCCCTACCGCGCCTCGCCGTTGCAATCGGCATCAGAACCACCCAAGGGTCACCCCCAAAGCAACAACCTCAACGCCTGGACAATCCTGCCCCCGACGGTTCCCCTAATCTGCACCGTGCTCACCCATGAAGAACTAATAAAAACCATACACAAGGCCACTGTTGTACCACCACCTCCATTATCACCGGCCCATAACAACCCCAGCAAGGCTGGCAAAGGCATCCTCACCCCGCGGCAACTCCAGCACAGAACCCAGCTCCGGCAAGTAGCCAACCGAATCAAACCAGCCAAGGACGACGACGACGCCGCGGCGAGGGCGCCTGAAGTCTACGACGTGCTAGTGCACCTGACGGGGAGCAAGATCCCCGTGGAGACGCTCGCCGAGGCAATTCGCGACGACGGGATCCGGCGGAACCTTGCGTGGGCGCTAGCCACCTCCTCCGGTGGGGAGGAGCCGCCGGTAGACGCCATAACCCCGCTTCAGGCGGGCAGCGGCATCATTAAGTGGGGCGAGAAGCACATGGAGGAGCAGCAGCAGCAGCAGCAGCAGGCGCAAGGGGACTCGCCGACGACAGGGGCGTCGCGCTTTATGGTGCGCTTTGCCGAGGCGGCCGAGGCAAAGCGCTTCGTGCGGACGTGGCATCTGCGCCAGATGGTTGATGAGCGGACGGGGAGGGACATGCTAGTTCACGCGACTGAGTTATGGTCCTAGTAGGCCTTATTGTGTAAAGTACAGTTGTGATGTATGAAGTAATGGGTACGGGGATGGTTGCCAACTTGCAAAGGGCAATCTGATATCACGATAGGTATATCGAACCTCTTTTTGAAGAACCCACACTTTGTTTATAGACACGATACGCCTAAACTAACCCCTAACCAACCCATACATATCCTAGGTATCTCTCAACCAAAACAGAAAGGTATCACGCAACTACAAATCCGCCATCAAGGCTCATTTTCCGGGCCAATCAATGGGTTAAGAGAGGAAGACAGAAAGGAAAAGTATAACGATGGAAATTGGCGTCCCTGACAGCCAAAAGGAGAAATCGCCTGCTTTCTCAATGCGAAGGGGAACATAACAATAAAAGAAAACGCTCGACCACCCCCTCTATCTGCTAACCATATCACCATCCCATTCACTCCATTCAAACCACCCCGTCCATTCACTCAACAACATCCAAAACGACCCTCTCACTCCTCCTAATCCCGTTTCCCCCCAGCCCACCAGCAGCACCACCAGCAGCACCACCAGCCGTCAAGCGCGTCTCCACAACCCGCCCCTTGACGATCCCCACGGTGACCTGCTCTTGAGCCGCCAGCCCGTTGCCACTGCCATTAATGATGCCAGTACCTGCACCGACCGTCGCGCTCCTCCCCCGCCCGTTTGGCCCATTAACACCACCAACAGGTGCTGAGGAGGAAGACATGACCACCCCGCGCTGCGCCAGCGGCCGCAGCATGGTCCTCTGCTGCCGCGAGATGCTGATCTGGCGGGCGATGGAGATTTCGACGGCCGCCTTGAGCGCCGCGTCCTCTTCGTCGTCGAGCGGCGGGATTTTTCGAGTTGCAGGTGCCGCTGCTGTCTTGGTCGTTGTTGTTGTTGCTGCTGCTGTTGTGGCGGTTGTGGTGCTAGTTTGTTTTTCGGCCGGGGTCACGGAGAAGTCGTCGATTGACGGGCGCGTGGTTACGGAGGAACCGCTGGTGCTCGTTGCCGAGGAGGAGGCGCTTCGCTTGCTGGTGGCCGAGGAGGTGGAGGAGGTCGATGATGGTGGTGTGACCATCTGCCATTGCGGCTCAGGCAGCCGGGGTCTTAGTGGGAGGCCAAGGCCTACAGAGCGCACTGTTTCTTTGCGGGAGTGTGCCTCTATTTGGCTGTTGTCAACGTCGTCGTCTTCTTCCTCCGAGACAAACGACGACGAAGAGATGCTTTGCGGTGAATCCAGGATGAGGGCGGACTCTTCTGGGCCAAAGTGGAATGTCGTTGTGGTGTTGGCTGCTTTGGTATGCGGTTGGGATCGAGACTGCTCCGCCTGCTGATGCTGCTGTTCGCGGAGCTTTTCGACCTTCTCTACGCGACTCCGCTCCTCCATGGTTCTTGGCGAGACGATCGTGACCATCTTCTTTTCCCGCCGCGGAATCTTGTCCGATGAGATTTGATGCGGCATAGATTCAAAATTCAGTCTTGACGGAGACGGGATGTGCGCGGGTGCGGTATTCGACCGTAAGAGGCCACGGGATGACGCTGTCGACGTCGTTGCCGCTGCCGGTTCAGGTTGCCGGCCCGGCATTGCCGGAAAGAGTGCAAAAGCTGGGGACTTGGTTGGCTGCGGTGTGCTTGCCCTCCGCTGCCTCGCCTCGTCTTCCGCTTCTTCGTCTTCTATCCTGTCGTTGGCGGTCCTTAGCTTCTCCAGAGTAGCTTGCCGCCTTTCCAGCAGTGATGACTTGTTGCTGTTTGGATTTAGTACGCCGCTGAACATGACGCTGTACCGTTCTAGCCTGATATCCGGGATCTCAACATCCAACAAACCGGCCCCACTCGTCGGGAGGGACGGCACTGGGTCCTGCTGCGTCGTTGGCTCGGAGAGTGCGGCCTCCAGGTGAGACTCCGTCCTTGACCTAACTATGAGAGGCCTGTGTTTCGGGGTTTTCCTGCCAGCGACAGTGTTGCTTCGAGCCGGAGCAACATCATCCTTGGCTGCCGATGCCGGAATGGAAGCCGTGCTCCGATTTCTCTCAACAGCTTCCATGGTCTTTGCGGGTTCTGAGTGTTTCCTGCTTCCAAACAGAGACCCGAATAATCTTCTTTTTTGCGTCTTTGTCCTTTGAACCGGCGGCTCTGATTGAACCGGCGGCTCTGGTATTTGCCGTGTTAGTGGGGAAGACGAATAACTCTGGGCTGGCGTTTGTGATTGCGGCTTCCACCCGGCATCTGGGCCCCTGCGGTAAGGGCTCCTGGTATACGGGCTGGCGGCTTGCGTTGGGCTTCCTAGCGCCATTCCGATTGGGATCTCACCGGAAGCCCAAGATTCGGGAGTCGGCAACCTGCCGGGTACAGATGAGATGGGAGACGGCGTTGGCATGCGCGTCCAGTGAGGGCTGGGTTCGGGCGTGAGCAGACCGGGCCCTTTCACGCCAGTAATGCATGGCTGCAGCCCCCTTTTCTCCCTGGCCATGCCCATCCGCCCGCTAAGGGCCAGGTCGTCCTTAGAAAGCCTCTTGTCAAAGTTTGGTCTTGTGCCATGTGCTGTATTAGATCCGGGCCCGGATGATGTACTCGGTCGTGTTATCATGGTGGGCGGCGATATGCTGACCGTTGCTGCTGCGGAAGCACCTGTCCTAGGCAACGGCGGAGGAGGTAGGGGACGCTCAACATACGGATTCTTCCCTTCAGGAAAGACGATGGGGGGTAGGACAGCATTTTGAGGAGTAGGGTGTCTACGCTGTCTGCTTGCTTCAAGGGGAACCAGGGTAGGGCCTGATACAGCGCCTGGTCCTTGGTTCCTGGCTGCTGGCAGGCCGTGCACATCTCTCCCCCCCTGGCCTCTTGCATGCTCACCACCCACTCCCGCTAACGGTAAGCCCGCATACACAATTGCCCCCTCTGATGCCGTTTCAACCCACATTGGCTTGGAAGGCCTAACCGCTTTCATCATGGTGTTCCTTCATGTACCCCAGTTGCAGCCATTGAGTGGGCTGCAGGGGATTCGGCTCTTGATACGACCTCGGTCCACCGAGTATGTTTTCGAATGATCCTCTAATGACGGCGGAGCCCGTTTGGACGAATCGAGGACCGCAACGCGCCACAAACGCGGCGAGTGGCAGCAGAGGCTGGAAAACAAAGCGAACTGACAACCTTATCGAAGACCCTGGACTATACAGGAGGTGAAAGGTTCAGGAAAGGCTAGGAAACGGCCGTGAGTGGAAGACAAACGGGAAATTAGCACCTACATATGCTTATGAGCGTCATTTTACTCTTGCCGGCGCAGCGGCTTCCGCTCCCAGTTTCCTTTAAGCCTGAAGTGGCCGTCGACATCTTTGACCTGACATTGTCCATTACGTTCAGTAGGCGACGCGATGACAGTCTGAGAATGACGGCGGTTATTTCGACTGGGGTTGATCGCCGGCAAGGGTCTTGGTCCCCGGCGAAGCCCGGCAGTGATGAACCGCTGCTGAAGAAAAGCCCCTGGGCACCCCCTGTCTTTCTGGGGACCCTTCCATCGAGATTGCGAGATTGCGAGCACTGAGCACTGAGCAACCCATGCCCCTGCCCCAACTAGGATGGTGCTGTAGAAACACGTCTCAGAACTTTTGCGCTGCTTCATTATGGATATCCGTACGGAGTACACGCGCACTTTTTCCGGAATGGCGTCTTCCTTCAAGGGGGCAGGAATGCAAGTCATCAGAGGTGGCGCATGTCTGTGGCCAACGGAACCGGGCTTGAGAACGTTGAATTGATTGATCCCGTTTGTCGCACAACAATCTCCCGCGGCAGCCCGCAACAGTATCGAGATTGGAGGATCCGTTCAACCCTCCGTCTCAAAGATGCCGCCGCCAACTGCACAAACAGAGGCAGGCGACTAACCGCAAGGTAAAAAACACAACGCGACTTAAGCATTTTCGGACAAACAGCGATAGCCTCTCTCCGCTCCGCTGTTTCGAATTGATTTGTGAAAGATGCTAGCGCCCGCTCGTATTTGGATCGCTGTTATAGTCCGATGTTGTCATCCGACGACGAGGTTGGCACCAAGGGGATCCCGTCGCCGGTACTTCGTACCCAGACTCCATGGAGTTTCGGAGGGTCACGAGGCTACGTCTCAGAAATACAAATCCCCACAAAGATCGGGCCGGGACTGCGATGGCCATGGGCTTGGCTCGCAGGCCTTGCGATGGGACGATGAACATGTGTGCGTAGGATTATCCGCTTGGACGGGTAAATCGGTGTCATTTTTTGGCTTTCTAGAATCCGTTTGAGCAGCATCGACTTCAAGATCCCGCGATGAGCAGAGGAACGGCGCCGTCGAGTGATTTGCATGATCTGCCTTTGATCGTCTCAAACTCGCGTCATCAGGATGGTTCCTGTTCGACAAGACGGCGGTCGCGTGGCTAAAATCTGGGGTCACCGAACAGGACCTGCTTTTGGGTTTGCTGGCCCTGAACACCGGGTAAAATTCGGTACCTGTAGCTCCGCGGGCATCATATGTTGACTTCCTCCAGGCTCATCACGATGAACGAAGAATGTCAAGTTGTGTGGGACAAGTCTGGGATGTGAGCTCTCGTTATCTAACCAGCCTTTCGTGCGTATACAAACATAATATCCCATGGAAGCGAATCGAATAATACCATAAGAAAGATGAGGCTAAAGCCGGCGATGATTGCCCTTCGAGAAGCTTGCTGCGGGTACTCCCGTTGATGAGCGCAGCTTTCGGACCAACAAATGCAAACAGGAACTGCTTGGGAAGCTGAAATCGTGGAGCGTGGCATTTGCTGGCGGTGTGTTGTGAATTTAGTTAATTCTACCTGTGCTTACCTAATCCAGGATAGCCCCTCTCGTTGCTTAACTCTGTCTGGTATGGAGCGATAAGAAGTGCTGCCCAGGCTGGCGGGGTAATTATCGAGGAGAAGAAAGCATCAAAAGTGATCGTCCACCGACATCTCCTCGACGACCGCCAAATAATCCACCCGAGAGAATCGCTGCCCTACACAGACCTGTCCTTCTCTCCCAGGTTCCGCATAACCAAGCCTTATCCACTCGCAAAGCATCAACGCACCCATCATGTCCTGGCAAGGTATGTCCTCGTACTTTTGGCGCAAAGGAAAACCCCCACCTTTCCGCTTGGGCCTTGGGATCCGGGAGCTAATAGCAGCTTGCCGCAAGCCTATATCGACTCGAGGTACGGCAGATGGACTGAACCCCGACTATCAATATCGTCGTTGCTAACTCGCCATGTACAAGCCTGGTTGGCACCGGCCACATTGACAAGGCCATTATCATCAGTGCCGCCGGCGACAGCACCTGGGCTGCAACGCCTGGTTTCTCGGTAAGGAGAACGGCCCGCTTCCAGATTTGACCGCTAGCCAGCAAACGGCTCAATATCCCCATGCTGCATCAATGTACGCCAAAGAGATCTACAGCCGTCCTGACCCACCACGCTTTGCAGGTGTCAGCCGAAGAATCCAAGAATATCATCGCCATCCTGAACGAAACGGACAAGACGAATGGCCCGGCGGTGGTCAAGGCTTTCTCCAACGGCATCCACGTCGGCGGCGAGCGCTACGTCGCTTTCAATATCGAGGACAGGCATATCTACGGCCGTCAGGTACATAGTCCAATATGGCCCCTCAGGCCTCTCGCTGTGCATTCGCAGCTGCTAAGACGTTGACTTTGTGACTGCAGGGCAAGACAGGGATTTGCATCGTCAGAACCAAACAGGCTATCCTTATCGGCCATTACGGCGAGAACGTCCAGGCTGGCAACGCGACGCAGACTGTCGAGGCGCTTGCCGACTATTTGATCGGTGCCGGTTACTAAGGCATGCCGCTCCTTTTGGTCAACAGCGATGGGTTTGTGTAGGAATCGGTTAGTGCATACCTAATAGACATGAAGTCAAGGACCCAAGGAGGGATTGGCCGTGCGCATGATACTCAGCGAAGGAGGAGCCTTGTAGGGCTGAAGATGAATTTTGACTGGCAGGGTAGCTTATTTCCAGGTTCTCTTGTAGCAGCTAAGCTGAGTCGAGTTAACGGCCAGAATTCTGCATACTGAAGGCTGAGCTCCAGATCGTACCATATCCTCGTTGTCGACACACAATGTTGGCCTACCTCGCGCAGTCCCTCGTACTTTGCTTGAAGCTTACACGCTACCCAAAAGAACTGTCTATAACCGTTCCACCATGTTTTCATACATTATAAGTTTTACATCGCCCGCCAAAGTCCCTCCTTATTATATAACACAGTAACAAGGGGTATAATGCTGTGCCAAACGCCAACACGAACAACTCTCAAGGGACGCCGGCCCTGAGCTGTACCCAAAGATTGTCCACGTTCACCCCGTTGTCCCGGAAGCGGCTAAGTGCCCAGTCACCGAAACGCTTTTGATCAATGAGCTTTGTCGCCATCATCCTCTTCCTCGGCCAATATATCCCCAGCAGCACGTCCGCTTTTCAATGCTTTGCACCTCCCGCCCCCAATTCCCACGATTTTTCAACCGCATCGCGATTTGCAGACAAAAAGGTATCCTCGGCTACTCAAACAGGCAACTCGGCATTCCGCCTCGGCGCACTCCCCAACCCGGTCCGGTCCACTGCCATGCCAATGTAGGGGCCGACGACGGGCAGGTTGCGGGCAAACGTGGCGATGGTGCTGAGAAAGTCGCCAAACAGCACCATGATGCCGTACAGCTCGACCAGAAACCCCACCAGCGGCCAGCGCAGCAGGATGAGGGCCAGCCCGCCAAAGAAGGCGGCCGTGCCCTTGGCTTTTTGCTTGCGCGCAAAGAAGAGCGCCGTCTTTTGCGGGCCAATGATTATCGTCAGGCCGATCAGGAAGAGGATCTACTTGGCGCGAGAAGATCGGAGTCGGGGGAGGTTAGTCAAGTCGTTCGAAGGCGAAGAAGAAGAAAGGCAGGTGGGAAAGGGGAAGGGGGAGTATGTACGTTGCCCATTGCTAGCATGGCCCGGTCGAAGAAGAGGAGAACGCCACCTATGAGGAAGAAGCCGCCTGTGATTTTGTTCGTCAGTCCCGGGTTTGCTTCGTTTCCGATTCTCGTCTTCGATTTCGTCTTCGAGGCGGGAGGGGCTCTACGCACCGCCGGAGCAGAATGCGACTCCGATTTCTGTGAAACTTCATATCAGCTATGGTCCTTCCTTGAATTGGGCTCCCAATGGGTTGTGAAGCCTGTCGCTGAACCTCGAGCGCAGATAGGAACATCGAAGGAGGGCGAAACTCAGCTCCAAACATACTTTGCGAGTCTGATAACCACATTGTAGGCATGCTGACTGCTTGAAATTGATGACGACGATGATGGCGACAGGCGCAGGGCCAAATAAGACGAGGAGACCGCCAAGTCGATCTGTCCAGATTCCAGGACGATATCGTGGTCTCTTTTTTAATCGAATGCGCCAGGCTGCTACACTAGAGATCGGCCACGACTCAACGCGCAACAGGGGCACGGTTCCCGGCAGGCATGCGAGCAGAATATGATTGGCCAGAACGTCAGCATGTGGGACCTTGCACCCCTATCTCGGCAGTTTGATAACGATAACCCAAACAGAAATCTGCTTCAAACAACAACCGTAAACTTCACAATTTCCGTTTCACATCCGTCGCTCGGCCAAGTGGTGAAGCTGTCGACGGGACTTTCCTCTTGCGGGAGCCAAGACGGTACTCAGAAAGCAGGTCATTGCTTTACTACATATCTGGTAAGCAAGACCGTCTATAGTCATGGAATCCGGTATAGCAAAGGTAGGCGTTCTCTTTGATAGCTCCCCTGCTTCAAAGCTTGCCGCGACGGCCCTAGCATAGCGCTGGAGCAACCGAGTTTGGTTTTCCCCGTCCTTCCTCGGTGATCTGTCGTACACAATCACGGCATATAGCAACCTGATCACGATTAAGCCGGAGCGTCGACTGTCATCTTGCTGCCGAGAGGTTGCGAGTGCGTAGTTGGGGCTTGACTTTGTTGGTCGTACACAGCATGCCCTTTTTGCCCGATTCCAAACCGCTCAAAACGCCGGTGCTTATCCCAAATGTCGGTAGCAAGACATGCCATGTACCGGTTCCCCAGCGCCCGTTCCCAGAAGCTCATAGCAATATCGCCAGCAACGATGTACATCAGGTATGTTTGCCTCCTAAACGTGCAAAGAACGACCATATCGGCAAGTCAGGCCATCCCAAGATGGACGACATGGCCACGAGGAAACCGCCGATCCCAACGGGGATGCCAATAAGGGTCACAATAAACGTGAGATAGGTGAGGACAGATTTGTCCTGTTTTCCCGCCAGGACGACGTGGGTCCTCCCAAGGCAGCGGCGCCACGCTGGCGGTCTGTCAACAAAACTTGTTCAGTCGATCCCTTGCCGCCGGAGGGAAAGAGTGCAGCTTACACCAAGTCACTTGCTTCTTGCTCGGCGGCGTCTGAAGCGGGACCGTCGGTATGACGAGGCCTGTGTTCTCGCTCAAATAGGTGCAGCGGAATCGCTTGAAAAGTGGGCGTGTCGAATGGGTTCTCGGTAGAGAGCATAGACTGGGGCGTGCTTGGGCGGTGCTGTGAAGATTGGTTGAGAGTGCCCATGCCTCCATGGTCGACCATTGCAACCAGAACAGCGGAAGTTTTAGATTCAGTGTTGCATGAGAAATATTGCTTGATGATACCGCGCGGGCGAGCTCAAGAGCATACAGTAGTTCCGTCATCTTAATGGAAGAATGGTGGGGCAAGCTTCCCTAAACCCTGGGCAGGGCTTTAGAGCAGGCCGAGCGGAAGTGATCGAGGCGATCTAGTTCAGTCCTTCGCTACTTCCGGACTGACGGCAAAGATGAGGCAGGTGCACTTGGGTTAGACTGGAAGTTGCCGAGTTCAAAACGCTGAGCGCCAGCTACGCAGCAATGCCTTCCAGTTTACTTGAGCACGGTGTGTGCGCCTCTTGCCTCGAGGAACTGCTCGCCAACGCCCTGTGGCAGGTTTCGAATCATGGCAAATACCTCGCGGTTGTGATACCTCATCCTAGTCTTGGGATCAAGATAAGGCGCGGGGAGTCCCGTCACGTCGCAATAGTGCTTTAGCGGGGCTAGGCTCGGAGCGCTCTCAATGTTAGTGTAGGTGGCAGTTGGCGCCGATGAGGTCGCGCCATTCGAGGGCTTGGAGGGTGCCGACAGCGATTTTTCCAGAACCAGCTTGGATAGGCTGCGCGAGGCTTGGGCTAAGTTTGGTTGTAGGCTAGGGTTGCCGCTGGCCGATGGAACAGCCGGGGTGGATGTGCCGCTCGTAGAGAGGCCATCGTTGTCTTGCAAAGCGGGTGTTGCCGCGCCGCTGTTGTCTTGCGGAGTGGCGATCACAGAAGCTTCCTTGCGCGAAGCATCGCCAAGTATGGTCTTGATGTTTTTGTTACGGCGTTGGTTGGGACGCCAGTGCGGGTTGCGGAAAGTCTTGTGGATTGAGTGGATATCGAGCTGTTCTATGAGAGCTTGATGCGCGGCCTGTGCTGCCTGGGCTTCTGGGTTCGACATTGTGAGTTGCGATGGGAAGTTTCCCTGCGATCGAGGCTCTTGAAACGGAAGCGGGCATCGAGTTTATGACTCTGGAAGCTTGAAGCTTACTCCGTGCTTCGTACTATCTTTTAGCAATCAACTTTCTACCCACCTTCACCGCTTTCAGGATGCTTGTCTCGGCTCCACTCCCGGTATCTGTAGTGTACCATATCGTAAATACCTTACAGTGTGTAAGGATCTTGAAATGAAATTACCGTAAGATATCGTGCCGGTAACTTTGAGTGTAAGTATGGCTACCAGTGCTTGGTATTGAAGACGGGAGGACACAGTGGGGGTCGGTTCGAGGACAGCCCAACAACAACACAAACCGAATGTACTTCGTAGCCCCTGTTCAACATCCAGATTTCAGTCGCAAAGATGGTATGAGTCCGAAAGATCTAACCGCTATTTGTCTTCCATCCATATACTGATCATATAGCAGGAAAGCCCACACGAGCATCAGCAGAATCTCCTGCTCTCGCGCATCATCACCAATGTCGTATGTTTTGCCAAGTACTGGGGTACATTCCCGCCAATGCTCTGTTCTCACACCCTTCGTTGCAGGAGAAATTGAATGAAGCCGTCATGGTTATGAACAAGACTCTTCAGGTAAGCAGCTGTGGGATATTGGTGACTCACTGGTTTCCCTGCTCACGTAAACGTAGGAAATCAACATCCAGAACATGAACGTTGAGCTGGTGGCACAGATGTTCAAGAATTACCAGTCAAATGTGCTCTTCCATCTGGAAGGTAGGCATTGGTATTTGTATTGTTTACAAGATGATAGACATGGCTGCTAATGTCGGATGACGCGGTCAGCGACGGACAATTTAAAGGACCCGGCATGAGAGCAGTCCAATCGATGCCGCTGAGCTTAAGCTCATGCCAGACTGCTCTAGTGCATGGAGGGGAAGGTACTCCCTTGCGCATCTCATTACTACGGATACCTTTTCCAGATGACGGGTGGTGGAATAAGACGAGGAGTGCTGAGAGACGGTATAGGCGGATATTGATCCCCATCAAAATATGGGTTTGAATCTAGGGGTAGGGGTAGTTGACCTCCGTCCCAGACTTTACACAACAAGGACTTATACAAAAGGACATCGGGCGCGTACCCTACCACAATTCGCCTCGGGTTATCATGATACGGGTCACAAGCCATGGTGTGGGAAACAGAAGGGTAGCTGCAGAACTGGAACGTTTGGATGGGGTGTGGAAGCCCCGACTTTGGATCCAGCTCGTTTGTTCGAGCTGGAGATAATGCATTTCTTCATGAAAACCAATGTAGCAATTGATTCAATGTAGCAATTGATCCTAACGCTATTATTGATTCCTGTTACTGTTCCCTCTTAGCTCAACCCGTGCTGTGGATGGTTACTACTATGAGGGACGAATGGTCCCTCCGACTTTCACAATGAAATAGCCCGTGGATGGCCGAAGGGGCACCGGGCATTTCGGTTTGTCGAGCATTTATTCCATTAATTCAACGAGGGAGAATGATGTGAATACCTAGGTTTCTTACTGGTAGATGGCAGTGGCTGCAGCACCCGTCGTGCTGGCTTGGACTTACTGGACGACTTTGAAATTGCTGCAGTGAGGCCTGCCATCGCAGCTCATCTGTTTGCAAATGTGTAAAACGCTCCTTTTGTGCTTGCCTTGATTCCAAACCCATCGCTGGTAGCCTCCCCCTACAGCCACAACAATCTCTCCTGCCCCTCCAAGTATTTTTCGTCTTTCACAAAACGATTAACACGAACCTCTGCTAGGACTTTGATCCTACCCGAACTTCTCGTCGTAATGGATACCCACGATGTCTCGAACGACCCGACTATCGCGCAGCTTATACGCAAGCAGCAACAGACACTTTTGGACGCCCAATTTCGCGCGGGGCAGCGCCCTTCACCAAAGAATGACCGAGCTGCGACCATACTGGAGTTCCAATTCAAGGTTATGATGACGAACGAAGCAATAGCAAATGGTTCCTATAACCGTCACATGGGGTATTCGTTCGTCCCGCCGCCTTATCCTCCATGTGTCCAACCATTGTGCGACCTTTCCAAAATCATGATCGATGATCTTCGGCTTGAGACTCACCACAGAGGAACTTACTTGATACTGCGGTCAGTCACCGCTCAGTCACGAATGACAGCTGTCATGAGTATTGTGGAAGACGAGAACGGCGATGTCCTCTTGCTGCAGCTGTACCATCAAGATGGAGCTGAAGGGGAGGCGTCAGAAGACATCTTGGTGGAAGGGAGAGCCTTGATCGTCAAGGAACCGTACCTGAAGTCGACAGCCAATGACGGCTACGGCCTCCGTGTCGACCATCCAGGCGACATCATCTTCCTACCAGCGGGCGATCCACGGATTCCCGGTTGCTGGAAACAGGAACTGCAAACAGACAGTGCTATGGCCTGGAAAGCGAAGGGGAACGATTTCTTCAACGAGTCAAAGTTTCGTTCTGCCATTGAGTGGTAAGCCTCAGGTCTAGATGCGCCGTATATCAGGTGCGATAAGACACGGACTTACCAGTTTGGCAGTTACACTCAAGCTTTGGGCTGTTCTCCGACGCCAGAAGAGGCGCACACCATCAAGCTGAACCGCTCGCTTGCCTTCCTCAAGATGGAGCAGTTTGATGCCGCTCTCGCTGATATCGAATCTACGCCGACTACCCCCAACCCTTCTGAGAAAGCTCTATTCCGCAAGGCCCAAGCCCTATACGGCCTTCGCCGGTTCCGAGAATGTTGCGAAGTGCTCAAGGTCCTTCGCATGGAGTATCCCCAAAATACAACAGCCAAAGTCGAACTGAATCGAGCGATCAGGCGACTCGCGGAAGAAACGACTGGAAAGTACCAGTTTAAGGGACTCCACGCTGAAGCTGCTAAGCTTCGCCCACCACATCTGGATCATGCCACGTATATCGGTCCGGTGACTGTCAAAGCAACGGAATCCCGTGGACGCGGACTATTTACGTCCCAGGCGGTTAAGGCTGGCGATCTTCTGTTATGTGAGAAGGCATTTGCCCACGCATTTGTCGATGAAGACGGGAGCCCAAGCAGCGACAAAAACACCATGCTGTTAGATGTAGGGGGAAAGACTGCAGTCATGGGAGGACAGCCAAAGTTGATCGATATGATTGTCCAAAAGCTCTACCGAAACCCTTCTCTGGCTTCGTCAATAACCGACCTCTATCATGGCTCGTACGAACCCGTCGATGCTTCACACGTCGACGGCACACCTGCCGTTGACACGTAAACGCCCCAATGCGACCCCGCTGTCTTGCAATATTTCCTGCTGACCATTTACCCTACACAGGTTCCTTGTCAGACGGATTGTGGCCCTGAACTGCTTTGGGTGCCCCCTCTCGAGTAGGGTAGGAATGCACCGCAAGCGTGGAAAGAGTGTTGACGGCAGGATCCAAAAAGGGGCAGAAAATGACTTCTTCCACTCTTGTGGAATTTGGTCGATGGCGTCGTACATCAACCACTCCTGCTACAGCAATGCTCGAAGGTCATTCATTGGGGATATGATGATTGTCCGCGCGACAGGGGACCTTGCAGCCGACACCGAGGTTACGTTCTGGTATCACGCACCCGACCTCAACGGCTATGTTGAGCGCCAGAAAAAGTTTCGCCACTGGGGCTTTATGTGCGACTGTGCTATATGCCAGGATGACAATGAATCGGGCGAGAGCTTGCTCGCAAAGAGAAGAAGCTTAAGGGACAGTCTAGAGAAACGCGTCCGGATTTTCGAGCAAAAGGGCACGGGCGCTGCCAGAGTTGAGGCCCTCCTGGCGGCGCTGGCGGATACTTATCGTCGCCCTGCTCACGAAGTGCCTCGTCAGGCCATCTGGGATTTGCAAGCAGCCTTCGCACGGGCGTTGTTGCTGCAGCGCCAGCCGGTTGAAGCAGTCCAACAACTATTGAAGGCTCTGGCGTCCTTAGGATATGAGATTGAAGGCGGTAACCTTCCGCGTGTTGCAAGTGAGGCACTGGTGGTTAGGCGATGGGGATTGATGTCTGATAATGTCGCCGACTGTTGGCTGTATCTGCGTGATGCCTACCGAACGGTAGCTCCCGACCTGGCGGAGCGTGCTGAGGGGTATGCAAGAATCTCTTACCGGATCGTGTATGGCGAGGACGAAACGTTCGAGGAGTTCAGCAACTTGTGAGCTGAGCAAAGAAGAGCTATTGTAGGCTAAGACTCCAGAATTTCCGGCTGGTTTCGGCACAGGCACAGATCTCAAGATGTAGGGATTTGATGTCATCTAGTTGTCGCTACAGGATACTCTCTCAGGATCCGGATACGCAGGAGACGGCTTATTCGAGGGTAACGATCAATGTATGATGTTATTCTGTGACTTTCTCTTAGTTTATAGTTTGTTTGTTGTATAGCTTGAGTTGCAACTTGCAAACCGGTCCGAGAGCGGTACGTATACTGAGGCCCTTGTACAATACTACCGAGTCACTGTATTTTTTTGTATGTACGTACTAGCTATGTGTATGTTACGTTACCAGTACGGAGTATGGAATCGTATATTTCAGGTACTGTGCAGTACGTACTGTACTGTACATACAGTACAGTACGTACTAGCCTGAGGTACTGTACCTTGAATGGGAAACACACAGGCACACGGCCTGGGCACAACGACAGCAAGCTCGAGGGCGAGCTGCTTGGGAAACTTGCGAAACGCCAAACCCTGACCGACACGCTTATCTATAAACGTCGGGAGTGCGCTGCAGTCGCCACCATGCCACAATGCCACATCTAGGTTCTTGATAACATTGCCCTCCACCGTCACGCAAAAAGCGCTTCTTGAACCCGCACTCGCGACCATGGCGCCTTCGGCGACAGACGACATCGTTAGCAGGAGAGAGGCCTGGAAGCAACTACCCCCGCCGACAGTGTATCCTGTCAAGGAAGCCAGATTCGAGAAATACTTGCCGCCGCAAGTAGATGGACGCGAACGGGCTCTAGCGCAACCCCCAGGCCAGGCGGCCATAGTCATCGACAATGGTAGGCAGTCCGTATCTACAAACAAGTCCAATCTCGAGATTGCTAATTGGGTCCAATCGCACCTTTCAGGTTCTTCCTCCGTCCGGGCAGGCTGGTCCTTCGAGTCCAAGCCACGGTTGGCGATTCCTCCCATCATGGCCAAATACCGGGATCGGAAACTTAACAAGACCTTCTCCTTCGCGGGCCAGGACTGCTACGCTGACACCACTGCCCGTGGACACATTCGAAACGCGTTCGAAGCCGGCACCGGAATCATAAGCAACTGGGACGTCATGGAACATGTTTTGGACCATGTATTCATAAAGCTCGGAATGAACGGGGTCGAAGGCGGCATAGACATGCCCATTGTCATGACCGAGGCGGTTGCAAATCTACCATATTCAAGAAAATGTGAGAGCCGCCGTATTCTTTACCCTTGTACTTCTTTCTGACCTGCTTTGTGAAGCATTAACCGAGATAATTTTTGAGTGCTACGGCGCGCCCAGCCTGGTCTACGGCATCGATTCGCTCTTCTCATACCGCTACAACAAGGGCCAGACTGGTCTGGTGGTATCCTCGTCCTATAGCGCGACACATCTAATACCCGTCTACAACTCCAAAGCCATGCTGGCTCAGGCCATCAGACTGAACTGGGGCGGCTGGCACGCTGCCGAGTACCTCTTAAAACTTATCAAGCTCAAGTATCACACGGGGTTTCCTGGCAAACTCAACTCCTCACAGGCAGAGCAAATGGTCCGGGATTTCTGCTACGTCTCCTTGGACTACGACCGGGAACTCGCGCGATTCCTGGACTGGACTGGGCTAGAAGACAGGGAGCGCATTGTCCAGTACCCCTATACGGAAGAAGTTGTTGTTCAGAAGACAGAGGAGGAGTTGGCGCGGATAGCCGAGAGGAAGAAGGAGAGCGGCCGGAGGCTTCAAGAGCAGGCTGCCAAAATGCGCTTGGAGAGGTTGATGAAGAAGGAGCAAGAGCTCGAATACTACAAAGATGTGCAGAGGCGAATTGCCGACCAGAACAAGAAGGAAGTCAAACGTCTGCTCGACGAAGCTGAGTTGAAGGATGAGGCGGCGTTGGAGCGAGTGATCAGAGAGCTTGAACGGTCGATCAAGCGGGCCCGGACTAAAGACTTAGGTGGCGAGCAGGAGGAAGAGCAGGAAGCTCCCGATTTTAGCCTCCTCGACGTGCCGGACGACCAGCTTGACGAGGCAGGCCTGAAGCAGAAGCGCCAACAGCGCCTGCTCAAATCCAACCACGACGCGAGGGCGCGCGCAAAGGCTGAAAAGGAAGCCGAAAAGGCGCGGATAGCCGAAGAGGCGCGCCTGGACGAGGAGAGGCGGATCAACGACCTCGAGGGCTGGCTCGAAGACAAGCGACAAGCGCGTCTTGCCAAGCTGGCCCAGATCAAGGAGCGCGAGCGGCTCAAGGCCGACCTGGGCAACCGCAAATCCCTCGCCAGCCAGATTCGCATGAAGAACATCGCCAACCTCGCGTCGGACAACCCATCAGGCGCATCGGGGGGTCGCAAGCGTCGACGTGGTGGCGACGATGACGACTTTGGCGCCGACGACGCCGACTGGGGCGTGTACCGCAGCGTAGCCATTGGCGCCAACAAGGGCGACAGCGACGACGACGAGGAAGGCGAGGAAGATCTCGAGGCGGCCGTGCGCGCGCTCGAGGCTGACTTGCTTACCTACGACAAGGACTTCACCTACGAGCACACGCTTGACGCGCAAAAGGACTGGTCCAAGTCCCTGCTGCACGCCTTCCGCTACGGGCCGCGGCCCTTCGACCCGTCGTCGCCCGCCGAGACGCACCGCATCCACCTCAACGTCGAGCGCATCCGCGTGCCCGAGGTGCTGTTCCAGCCCAGCGCCATCGCCGGCGTCGACCAGGCCGGCATCGTCGAGATCGCCGGCGACATACTCACCCAGCGGCTCCCTTCCATCGCCGGGCTGGACAGAGACCAGTTCCTGCGCGACGTGTTTTTGACGGGGGGCAACACCCTCTTTCAGAACTTTGACGAGAGGCTGCGCTCCGGCCTGACGGCGCTGCTCCCCGCGGGAGCCCCCCTCGTTATCCGCCGCGCCGAGGACGCCGTGCTGGACGCGTGGAGAGGCGCTGCCGGGTGGGCGTGCACCCCCGAGGCTAAGAAGGCGTGGGTTACCCGCGAGGAGTACTTGGAGAAGGGGGCGGAGTATTTCAAGGTCGGTTATCTTTTTACTTCCTTCGCACTTTGTCTCTTCCCTGCCTTTCTTCTGAGGGTTCTGGGTAGTTTAGGGCTCTAACGCTAACTTACCATGACCGTCTGCTAGGAACATGACTTGGGCAATGCTTTTGGGTGATTATGTTCAGCTGGCCATGAGTAAAGCAGCCATATCTGAGAGAAGACGTTTCATCGGTGGTTTCAGCAACAGGGACGGGCATCCTCAAGCGGGTATTGCTTTTGGCACTTGGCGTAGCGTTGATCGACTCTTACTAAAGACTTTCTGTTCGCCCTGCTATGTAAAACCACATCTGGAGTTTTTGAACGGGCTATCGAGGCGGGGCAGGGCGAATGGATACAGGAACGAAAAGAGAAGGCCGGGTCGGTTTGGCTGAAAAGAAAAGGTAGACCTTTCGTTGGTTTGCAAGCCAAAGTGAAAGATATCTAGTTGCCCGCTGCCTGTCTAGTAGTTCTGGCAGGGGCATTGTGAATCCCTACAGGACACATTCCGGCAAAGCAGGTACTACATTGTCGTGTAAACGCCAGTGTTGAATTCCTTCCCTCCAATTGCTGCTGCATATACACATTTTGACACAATCATCACTCTCCAGTCATCCAGTCATCCCCACTTACGCCTCAGGAAACGAGCCGACTCAAGCTGTGTGTCTGCGAAACGACGACTGGACAAACGAAGGGGGGAGGGGAACTTAAAATACACCTACGGGGGTAACCAAATGGGGGAGAACAATATAAAAGACATGCATGGCAATAGTCCGCTGCTATTGCGTGCGCCGCCCGCCGAGAGTACATCATCGAAACGCCAAAAAATGAGACGAAGCCAGGGTTCCAGCTAGCACTCCTCATCGAAAAGGCAAATAATCTCTCTTGTTGTCACAACCACAAAACGAGCACGCTAGATAAGGGGAAAGTGAATAATATGAAGAGAGTAGCAGCAAGCCAGCATTTGACTGCTCCTTTCCTTTCGCCACCAGAAAGCTCAACGCAGATGTTCCGTGTGTTTCGTGTCTAGGGCGGAAATCGTATTCTGGACAGGCCAATGCCAGAGCCCGGGGCAACCTGGTTTGCAATAGCGGTAATAGCGGTACAGTTTGCGCAAACTGGTCCGCTACATCGGGGCTGCCGGCAAGCCGTCTGGAGTACCCTCTGCCTGCAGCTGTCGCGTGATTTCCTCGGCAGTCCTCGCGTCGTCATCTGGACGCGCGACGGCATACTGGTCGCGCCCGGCAAGATGGTCGCTCCGGTTAAGACCGGCCACAGCTTGAGCGGCTACCTCGAGGGGGTTGGCGCCGGGCGCCGGAACTGCAGGCTGGGTCGTCTCGGCACCTCCGCGTGCGGCTGGCGCCAGGCTGTGAGGGTGTGGAAGACTGAGGCTGGCCGGAGGTGGCGGGTATTCGCCCTGGGCGTCTAGCAAGCGTGCCTGTAGGTGAATGACGTATTCTCTTAGAGCGTAGTTCTCGGCCTGGAGCTCTTTGTAGTTGATTTCCATGACAGCATAATCGCGGACTTGCTGTTCTAGCTTCTTTATGTGCCCTTCCTTCCGCTGGCGAAATGCCCTCTATAAACCCGGATCCAAGTTAGCGTCATTACGTAAGGCAAGGGATGTACTAAAAGTAACCCAAGGACCTCACGGTCACAATGTGGTCAAACATCAATCCCAGTGGGCTCAAACGGGTCGCTACTTACCTGAGCGGCCCTATTCTGTGCTGCACGTTTAGACTGTGATAGCTCACGCTTGGCTTTCCTGCCGTCTGCTGCACTTTCGCCTTGGTTAATCATTCCCGTAGACGGGGGGCCTGCCGCAGGAGGACCGGACATGGCAACTGTCTGCTCGGGCGGAGGCGGCACACCAGACGGCATCATAGTGGGAACCGGCGCATAAACAGGGTTTGTGGAGACTGGCTCGTGGCCGGATCGCAGTTCTGGGTGGATGTGGGACTCGACTTGGGCGGGCGCGGCAGGTGTATATCCATGTGGTACTGGCGGCTGGCTAGCTGTAGCGGGCGAGGGTCGGTTGACTCCAGCCACCTCTGTAGCGGGTTGCGAATTGGTCGTGACGCTAGAACTTGTATAGGCGGCGCGATCGGGTTGAGCAGCCGAGGTAGGAGGTGCTCCGGCGTGCTCGCGACCTCCCGATTCTAGGCTCAGGATTCAAATCAGTATACCCTTCACGGGCAGCAGTGATAATGGATACAATGGTGTCCCGGATGTATCCGGCGCAAAAATGCCTGAATAAGAACCGGCCAATATTACTCAAAAGGCCGGGGAAGAAAGAGCTAGTGCTCGATGAACGGGACTCCGGCTACAGCTCGAAGCCGGACTGAACAGGGGTAGCATCGGTGCTACGTGACCGATGCAATAACAGAAAGAGGCATGGCAGGCAACATAGAGCGGAACCCTTCGGCGGTTTAGCTTGATAAGATTATAAATCGATGGCTTCTCGACAGCGCACTCCGAGCATGGGTACAGCGTATGCAGCCGACAAAATACGGCAGAGAACACTGTCCACTACCTCGGCCACGGCTGTACGGTATCGGTTATCAACTATGGGATGCGACTTTGGATGACATGATGGTAGAAGTACCTAAATGCAGGGAACGGCGCCCGAGGTGGCTTGCAGAACGTAACAAATGACTTACAAATATGCAGCATACCTAGATGCAGCGTGGAAACGACGAATGGGCTAAGTAATCAGAACGGCCAAACTCGTCTAGGAGAATTAGGTAAGGTGGATGTCGGGAGGGAGGGGAGACGGGGCCAGGGAATTGGGGTGCTGAGCATTCTTGTAGTGTAGTGTACCCTCAGAGTGGCAGCAGCACTTACACAATATGCGATGCGGCGCGGTGTATGTACAAAACTAATAATAACGTTATGAGGTAGGATAGTAGGGCGGGGTGGGGGAGCGTGTTCTAGGGGTTGACGGCTGCTTGAGGTGTGCAGTACCCGGATAAGTAAGCTGATACTCGGACGGCTTGCTTCCTAGGGACCGATGTGCTCTTACACCTAAGCCGGGAACAGAAGCTTTCTCGACAAGAGCGGACCTAGCCGGCTCTGCCGGCTCACACCAAACCTGCAAACCCTCACTGGAGGGCCGTGAGGCGTGCGCACATATGTGCGACTACAATTGCAGATGCCACGATGCGATCGCAGTAGGTAGAGCGATCAGATCGCCCAAACAGGCAGCACTTAGTGAGGAGGGCCACAATGCATCATCTGCATCGGCACACGGCACCCTGCAGAATTTCGGGGATAAGGCCATGGTCAGGGCCCGGCTGATGGTAAAGGCGGGTGAACGTTGAGAGGCTATCAAGAGGGAAATGATATCCGACAAGAAGAAAGCGCACTCACCGTGCTTGACTTTCGTGTTGCTGGACATTTCGTGACTGATGGACGGCCGTTCTGACTCAGCAATTGGCAAATCCGCTGCCGAGGCAAGAGGCGAACGTTTGACCGGCAATTCGCTTGGTGGGTTGCTGACGATACTTTTAGGTCGTTCTGGATGTGTAAGCAACAGTTAGTTATTGGACGAGGCTGATGAAATGGAACTCGGAGTGAGCACCAACCGAGCACAATCGAGCACGCCTCGGGCAACGAGCAATCAGGAACCAGCAGCTGCCGGCCGATTCTTCGAAAGGGGTCTACAGCCGTAAAATCCAAGCGAGTGGTGTACCAAAGAGAGATCGCGACACAGGAAATCCCGTTGGTTCTCTTCTTGTTTTTTTACAGACGGTGTCGCCGCAGTGTCTGGAAGCTCGAAACCTGTATCTGTCTAGTCGGGAATTTTGCCCTTCCCGAGAAGGAAAGAGCCGTGTTGTCAAGGCAAGTGAGGCGTTGAAGTGCGATCGACGAGGGTTTAGGTAAGAAGACAAGTATCGAAGGATGGGAGCTTAGAAACAGCGAGAGAGAGAACGCTCGGATCCTAGGCAGATGACACGGCCCCCAGTGCCGCAGGTCCAACGCGCCCTCCCGTGGTGCCGGCGAGAGAAAGTCCCTCGAAAACCAGAGTCCGAACCTTGAGGCAGGGGGTCCGAACCGTATACGATCGTATCAATCGGCCCTGCATGCCCCCATTCGATATGGATGGGGTTTGATCGGGTTTGCTGACAAAGCAGGTTCCCAGCTGACAAAGAGCTCGAAGTTTGCAACTGGTCTCTGCGCTCCGCGGCGGGATCTTGTGGGTGCGGGGAGATGGAGGGCTTCCTTGGCAGGCAGAAATATTTTCTTGGTCGACGGACCTCCAATCAGGATCAGAGCTGTGGGTCGATTCTTTGGTCGCCATATTTTACGTAAGCCACTGACCACGGAAACCGGTACCTAGAGACGTTACACTGTTACACCACACATGACAATTGACAACGGCTTGGGGATCCTCAACAGGAATCATCCTCATCATCCTCATACATACATCCTCCGTATACTCCTGGCTTGCAAAGAAACCGATTGCTTGAGACTTGTATTGCTGTGAACTGTCTGGATACAAGTTGAATATGTCAAGACAACAGTAAGCGCAATATAGTGCCGACTTACTGGCGGTTCTGGGCGCAGAACAAGGTCCTTCTGAGCACTGAGCTTTGGTAAGAAAGATGGCTGCTGAAATCCATACGGGATACGGATGCGAAGTACACCATCCAATTCCGCACAGCTACTGAGGCAAATGACCATCACATCTCATCCGCAACAGTTGATGATATGTCCATGTCATCGGTACCATCTAGATACATACATGTGTAAGACCTCCGCTAGAGATGCCCATCTTTTGATCGGGAACCCGAACCATCAGTTGCTGGTCAAGCACTATAGCCAAAGCTATTGTCAGCACCTTATTTGCATGAATGTCTCTGCCGAAATATCATCTCGAGGAATCAACACACAAAGCTAATGTCAGCACCTTATTCTCATGAACTTCCCTGCCGAGATATCCTCTTGTTGAACTTTGTCTGGTTCAATGATTAAGACGCAATGCTTATTCTGGTATCTGAATGCCCTGCGAGGTGTAGACCTGGAAGTACTAGTTCAACATGTGCCCTGACGGACCGAGACCTGAATGATTGATCCCATTTTATTGGTATACCCAGGATTTGACATTGCTTTGCATCTGAGTAAGTGGTGGTACGAAGGTATATAGTGGCATGTTAGATAAGATTCATTGTGGCCTCGAGACCTACCTGATTGCATGTAATAACCGAACCTGGAAGTGATTGACCTGAATTATAGGCCCTTGCCCAAGTTCTTGATACCTCACAACACTCACACTTTAATGCACACTAGCATCACGGCACCGTGCTGCTCGTGATACAATCAACTCAACATCATACAACACCGTATCCATATCACCGTCCATTGACAAACGAACGATGAGCCCATCCCTTGTATTGAGAACCAGTCGCCTAGCATCAATCGGCCTGCAGCAAACACCAAGATTTTCCTGGACGTCCATCATCAGGATATCACCAAATTCACTACCGACCCGAACTCTCCGGCATCAGTCCGCAAGCTCTCATCCAATCATCCGCCCCACCATCGGCATAACTGTCATGATGAGCAGCAGCAGCAGCAGCAGCAGCAGCAGCAGCAGCAGCAACCCGCAGCCTCGCTTTTCACCAGGCTCAGATCCCGCCGCCATGGAAGCCGCGCTGGCACCATTGCTCACAAGCAACGGCGGGCAATGGGTTCTCGGAGCGGACGGTGAGGCGCTGGAGCGGACCTTCAAGTTCAAGACATTTGCCAAGACGTGGGTGAGTAGTACGACACCGAGCTTGATTCATAGTTCCATACATCCAACTCCATTCTCCTACCATCACCCGCCCGGAGTGTTTGTCCATCCCTATACTCCTATTCTCAGTAAGCATGTACATACATACAGTAGAACACTTTCACTCACACTCATCATCACACACCCCCCTTCACAGGATTTCATGACGGCCGTCTCTCTGCAATGCAAGCTCAAGAACCACCACCCGGAATGGTCCAACGTCTTCAACACAACCTTCATCCGCTGGACAACGCACCAGCCCAAGGGTCTGTCGGCCAAGGACGTGGAGCTCGCGGCGGTATGCGACGCACTGGCGAGGGACTTTGGCGAAGTGGTGGTAGAAGGAGTAGCAGCGGTCGAGAAAGAGCAAGCACAAGCCCGTCAATCAGCAGATCATCAACCATCGTCTCAGGGGCAGGCCCAGGGCGGCAGCCAGGCGTGTGACATGTCCGGCCTCGCTGGCAGGGCAGCTAGTTCGGCGGGGGATTGCTGCGTCCCGAGGAAGAAGTGATGGGTAGGTGAGGTGGGTTGAATGAAGTTGGTATGGTACAAGTAACTCCGGGCTGATTTGTTTTTTGTCAAGGGGGATCTCCGATCCTGCCGGCATGACGGGAAACATCACGTATGCGGGTGTATGAGCTGATAGGGTTATTTTGTATCTTCATGTATTAAAATGGGTGTAGAAGTAATGGTTTGTATATACAGGGAGAAGGAGGAGGAGTTGGTGGCAGTCGTATGCAAAGGGTAATTATGGACTGCCTTGCCCAGACGCCCGTCACAATGCTAGCGCTGTCCTGTGCCACTGCAGTGTTCCATCGGCCGTTCTTTGTTCGTGTCTTTTTCATCACAGACATTATATTCCTGTGTCCTTTCCAACCAGTTGTTGTCTTGTTCCCTCTAAAACCCATGTCCCCACACTGCCTTTATCTTGATGCCCGCAGACACGCCGGGTTTATTGAGCCTTCTTTGCCCGAATCTCGGCCAGCTTCTTTTCCCGACGCTTCTTGCTCGCCGCCTCACCAGCCTCGGTGTCGAGGCAGTAGTCCCACCACCTGAAACTGGAGGCATAGTTGCCGATGAAGCGCTCGTGGTGCAGATCGTGGTGGTCCGCGCCCGCCCAGAAGGGCAGGATGTGCCGCAGACTCCAGGGGAAGTCGTAGCCGCTGTGGGCGTCAATGGCCTGGAAGAGGCGGAGGATGATCCAGAGGTACATGGTCATCAAGTGGAGCTCGCCCGTGATCGAAACCCAGATGATGGGAGATCCGACAATACCGAAACCCAGGAGCATCACCTCGATCGGAGAGGCGTACTCGGCGGCGAGACCGAACGGGGCACTGTACGTGTGGTGCAGCTTGTGGATGGCCTTGTAGAGCGGCCCGTAGTGCAGCGCACGGTGGAACCAGTAGTGCCAGGCATCTTCCATAATGAAAAAGATGGCGATCTGCATTGCCATCTTCCAGAGCGGCGGAAACGGGACACCGTACTCCATGCCAAAGTAGGTGGCGACGGGGTGGAACAACCAGATCTGAGGGAGCTCAACCGTGCAGTGACTGAGCAGGACGAGAGCGGCGCAGTCCCACTGTTCCTTCCATGTCGGTATCTTGGTCTGAAGCAATAGTTAGTTTAGGGGGCGCAACGGGCGAGGACCAGGGTTGCACCGACATTTTGAAGCTTATATTTGTTGAAGTAAGGGATCGCGTCGATGATCATCCAGGGAATGGACCTGCCGAAGTAGACAATCTCGTGCATCACAAAGCTCATGATGCCGGTTGCGATTGTGTCATTCTGCATCCAGAGGTACCAGGACTGTGTCTCGAGTTAGAGTGGTTTCGGTGAAGGGTTCGGGGGTCGGATTGCGCGTACCGCCCAAAGGCGCTCGACCAGGTTCAGGTGGACATTGTACTTGGAAACCTCCTCGAAGACGGTCGTGTAGGTAGCCGCGGAGCCAAGACCGGCGATGGTTGCGTTCCTAGATCCCGGAGTCAGTCCTAGAGCACCACGCCGACGCCCCGACTTGGAAACTTACATGACCCCAGATGCCATGGTGGGCGGAATCTGTGCGAAGCTGCACAACGAGCGGCGCTGGTGGTGCGAGGAAGGGATACTAGAATCACCAATTGAGTCTAAAAAACGGCACGTTGAAAGGAAGGAGAAAGAGCACGAGACCGTCCTTACAAGATCGATGCCCCTTGCAAATCCGCTGGTGAGTGAAGGACAGTGCAAGAGTCCAGGGAGGAACTGAATTTTATTGTCTTGGGAGAACGACCAGATGCACAATCCCACCCAGCCAATCGCACCAGGATCGGCCCACGTTCACGAACCCCTTTCCGTCTCCCGGGCACGCTAAGTGGGACTAGTACTGCGCTGGTGATTGGTCCAGTCAGAAGATCACCCGAACTGGTGTGCAAAGCTTCTGTGAAACGTTCCTGCCAAGCATTGAAACTCTCGTTTGGTGCATGTAGCGGTACGGAGTATGCAGTATCGTTTTTGCCAGTGTTAAGTTTTAACGCTGATTATTGTCAGACTCATGGATTATGGAGTATATATGCCGTAAGTGTAGGCATCTTTGAGCTTCTAGAAAACGGCAATTCGAACCTAGTAATTTTGATGTAGATTGAATTTACTTGGTCCATAGGTCGACATAGACATACGCTATGAGGTGCCTTGGTGGTATATAAACAGCGGTCAACACTCAATAAGCTAATGTTATGCATCTAAAACAGCTCAAGCTCTCAATGAAGTGGAGGCTTTGTTCCGTTTAGTGTATATATGTACCTTCATACGCCATATGAAATCATTAGAATTCCAAGGTCGAGGAGTAACCAATCGACCTTTTTCAATCAGTCATCATGTGGATTTTGATGTGTTTTACCTCCCTGCTTCGAGGAGTAACTTATATCCTGCGATCCGAGTACGAATTCTGATGACTCCTGTTTTCACGCTGTGTTGCGAAACTTGCGATTATTGCCCCAACTCCGCTTTGAATCGGGACGGCATGATCTCATTTCATCTCGGCCGATAACCTCGAATCCACGAACCTGCCACGCCACTTCAACCGCCACTTTAACAAGTTTCTTCGACGACTGGAGTTGCCTGACCTCAAAGAGCAACCCCACCAGTGGATGTAAGCCATCCATTTCCGCCTCCGGAATTCGCGACATCCGGGCCAGCCTGGATGGTCTGATCGCCCACACAGCCGCCACTCTTCGGACAACGAAGCAGATCTGCAGTTGAAAGCTGGAGACGTTGCACAGCCCTGGCTTCGGGACGCGCGTAACCTCGTTTAGTGCATCACACCATGTCGATTGTGGCTGAGTTAGTATTCCGCAGTGTGTTTAGTCCGAAAGACGCAAACCGTTGACTTTGTGTTTGACGTCCCCCTCGCGCAGCCAGGTCCGTCGTCTAGATGCACGGATAGACCGCGTCTCCCTAGGACCCCTGACGCTAGGCGCGGATCATGAAGTCGAGCTGCAGAACATCGACCAGGTCGCTGCCTCAGCGCTAGCTTCCCCCCGTGTCGATGAACTTCTGCACATAGTGAAGGCCCTGTCATCTGGACTGACTTCGGGATCCCACTTGTCTTCGTCTCGGATCCAGAATCTGCTTGTGCAGTCCGGCTTGACAGAAGAGACGCCCTTGCCCGAGCTCCTTGAGGCTAAGAGTCAGTATGAGACTGATGTTGAGTGGCTTCTGGTAGGCAAGGCTACCGTTCAGACCTATGGGCTCTTAATGGGCACACTGCTAGACCAAATTATCCCGCTGAGCGATGATATTTGGTACTGGGATGAGGTGGTGAGCTCATATCCGTACGGCCTCCTTTATACGATGCAGACCTCGCCGTTGCGGATGTGGAAATGGACCAGGGAGATCTATTCGGAGAGCGTGGAGCGTTTCAAACGCTTACATCTGGATCAATTACCAGGACAGGGGACAGAAGTTGAGGAAGTGTCGCCTGCGCAGCATGATGAGAGTGGCCAAACCCACAAGGCTCTGGGGCTGGCATCTTTGCACTCTCAGTTGTCAAAACACTGGCGTCAGTTCTACGACATCGTGAGGCAGAGCGTCGCCCAGAGGTCCATCATGGATATTCAGCGCAAGATTGCCTCTCGAGTGGACATCGGTCGTTCCGAAGCCCGTCACAAGCAGGCTCGGCTGCGGAGACTCCGAGAACTGACAGCAACAGGGCTAGGGGTACTTCTGGACGAGGGCCTGAATTTCGGTCTTTCAGAAGAAGCGCATCACGAAGAGTGGAAAGGCATGCTAGAGCGCAGCGTCGCCCTGATGGATATGATCCTTCGTGGTGTGCTTGTCTTGGATATGAGCGTCTCGGAGTTTGAGGATAAGGTCTTTGCGGGAGTTGAGGAGGACCCAGAGCTCTCCATACACATTGAGGATGTCAATCCAGCCGAGAGACCGGCCGTACTTGCGCGCCGGCTCCTAACACTCCTTCAAGATGGACTGCCAGATCATCGCATCGCCATGACAAAACTCACCCGTAGGTACGGACGACCATCGAGGCTGGTTAGATATTGGCTTCCTGCGGCTGCTCTGCTCGTTTCATCCTCCACGATTCTCCGCATACTGGTCAACAAGCAGCAAGATATCATTAACTGGGTTCGAGACTTTGGCCAAACCGCACGCGACTTTTGGTTCAACTGGGTAGTCGAGCCCGTACGCAGGATTATTGGCACGATTCGCCACGACGACACCGCCGAGATCGCCATCATGAGCCGGGATAGCCTGAAGGCGGACCGTGACAGCCTGGAACGGATGGTGGTTGAGTTTGCAACGGACAACCCGGATATTGCAGTAGGTAACTCGTCCATCACGGAAAGCGAAATCGCCGAGATCCGTTCCAAGGTCAAGGCCGGGGATGTGACACCCGTCCTCAAAGCCTACGAGAAAGACATTCGAAGGCCCGTTGTGGGCGCGATAAGAGGGGATTTGGTCCGCTCGCTGCTCATCCAAGTGCAAAAGACAAAAGTCGACCTCGAAATAGCCATCAGTGGCATCGACGCGCTGCTGAAGAGCCAGGAGTTGGTCTTTGGCTTTGTAGGGTTGACTCCTGGTGTTCTCGGTATGACTTACTGCCGAGGCTCTTCGAACTCTTCTCATAGCCCGGTGCTAACATACTCTTCCAGTTACCATCGGCTTGTTCCAGTACCTTAGGACCCTGTTCGGCAGCCGCAAGGGTGTCCGACGGACTCGGCAGGTCAGGCGTAGCGTGCGGGTGCTACGCAAGATTGACAGGATCCTCTCTGAAGCAACCACGTCGCAAAACAGCCTCATCTCTTACCGAGACCACGGGCTTTTGGTCTGCGAGGTCCATGTGCTACGAGGGTTGGCGCATGGTGTCCTTCCGGGGGATGTCGAGAAGGAGTTCATCGAGGATCTCGATGAGTTGACCAACCTCAAAGGGATACAGGTACAGATGAAGGCGCTTGAGAGAATCCGCTGGGCGTATGCCGAGTGGCTGAGCAAGATGCAATAGCGACGTGGGGAATGAATACGCGTCCATGTCTACATCGTGGGGTTTGTATTTGACCTGTGTTTTGCCATGGCAGCGGGAGCATTGATAGAGCGTTGTATCATGCAACATATGAAAAGTTTGGGCATTACTATGAGTTTAAATAGATTCAGGCCAACGCTGGCTTCTATATATGGGGTGTTATACAGAAGATTTACGATCTCATCGCCTCGAGGTTGAACTTATATGCGGGTGTGCACCAAGTCGTAGGTCACAGGTGGGGCAACAGCTTCACTGAGGGTCTGAGACACTGATATTCTATGCAGCCCATTCGCGTTTCAGTTGCTCGATGTTCGTTCGGGCATCGCCTTTTAGAGGTCTGTTATGGCCGTTCTTGCAAACCCACAAAGTCACAAATCCCTACTCCATTCAAAGGCTTGTCTGTCTGGGCAGCACAACCTGGAAGCTTTGTAATATGATCTGGTCCACTAGCATGTATTTCAGGTAGTTGCTAGAGGACACGTAGGTTGTAGTGCTTTGTGGGTGATAAAAACTGACGGGCACCGAGTAGGTAACTTTCGCATCGTATTGTTAGTGTAAAGTAGCGGGGCTTTTGGGCCGTCAATCAATGAATAGACCCCTGGCTGGTGTGTTGCTGGGGCCAAATGCGCCACTTCAGCACAAGTGACGAGCGGGTCTTGTCCAACCTGGGCCCAGTCGTGCCAAGACTCGGCGACGTTCCCCCCTTCTGCACATGTCGAGGCTCACCTCCTGGTTCAACGTTTGAGGTCATACTAACCGTGTCCCGAATCACGCGCTGGTCCTTCTTTGGGTTTGCGGTTTTTAGTTCCTCCATTGAAATATCTGAGATCCCACACCAAAGAGCGTCCCTGCAACAGTGAAACCAGGCAAGCGCTGTCAATCCATAGCATTCGCCCGGTTCCTGGGAAGCAACCGGCTCCTTGGCTCCTAGGCCATTTCTTCGGTAGGTGCGTCAGCCTGCGTGGCGATCATACCCCGTTCCCGCCGTCTATCTATTCGCGCTGCTTCCGACGCCTGCCTCTTTGTCTGGTCTCCGCTCAGTATCGAACTCGGCTGTCTAATTCTGGGTTCACGTGTTCCGATCGCCTTGCCCTGCGACAGCTGTGCTAAAGACGACGCATCAGCTAAACAGACACGCTAACCTGTAACAATTCTTCGCCAGTTTTCCGTTGTCGAGCCTCGGGAAGTCGCAAGGATCTGCTACACAGCTGCTGGTTTCTCGTTCGTTACCTACTCCGGCAGGCACGCCAATACGTCAAGGCCCCTCTTCGTTGGGCTTCATTCTCGCTTCGCCCTTCTTATAAACCGCCGTCCCTTCTGCTCCTCGGAAGCGAGCTAAACTCGACGTTGTGTGGTGCTGTCTCTCAACCGCCCACCATGTCGTCAAGTAACCGGAACTACGACTTCTTGGTAACGCGCCCTCTCCAATGCGTCCTACACTGCTTTGCCCTGTCCCGCGTCCTAAACTCCTAGCTGGACCATTGCGCAGTTTGCGCAGTTTGCGCAATACCCCTCACAAAACGCCCCGCCTATTCTATACACATGCTGACTTTGGTTCGCTTGGGGGATACGATAGATCAAGCTACTGCTGATTGGAGATTCGGGCGTAGGCAAGTCATGCTGTCTACTGCGCTTCAGTGAGGACTCGTTTACCCCGTCCTTCATCACCACCATTGGCATCGACTTCAAGATCCGGACGATCGAGCTCGATGGAAAGCGCGTGAAGCTACAAATCTGGGACACGGCTGGCCAGGAGCGGTTCCGGACCATCACGACGGCGTACTACAGGGGGGCAATGGGAATTCTACTGGTTTATGACGTGACCGACGAGAGGTCGTTCAACAGTGCGTTGAAACCCCCCAAAACACGCCCTACACGACGGTGAAGGTGGGACTGACTAGGGTGCAAAAATCAGACATTCGAACGTGGTTCGCCAACGTCGAGCAGCACGCGACAGAAGGCGTCAACAAGATACTGATCGGCAACAAGTGCGACTGGGAAGAGAAGCGGGTCGTCTCGACGGAGCGCGGGCAGCAGCTGGCCGACGAGCTGGGCATACCTTTCCTTGAGGTGTCGGCCAAGACAAACACCAATATCGACAAGGCCTTCTACAGCCTCGCAGCCGACATCAAGAAGCGCATCATCGACACGTCCAAGCCCGAACAGAGCGGCACGGGGGCTGCCGGCGTCAACGTCGGCGACAAGGCCGGCGAGGGCGCTGCTGGGAAGTGTTGCTAAAGCCTTTGGTCCTACTGTGCTAGGGTGGAATGCGGTAAACCTACGCAGAGGCATAGTTAAAGGTTGGCGGCCTCCTGTAAAGGCAGGACCGGGCCGAGCCGGGATGGATGAAGCGTATTTGCTTGACATGGCGTGGTTACGGCATTGGCATGGGGCGCGGGATGACAGGTTTTATGACGAGCGGACGAAGTATGACCAGGTATCTGACCGGCAACGTGGCTCAGGGGTTTTTCCTTGGCTTACTCGGGCGTGCCGTTTCCTCTCCGTGCCTCCTGCCTGCTACAAACCACATGCATGCCATAATACTTTGGCGATCCGGTGTATACCTCCGCTATCTGGGACCCGCTGTGGACGGCTAGAAGAGTCGGGAGGGGTTTCAAGAGGGGGCGTGACAAGGCCGGAGAAGGGATTTAGCGAGACACCGGATAGATGGCATCTGCTACTCAGCTTTGCTGTCTATCTTTTCCTTCATCTTCGGATTGGGCATTGGGAGAGGCCGTGCGGGGGCAGGAGGCTGACTGACTTGCTTTACCCGCTTACACCGTGCTAGGGGGAGAGAAACAGCCCAGGAATACAAGCGGTAGGTGCAGCACAGCGCACAGAGCGCGATATCTAGCTGGTTCATGGAGTTTGGGGTGGCCTGTATTGTCTTGATCTTCGCACTTTAATACATTACGTTGCTGATCTTGTGGTAATATGCTGTGATTAACTCTGCTGAGGGAGAAGGCAATCCTCTCCCCAATCCTGGTTTGCTACCTGCCTTGTAAAACGTAGAGCGAGACTTACAGGGCTAAGAAGCCAGTCAACTTAAGGAGTGTGCCTTACGAAGTACAGGTAGTTACCCCTGACATTCAGCTAAGAATTAGCATCTGTCGAGTCGCCAACTTCTTCATACTACAAAGACCGCTGCTTATGGCCATTTCAGGTTCAAATGTCTGTCGAACTTATGTAGGTAGAGACATCCTTTCGTATCAAATTGCGGTATTTCAGTGCTAATATTACACGTACGGTACCCGTAATTTTCGTCTGTAGGGTTACGATAGAGTAAGCAGAGGTATTGTTACCTGGAGCATTGAGTCCATGGCCATCTGCATTGACTCAGGCGCTATAACTCGCTCGCACTCACTCACTTACCGGGCTGAGTCAAGCGGAGAGGGCCCATCCCCTTTTGCTCTCAGGTGCTCCCAAGTTTCGCTGTAAATATTGCAACAGTACGGATGGTAACTTTTTCTTGCGACCTCAAATCCGCCACCAGTTGTTGGAGTTCTCGATTTTCGGTCTCGTGAGGAACAACTGTCCTACTGAAACTGTACTGTACAAACAGGACGACACAGACACAGCACAACAAAGGCTGCGAGAAAAGGGTGAAACATGGCAAACTCATCAGATTATGAGCGCTGCTCAACCCTCGCAGAATGGCGAGCCCAAGCAGAGGCCATGAGGGCGGCCGTCGCTTCTCTACCTGCTACCTCTACTAGTGTTGAAAACATACAAGATGCAGACTGGGACGACGATGAGGTTGAGCGCGTGTACGAGCCTCGGGACGGGCCGCGCGATGTCTGGGACTTCATCTCGGATGACGAACTGGACGAGATCGACTTTGACAGTGGCGATCTGTTTGACGGTGTCGATGGCGAGAGTGATGGCGCCTTTGATCTTGCCTGGCTGGCATCAAGATGCGCCGACGTTTCGTCACGGAGATCAGGTCTCTCGCCGGAGGCGCTGCAAGACCAGATCATGGACGTTCTGGGCGCCAGCAGACCGGAAGGCGAGCTTCAGACGTTGTTGACGGACTTGGTGGGATTTGATGACCTCGATTTTGTCATCGACCTGGTCTCGCATAGGTCAGAAATTGTCGCTGCCATGGCTTCAAGCAGCCTTCGCGATGCGCAGACGGGTCAGGCCCCGCGCTTGTTGACCAAAGCCCAAAGGCAGGAGGCGCTCAGGCGCAGAGACCTTGAGCACAAGGCTACGCCCTTGGCTGCAGCCCGTGAAAAGGAGGAGGACTATCCCCACGTGTACAAAAGATACAGTGCCGGAAACACCCTGAGCCATACCGGGGCCAAGTACAAATTGCCTGTGGGCAGTCAGAGGATGGAGTTTGAAAAGTATGAGGAGTACTCGATACCTGCAGGAAACCCGGGCACTCTGTGGCCTGGCCAGAAGCTGGTGAAAATCAGCGACCTGGATGGCCTGTGCAGGACCACCTTTAGAGGATACAAGACGCTCAACCGCATGCAGAGTCTGGTGTATCCGGTGGCCTACAAGACGAGCGAGAACATGCTCATCTGCGCCCCGACGGGTGCGGGCAAAACAGACGCCGCAATGCTGACCATCCTGCACACCATCGGAGAGTACCTGACGCCGAGCCCATTTGACGATCCCGTGGCAACCGACTTTGCCGTCCAATCTGAGGACTTCAAAATTGTCTATGTTGCCCCGATGAAGGCGCTGGCGGCCGAGATCACCGAGAAACTGGGGAAGCGTCTTGCTTGGCTAGGAGTGCGTTGCCGCGAGTACACGGGCGACATGCATTTGACAAAATCCGAGATCGTCCAGACCCAAATCATCGTCACGACGCCCGAGAAATGGGACGTCGTGACTCGCAAGGGAACCGGCGATACCGAGTTGGTGCAGAAGGTGCGGCTCCTCATCATAGACGAGGTACATATGCTTCACGACGAGAGAGGCGCCGTATTGGAATCACTAGTGGCGAGAACCCAACGGCAGGTAGAGAGCACGCAGTCTCTGATCCGCATCGTTGGTCTCAGCGCTACTCTTCCCAACTATGTCGACGTGGCGGATTTCTTGGGAGTCAACAAGCGGGCCGGCTTGTTCTACTTTGATGCTTCTTTCAGGCCAGTTCCGCTTGAGCAGCACTTCATTGGTGTCAAGGGCAAGCCCAACAGTAAACAGTCCCGAGACAACCTCGACCAAGTGGCTTTCGAGAAGGTGAGGGAGATGTTAGAGCGGGATCATCAGGTCATGGTATTTGTCCATTCCAGGAGAGACACCCAGGCGACTGCCAAGATGCTCTACGAAAAGGCCACAGACCAAGCATGTGTGGGACTCTTTGATCCCACAGGGCACGAGAAGTATGAGGCGGCTCTGAGAGACATCAAATCCACCAAGGCCCGAGAGATACGGGACCTTGTGCCCAAGGGTCTGGGTATCCACCATGCTGGCATGGCTCGCTCGGACAGGAACCTCATGGAGCGCCTGTTTGGCGAGGGCGTCATCAAAGTCCTCTGCTGCACAGCGACTCTGGCTTGGGGTGTCAATTTGCCCGCCGCCGCGGTTGTCATCAAAGGCACGCAAGTATACAGCGCCCAGGACGGCAAGTTTGTCGATCTTGGCATCCTCGACGTTCTTCAGATCTTTGGTCGAGCGGGTCGCCCACAGTTCGAAGATGTCGGCATTGGCATGATCTGTACCACTCACGACAAGCTCGCGCATTACCTCACAGCCGTGACTGACCAGCTGCCCATTGAGTCCAAGTTCTCCACCAAGCTCGTCGACAACTTGAATGCCGAGATTGCTCTGGGGACCGTCAACTCCATCTCCGATGCTGTGAGGTGGATAGGGTACTCGTACCTCTTCGTTCGCATGAGGAGGAACCCCATGGCCTATGGCATCGAGTGGTCAGAGTACAATGACGACCGCATGCTGGTAGAAAGACGGCGCAAGCTGGCAATCCAGGCCGCAAGGACCTTGCAGCAGAGCCAGATGATCATCTTTAACGAGAACACCGAGGAGTTGCGCCCCAAGGATATCGGCCGAATTGCAAGCCAGTATTACATCCAGCACACCAGCATACAGATCTTCAACTCTCTAATGAAGCCTGACGCTACTGAAAAGGACATTCTGATGATGATTGCTATGAGTGGCGAGTTCGACAACATCCAATCAAGGAACAACGAGGCCAACGAACTGAGCTTGATGAGGCAGAATAAACATTTTGTGCCTTACGATGTCAATGGCGGTATCGACATGCCCCAGACAAAGACCAATATCCTGCTTCAAGCGTACATATCTAGGGCGCAGCCAGAGGACTTTGCGCTGACGAACGACTTGAACTACGTTGCTCAGCAGGCCGGCCGCATCTGCAGGGCCTTATTCATGATTGCACTGAACAGACGATGGGGTTATCAGTGTCTCGTTCTGCTCACAATGGCCAAGTCAATCGAAAAGCGTATCTGGGCCTTTCAGCACCCTTTCCACCAATTCGATCTGCCGAAGCCCGTCCTGAACAACTTGGACACCAAAGATTCGCTGTCAATCGAAGCCATGAGGGAGATGGAGCCCGCAGAAATTGGGAATCTAGTCAACAATTTCCGCATGGGCAGCAAGATTGCAAAACTTCTAGACAACTTCCCTACCCTGAGCGTTGAGGCTGAGATCGCACCCCTGAACCGCGATGTGCTGCGAATCAAGCTCTACGTGACACCCGATTTTCGCTGGAACGATCACCTGCACGGGACATCCGAGTCGTACTATATCTGGGTTGAAAACTCAGAGACGTCTGAAATTTACCATCATGAGTTCTTCATTCTCAACAGGAGGAAGCTGCATGATGATCATGAGCTCAACTTCACGATACCGCTGTCCGACCCGCTTCCGAACCAAATCTATGTGAGAGCTGTCTCGGATCGGTGGCTGGGTGCCGAGACTGTAACTGCCGTTTCCTTCCAGCACCTAATTCGACCGGACACCGAGAGCGTATATACCGACCTCCTGGAATTGCACCCGCTTCCAATTTCGGCGCTCAAAAACTCAGCTTTAGAGGAGATCTATGCGCAGCGTTTCCAGTACTTCAACCCGATGCAGACTCAGCTATTCCATACACTGTATCATAGGCCAGTCAACGTGCTCCTGGGCTCACCGACCGGGAGTGGCAAGACAGTTGCCGCCGAGCTGGCCATGTGGTGGGCGTTCCGCGAGCGACCCGGCTCCAAGGTCGTGTACATTGCGCCCATGAAGGCGCTGGTCCGCGAGCGCGTCAAAGACTGGGGAACTCGGCTTGCTAAACCACTGGGTATTAAACTAGTTGAGTTGACGGGTGACAACACCCCGGATACTCGGACGATTCAGGATGCCGACATCATCATTACGACGCCTGAGAAGTGGGATGGTATATCCCGTAGCTGGCAGACGAGGGATTACGTCCGGAAGGTCAGCCTTGTCATTATTGACGAAATCCACCTTTTGGCCGGCGACCGTGGTCCCATTCTGGAGATCATCGTTTCTCGCATGAACTATATCGCTTCGTCCACCAAGAACCCGGTACGGCTTCTAGGGATGTCGACAGCATGTGCCAACGCTACCGACCTGGGCAATTGGCTAGGCGTCAAGGGTGAGGGACTGTTTAACTTCCGGCACTCTGTACGGCCTGTTCCGCTGGAGCTCTATATCGACGGTTTCCCGGAAGTCAGGGGCTTCTGTCCCCTCATGCAGTCAATGAACCGGCCAACGTTCCTGGCGATTTTGAACCACAGCCCCGACAAACCCGTCATTGTCTTTGTCCCGTCCCGCCGGCAAACTCGTTTGACAGCAAAAGACCTTATCAACCTTTGCGGAATGGAAGACAACCCCAGGCGGTTCCTTCACATGGACGAAGACGACCTGCAACTCAACCTCTCACGGGTCAAGGATGAAGCGCTCAAAGAGGCCATCAGCTTTGGAATCGGTCTACACCACGCTGGGCTGGTCGAGTCGGACCGGCAGCTCGCAGAGGAGCTGTTCCTGAATAACAAGATCCAGATCCTCATAGCCACCAGCACGCTTGCCTGGGGTGTCAACCTGCCTGCACACCTCGTCGTCGTCAAGGGCACGCAATACTATGATGCCAAGATTGAGGCCTACAAGGACATGGACCTCACCGATGTGCTACAGATGCTAGGACGGGCAGGCCGCCCGCAGTTCGACAGTTCTGGAGTCGCCCGTATTTTCACACAGGAGTCCAAGAAGGACTTTTACAAACACTTCCTGCATACTGGCTTCCCGGTCGAATCTTCACTCCACACAGTGCTCGACAATCACTTGTGCGCCGAGATCTGCGCCGAAACCATTGTCACCAAGCAGGACGCGCTCGACTACCTGACGTGGACCTTCTTCTTCCGCCGCCTGCACAAAAACCCGTCGTATTACGGCCTTGAGATCTCGGCGGAAGAGCACAACTCCACCATGGCGCAGCAGCTGGCCAACGAGTTCATGATCTCCATGGTCGACGCCTCGCTCGCGGAGCTCGTCGACTCCAAATGCGTCGAGGTCTACCCCAACGGCGACGTGGACCCGACACCCTTGGGCAAGATCATGAGCTACTACTACCTCTCGCACAAAACCATCCGCCACCTGGTGCGCAAGGCCATGCCACAGGCCTCCTTCCTCGACGCCCTGTCGTGGATGTGCCGCGCGACCGAGTACGACGAGCTGCCGGTGCGGCACAACGAGGACCTCATCAACGCGGAGCTCTCGCGCAACCTGCCCTTCCCGGGCACGTCGTTCGGCCTGCCCATGTGGGACCCGCACGTCAAAGCCTTCCTCCTGCTGCAGGCGCACATGTCGCGTGTCGCGCTGCCCATCACTGACTACGTGGGCGACCAGACCAGCGTGCTGGACCAGGCAGTCCGCATCATCCAGGCCAGCATCGACGTCATGGCCGAGCTGGGCCACCTCAGCAGCACGCTGCGCTTCGTGTCCCTGCTGCAGTGCGTCAAGTCGGCCTGCTGGCCCGACGAGCACCCGGCCCTGATCCTCCCCAGTGTTGTTCCCGATCGCATGAATGAGAATGGCAAGACCGAGAAAATGTCCATGCGAGACGTTGCCGAGCTTGCGGCTAATCAACCGCAAAAGCTGGCCCGAGATCTCGGCGTGCCCAGTAACCGGCCTGACCAAGTAGCCCGCTTTGTCAAGGCCGCCGCGGCCCTGCCGCACGTCCAGGTGACCGTTGAGGACCTCCGTGCGGGTTCCCTGACGGTGGTGTTGAAGCGCCTCAACCCACTCGCGGAGCGTGACGCGAGGATGTACGCGCCGCGGTTTCCCAAGCCACAGACTGAGGGGTGGATTGTCGTGGTGGGCGATGTGCAGACGGACGAGGTGATTGCTGTTAAGAGGGTCGGGTGGAGCACCAGCAGTGGTGGTGGTGGTGGTGGTGGTGGTGGTGGTGGTAAGGGCAAGGGCAAGGGTAACAATGGCGATGGAAATGGAAAGGGGCTGGAGGCTGGGCAGAGGGTCGGCGCTGCCAGGGCGTTGATCAAGGTCCCTGATACTGACGAGGAGGCTGAAGAGGGCAGGGAGGTGGATGTCATTGTGTTGAGTGATGGGTATGTGGGCATGGAGTGGCGGATTGAGGGAGTGAAACTGCCTGCGAAACCGAAGGTGGTTGGGTTGGAGAAACCAAGTGATGAAAGAAAAGGGGCTGGTGCTCGTGCTGGTAGTGCGGGTGAGGGTTCGTCCTAGTGCGGTTGGGGACTGGGCGTAAGGAAAAATGTAGAATGGGCTGCGCTTTTGAAGGGCAAGGTAGAGAGAGAATACATGATGTCTACTGAGCTACACTATCTACTAGAGATTCTAGCCCTATCGGATGCTAGGTTTATAAACCTGTGGGCTTTCGGCAGCTGCTGGCCTCGAGCATAGGCAATGCCCTGAAAACTGCTCCTCAGACTCTCTCCTACCCTTCCTTTCTCTTTCGCCTTGTGGGAATCTCAAGCCGCTCCGTGCTATCTTTAAAGTCACTAATTGCCATGTCCTTGAGATACTGGACCAGGTTCGGGCCGTTAAGTAATCGCCAGAACAGATCAAACTTGTATGATGCGATCCTGATGTGGTAGCTTTGCCTGTAAAGCAGCACAATCTCGGACGACTTGTTATTGTCTCTATTCCAAAGGTCAAGGGTAACGGTGCTGAAGTTGCTCGTGTCAGCGAACCTACTACTATTTTGCCTGCCGTTTGCTATCCACGTACGCACTGAGCCCGTGATCAGGTCCCCCTTGTGAGACCTCCAAGTCCTTCAACTTGTCGAGGTTCTAAACTTACCTTCGGGTGTGGCCATGGTGAACATCCAGCGACCCCCAGGATCAACAAGCCACTGTTGATAAAAAGCGACTGCGTCCAGGGCGGTGATATATTTGGTCATCGCCAGCTTCGCCATGATATCCTCTGGTTCTTCATCGGGTAGCAGGCGCCGGTGCCAATAGTTCCGCACCGAGGCGAAACTTCACCCCCACGCTTTTTATCTCATTGTCATTGACTCCAACATACAACTCCGCGGCGGATCTCCTCAGCGTCATGGCTGCTTCCGGGTGCTTCAAGCAATAGTCGCGCCAATGCTGCGCCGTTGATTTCTGGAACCCTGCTTCTGAGAAATCTGGGGTCGTAGCAAGCGCGAGGGAGGCGTTGACTCGTCGTCCTTGTCCTCCAACTCCTCGTCGGCTTCAAGATGTCCTCTTTCCGCACCGGTGGCGATTCGAACCTGAGGACTCTCGGACTCTCCTGGTTAAGCTTGCCTTGCAGGATCAGGAAGGTACCACTTGGCCACTTCAGGGTAGGTACGCCGTAGGGGGTGAAAGTAGGAAGGGGGACTTGACTCATAAACCCAATGCAGTCTAAGGTAGTTGCAACAGAGGACGGCATGCTTGCAGCAGATTGGAAACATTGATCCAGCACACACTCAACTTCATTAAGCCTAGGTAGTCTTCTAAAGCAGGTTCGGCCGTCGCGAAGTGGTAGATGTGTAACCGTGAGTCTTCCCCGTTCGATTACCTGGGTTTATATATCTGGTCGGATTGTATCTCGTCTCCATTTCGCTTTCTCTAACAGTCCATGTTCATGTTGCCCTCCAATGGGCTCAAGGGAAGTTTCTCGCTCGCTCTCTGACCTGACCGTGATACAGCGTGACATCCACAATCAGTCGGTAAACGCCATACAAGAGCTGTATAGGGTCGATAAGTATGGATTAGACGGACGATGAACCCTACGATCAAATCAGCCCCTTGTCCCCCCGGCCAAGGTATTTCCCCAGCCGCCCATCGCCGAACAACTCCTCCCGAAGTCGCTCCCCCCTCCGTTTCTCCTCACGAGCCATCTTCCTGACTTTCTTTGCATCAAGCAACTGCTCCTTCTTCTTTGGCGGCGGCAGGCCCTTGGGAATGTGCATTCCGACGCCCAGGTTGTCGTCCTTGACCCTGGCCTTGACCGGAAACTGAATTCCCTGCTGCTCCGCGCCTAGCCCCCTCCTCTCGTCTGGATCCCACCCATAGGCCGAGAGGTATGCTAACCCCTTGCGGTTGCGGTCTATTGCTGAAGGGGGGTGTGAGTGTGGCAGGCAGACCTGGTGTGCGAAGGACTGCTCGTGCGGAACGAAGTCTTCCGAGCTGAGCGGCAGGTTGCAAAGCGGACATATGTCGGGGGTAACCTCTTCAGAGATACTGTGTGTCCTCGTCTTGAGCGGCAGTGGTGTCGTTATGGGCTTTAACTTGTCCTTCTCGGCATCCTCCGCCGGCATCACCATGCTGAGATACAGATCAGCTACATCTTGCCGAAGCGGTCTGGCGACGGATGAGCTGTCGACGGATTTGAGCTGGCCTCCTGTGTCGGAAGCAGGCACAAATGCTATTGCCTTCTTGTGCAGTCCAGCACCGAACGGGCGTTTGTGTTGGAGAGGGATGTCGTCATAGTCATGGTCGCTGCCATCCTCCTTTGGAGAACTCATTACGAGTGAAAAGGCTGTGTACTCGAAGCTATTCGCTCGTCACTTTCTCAGCTTCTTTCTGATAGAAAGCCTGCATCCTTCATCATTACGCATTCATGCGGACAAGGTGACCTAACGTTGACGGTTTATCAGTGGCAACGACCCTTTGACAACGGGTTCGAGCTTACCTATAAAGTTAGCGCCATCGCCCGCCGCAGCTGTCCCCTGTCACCTGTCACCACCAACATCGGCCCCACAATTACCCACTGCAGGCCTGCTAGCGGTTAGCCAAGCGGACACTAAAAGTGCTCCAAGCTTCCTGTCGATCTTCGGTGCCCAGATCTCGAACTTCAATGCAAGCTCAGGTCCGCAACTAACCTTATCACCGCCAATTCGAGAAATGCTCACATAGGGCCAGCACAATGCCAATTCCATTCCTACTAAGCCTCTACTTTGATGGGCTGCCTTGGTGGTTTCCGGAGCCATGGCGCCTTGCGAAATTCACAACAGCGGCCGGCGCATTAGCCCTCACGAAATGGTACTCATCCGGCCGCCGCAACACAGCGGAACGCAACATGCACGGTCGCGTGGTGCTCATTACCGGCGGCACCTCAGGAATCGGCGCGGTAACCGCCTTTGAGCTCGCCCGACGAGGCGCCCAGATCGTGCTGCTCACCCGCCAGCCGCCGTCGGACCCCTTCCTGGTTGAGTACATCGACGACATGCGCAAGCGCACCGGCAACCAGCTCATCTACGCCGAGCAGGTCGACCTAGCCTCGCTCCACAGCATCCGACAGTTCGCGACGCGGTGGATCGACAACGCGCCGCCTCGACGGCTGGACATGGTCGTGCTCTGCGCCTCGACCCTCACGCCACCCGGGGGTAGGCGCACTGAGACAGCCGAGGGCCTTGAGACCACCTGGATGGTCAACTACCTCGCAAACTTCCACCTGCTGGGCATCCTCAGCCCGGCCCTCCGCGCCCAGCCCTTCGACCGTGACGTGCGCGTCGTGCTGACCACTTGCTCCAGCTACATCGCGTCGCCGCGCCTGGACGAGGCCAACAAGGGGGGAAAGGACGACTGGACGCCGGCCCGAGCCTACGCCCGCAGCAAGTTCGCCTTGATGGTGTTTGGCAGGGCCTTCCAGAAGCACCTGGACGCGTATAAGCGGCCCGACGGCATGCCCATGAACGCGAGGGTCGTGCTTGTCGACCCCGGGTATGCGCGTACCCCGGGCATGACCAGGTGGCTTACGAGGGGTTCGCTTTTGGGGTTGCTGGGCTACATGATATTCTACATCTTTGCGTGGCTGCTTCTGAAGAGCCCCTACATGGCAGCGCAGTCGCTGCTTTATGCGGCTATGGAGGGTAGTCTGGGGCGCGGTGCAGGAGGCAGGCTGATCAAGGAGTGCATGGAGGTCGACACCGCCAGGAAGGATGTGGATGACGAAGAGGTGGCCAAAAAGTTGTGGGAGTCGAGCGACAATTTGATTGAGAAGATTGAGAAACAGGAGGCTGTTAAGAGAGCCTTGGCCAAGAAAGAACAGGAAAAGAAGGAGGAGGAAGCGAAACAGGCCGCTCAAGTCGAGGAAATCGAGGCACTCATCGGGACCATCAAGAAGGGAAAAGCCAAGGAAGCGCAGAAGAAGACTGGAAAGACCGGCGAGAAGAACAACAATGGGAACAAGAGTGAGAAGCAAAACGGGAAGAAGGCGAAGAGTGCTGCGAATGATGCCAGCTAAGCGGGCACGGGTTTGTTGTTCAACCTCCTGCTACCCTTGAGTACCCGGTCGGTGTGCTCGTTGACATGGGAAGGTGAAAGCCCAACCGACCCACATCCTATTCGTACGGTCGGGAATCTGGAGCCGGCAGGTGGGGCAATTTCGGCATTTCACGTGAAAGCGGGACGTCATCGATCAATCAAGCGCAGACGGCATCGAAGCGCAACACCAATTCGTCGGAAGTCTAACTCAATCCCGGCACACCTGTCACCGAGACTCAAGAGTTATGTGGCTTACAAAAGCGACAAGTCCATACCAACATATACCGGTCACGCTTTGAAATACGCGAACTCTCGACCTCATTCATAAATACTGCAAAAAGCCACCATGGCGGCTGCGCTTCTCCGTGTCCCAACGCCCACAACACCGCCGACAGCAGCACCGGCAGCGCTATCGGAAGATTTCATTGTTCCATGTCAGGCAGTCTGGGGAAGGCCGCAGCAACCGCCGGCTCGGAACTCGTCTCACTGCCATCCCGTCTTCTTCACAGACAAGCTGCGCAGGCCACCCTTTACCATCTTGTCAAACCCACAGTCCAGCCCGGTCGCGCACGGCTACGTCTACCAGGATGGCGCAAAATCGGATGGCCCGAGGTTATGAAGGAGACGGACTCCATTATCACGGATGCCGGGAGCGCACGCGTAAAGCATTGTGGTGTTGTACTATCTCGCATGGCAAGATGAGGGGCCGGTGGGATATTAATTGCAACTAGCAGTCTTACTGCTCTTCTCAGGAAGCGCGAGAGTACTGAAACAGAATCAGAAGAAGTAATGGGGTAATAAAATGGTAATCAAACACAGCCAGTTGAAGAGCACCTTGCCTCGCTTGCCTCCCAAGCAATTGACTCAAACCAACTAACGTACAGGTCAAAATCATCATCACCCCAGGGCAATCCCGACATAAATCCAACAAAAGAAAAGCCCATCAAACATTATTCCTCACCGAGACCACAATAGTCAACAAGATCAGCACGAGCACCACGCCAAGCAAGCTCATGAGCTTGACATTCTTCCACCACATCCTCCGTTTGAGACCTCGGCTCCTGACTCTGAAATCCCGCGCGCTCCCGCCCAAGCGATCCGTCTTGTCCACAAGCAGATCAATCCTCTCCCCCCTCTCCAAGAGGCCCTCAATGTTGCGCGTCATGATGCCCCGCACGTCGTCCATTTCCCTATTGACATTGTCGATGGCGTCGGCCCGCCCCTGGCCCGTCGTACCGTACTCGACCATCAGGCTCCGCAGCTCGCCGTTGAAGGCGGCCGCGCCGTAGTTGGGCAGGTCGGCGAAATCGGTGGCTTGAGGAGGGAAAGCGGCTAGGAAGCGTCGTCGTGCCTCGACGAGAAAGCCGAAGGATACCCGTCGGTTCACCGACGTGCTGTCGCTTACTACCAGGTAGGTTAGGCCGCCGGCCGTGGGCTGGTCGGCTGGGTACTCGGAGGGCGAGGAGCTGATGTAGTGGATGTGGTAGGTGCCGTGCGTGTAGGTCAGTTTTTGAGGGGTTGCGTGGGAGATTTTGGGCAGGATCAGCGACGCGAGCGACGAGGTGTTGGAGGCGGCCGAGGTGGTGCATTCTGAGAGGATGGTGGTGTTGTGTGCTATGCATGCGCTAGTTTGGGGAGGTGTGTATGTTAGTGACAGTTGAGACTCAAAGACGGGTCGGGTCATGGTTTCCATTGGGGGACTAACTAGAGAAGCGGTGTCGCTGGGGTTGAGGACGACGCCATCTTGATGATCTGACAATGATGCTGATATCGTTCTGGATATCGGAGCGATGGAAACGCGGCAACACTGATGTTTGGGCGTGACGGACCGTCGAGAGCTTTGGAATACGGTTTGTTGGTCGACTGGACAAAGTGTTGCAGAGTTGAAGCATCTGAGCCCCTGCACGATGACGAGTGGTCGGGACGGGTTGGCTCCACTTCAGTTGGAACTGGACAATGTGGGGCCACGGAACACGCCAAGAAATCAGAAGCCGCCTTCCCAGTTCCCACCCCGGCCATTCACTGATAAGATAAGGTAAACTGCAAGGCGAGGTGCCTGCCAGGGAGGGAAAAAAAGGTACACGGGCCGACCACTGAGGCTCGTTCTTACAACTCCCTGAATAGCACAATGACCAAAGGCAGAACCAGCATGGTTCGAATCTTCCCCTCGAAACGGTCATGAAATCATTGCGTGGGACCGCCTGGAAACCTCCAAAGACCATAGTGCAGCAGGTCGCTCGCCGATGGCTTTCAAATGCAAAGCCAAACTTGTCAAACTCGTCAGACTCGTCAAACGTAGGTGCAGCTCTCGCCCCTTTCTGGTTCACCCTTTTGATATTGCACAACTGGGAGTGCTGGTCCTAACCGGTAGTCTTCGCAGGCCCCCGCTTCCTATCCCTCAGCTGTAGCTAGAGCCAAGCTCCAACAAGGCCTACAAAAAGATGCCCCAAAATCTCACAGGCAAAGGGGCCCCAGCGCCGAAGCCCAGCGAAACTATGCTATGTTTCGGAACTTTGTCGAGGCACGATTCGACAGGGTCCTGGCCGCGATGGGCGCCTGGGCCGAGCAAAAGGAGGAATACCGCTCCTTTGGCGTGACAAGTCAGGCCCAGCTTGATCGCGAGGCTGCCCTGTTCAAGGCGGTTCTTGACAGGGCATTCAACATGGCCACCAAAAAAGGGACAACGGGCCGCAAGGAGAACCCTCTCTTTTGGAACTTGCGCAATGCGTTCATTGCGTCCGACAGCGGCGGCTTATCGCGGGAGCTCAAATATGCCTTTCAGACCTTCTTGATGCGTACGCGCTTCCCCAAGACGGTCAACGAACTGCACATGGCCCTGGCCGACTTGCGGTTCCCATACGAGTGGTACCCGGCCACGCGCATGATGCAGCGCACCATCCACTTGCACGTCGGCCCCACAAACTCGGGCAAGACGTACAATGCCCTAAAGGCGCTCGAAAACGCCCAGACGGGCATCTACGCGGGCCCTTTGCGCTTGCTGGCCCACGAGATCTGGTCCCGCTTCAACGCCAAAGGAAAGCCGTGTGCCCTGATTACGGGCGAAGAGCAGCGCATTCCCGAAGGCATCAACACGTGGTTCCATAGCTGTACCGTCGAGATGACGCCCCTGAATGCAAAGGTTGACGTCGCCGTTATTGACGAGATCCAAATGATCAACAACGACGACCGCGGTTGGGCTTGGACCCAAGCCTTCCTCGGCGTCCAGGCCAAGGAGGTGCATCTCTGCGGCGAGGAGCGCGTGGTTGACCTTATCCAGGCACTCTGCGCTCGGCTCGGCGAGAAGTGCGTCGTGCACCGTTACCAGCGTCTCAACCCCCTCATCGTGGCGGACAAAAGCCTGAAGGGCGACTTTAAGAACCTCCAGAAAGGCGATGCCGTGGTATCGTTCAGTAGGGTCGCTTTGCACTCTCTGAAGCGGGGTATCGAGGAGAAGACGGGCCGCAGGTGCGCCATCGTCTATGGCAGCCTCCCTCCCGAGACGCGAGCCAGCCAGGCCGCGCTGTTCAACGATCCAAACAACGACTATGATTACTTGGTCGCCAGCGACGCCATTGGTATGGGGCTAAACCTCGAGATCAAACGCGTAGTTTTCGAAGCGAGTTCCAAGTTCGATGGAGTAGGGCACCGCAAACTGAACATACCCGAAATCAGGCAGATTGGCGGCCGTGCCGGACGTTACAGGACTGCCACTCAGGAGATTGCTGGTGTACAGTCCGAACCGGCGCCAGGCGTTGTTACGGCGCTGGACGACGAGGATCTTTCTACGGTTAAGAAGGCCTTCGAGACGGAAGCCTTGCCGATCGAGACTGCGGGAATCCTCCCTCCGGCTGCAGTCCTTGAGCGCTTCCATTCATACTTTCCCGCTCGGACACCTACCAGCTTTGTGCTCGCGCGGCTGCGAGAGCTGGCCAGGCTCTCGGATTGGTTCCACCTGTGCGACTTCAAGTCGGCGTTTGAAATTGCCGAAATCATACAGCCCTACAACTTGAGCGTCGCGGACAAGTGCATCTTCCTAAACATCCCCGTCAACGTCAGGGACGAAAGAGAGATCAAGGTGCTCCAGGCCTTTGCCCAGTGCGTTGCCGAGCTGGGGAGCGGGCACCTGCTCGACTTTCCCGACGTTGACCTCGAAGTCCTCCAGGCCGCCCGGCCATCCAACATGAAGGAGCAGATTGATCACCTGCACCGCCTCGAGTCGCTGCACCGGACCATCACCATGTATCTCTGGCTGAGCTACCGGTACCAGGGCGTCTTTCAGAGCCAGAGGCTCGCCTTCAAGGTGAAAGAAATGACGGAGCAAAAGATCAACGAGCATCTCGAAAATCTCCGCTACTCTCCCGATATGGAGGCCAACCGGCGGCGGAGGATGAGGAGGCTGGCGAACCAACAGGAGCAAAAGGCGAAGCAGTTCCTCGAGTCCGACGAGGCCGGCCCGGTGCCGGTACACGACGAGGAAGGTCACCCAGAGCCACTCTTTGATGAGACGGGTGAGGCCGCCGAGGTCCAGTGGCCTGCGGGCCAGACGGGTCCAGAAGGGTCAACCCAGAGCGTATCGGTTGGTACGCAATGATGGAAACGTGGGGTTGGGCCGGTGTATTCTTGGAAACACACGAGCGTGTGGTTGTACTTGTATGGGTGAAATCTTCCATCGGCGAGTGTACGAGTAGGGAGTGTACATTAGACGATGCATGTCCAGGTTCAAACAACGAGGATAGATGTTCGAAAGGACTGATACTTTCCATCTATATACCCGAGCTTTTAAGATGCCTTGAGTGTGAGTTGGTATGTTCAATGCTTTGGATTGTGCTCACCATTTCGTGTAGATGTTGGGTCTCCCTAGCAGTTGTTAATGGTATTTATTTCCTCCTTGCCTACTGCTGCAGGTGCATCAAGTATACGGAGGACGGTTATTCTTGTTACTGAGCACAACTCAACTCCTCGCAATCGGAGAACCTCATTACAAAGGTGGGGTAACCACAGCGGGGTACACAAAGGGCCAAGTTGGGGGCATGTCATCGCTCTCTCCAACTACCCCGCGTCAAGCTCACCACCAAGTAACTCGTTTGCTCTCAACCTAAGGCATCTAGACGCTATAGCGGTCTATATCATATCACTACCTATGACGGTCGAGCTGAATCACCCTCCTGAAAACCGCTGAACGTACAGAATAGACCTCCTCGACTCGTACGCCGACTTCCACCAACCACACCCTCGAGACCGACCTCTAAGTCCAGCCCACGGAAAAAGAACACAAAAGGGGGAAGAGGAGAAGAAAAGAAAGGGTCAAACCGAACAAGAAAGGGAAAAATCAAAATAAAGAAATGACGTCCCAAGTAGACAGTCACACAGGCGCGGGCGCAGCTTCGGCACCATCGGCACCAGCCTTCATCCCGCTCGAAGCGAACCCAGAGCTGCTCACCTCTCTACTGCACAAACTTGGCCTATCAACAGCGCTGCAGATGCACGACGTGTACAGTCTGACAGAGCCCTCACTGCTATCCTTCATCCCGCGGCCCGCGCTGGCGCTGCTGCTAGTTTTTCCCGTGTCGGCCGCGTACGAGTCGCACCGGCTGGCCGAGGACGCGGCCGAGGCCGAGTACAGTGGCAAAGGGGAAGCGGAGCCGGTCGTCTGGTTCAAGCAGACCATCCGTAACGCATGCGGGCTCATGGGCCTGCTGCACGCCGCCGCCAACGGGCCCGCGAGGGGGTTCGTGGTTGAGGGCACCGACCTCGACCGGCTCATCAAGACGGCCGTTCCGCTCGGTCCCGCGGAGAGGAGCAGGCTATTGGAAACGGACGAGGCGCTCGCGCAAGCGCATACGGCTGCTGCGACGCAAGGGGATACCGCGGCGCCTGATGCCAGGGACGATGTGGATTTGCATTATGTGTGCTTTGTTAAGGGCAAGGACGGGGCACTCTGGGAGATGGACGGGCGCAGGAAGGGCCCTATCAGGAGGGGGAATTTGAGTGAGGCGGAGGATGTTCTCTCTGAGAAGGCGCTGGCTTTGGGCCCGCTCAAGTTCTTGGAGAGGGAGGGCGCGGATTTGAGGTTCAGCTGCGTCGCGCTGGCGGGGAGCTTGGACTGAAAGATCTTGGGGGGGGGGGGGGGTTTAACCAAGGCTTGACTTGGAAAGAGGATAAGATTGGAGATGGGCCTGCTGTGGCCGGGAAGCGTTGACATGGCTGGGCTAAGAATTTTCTTTCCCGAAAGCTGCCCTTCGTTCCGACCCGGTTGTCTTAGGGGCCGCCCGCACAGCCTAGCACTCATACCCCAATGTTCTTCTGTTTGGCAGATGCTCTGCATCCCATTCTTGAACGTCAGCTGGGCGTCAGGACAGTCATCCCAAATTAAGACACCGTGTAGCTCCAATAGATCTCATCCGTGATCTACACTCCTCCAAGCCCTGTAGGCAGAAGGGAATATACATCTACAGAACGCCTGTGGCCCGAGGGTTTGTTCTACGGCATAGAGTGGTCGTGACATTCAGTCGCACCGGCAGGGCTACGTGAATGGGGTTCGCCCGACGCCTTCCGGGGACCTTATCAGTAGCTTCTTTACATCAAATGAAGGCGTACTTCGACTCCTTGGTACCTTAGTCGCAAGATACTGTTCGCCGATCCTCAGCGCCCAGTATCGTCACCCCGGCGATGGCAAAAAGCCGAGCTCCTGATCCGGGGATGCTGAAGGTAACGGCCCGATAAATTATTGCAAGACTCTCGGGCATGAGGGAGCAGGAACGAAAACATTTGGGTCGGGAATCTGCATTGCATCAGACCTACCAGAGTCGGGACCGATTGGGGCGATTGGGGACAGGACATGCATTGCCATTACATTCCTGGTCGAAGACACGGCCGCAGACTGCCCTGCAGTAATATTACTTGCCGGCAACTGCAAACAAAGCTGGAGATGAAGAATAGGGGTACTTTTGCTCTGAAGTTGCCCGAGGATGGAAAGAGCGGCAGAGAGTTGACAACTTGACACAGTTCAAGGACTTGCAGAGAATGGAAATTGGACTGTTGTCCTTTCCGCGAATGTAGGCAAGTTGCCAGGTGTTTGTGTAATCGGACGGAAGGACCTAATGCAGGACGAAAATCTTGATGTCCCACGGCCGAAATACATGATGCCGAGGCCGCTGCTTTGGGACTCTGATGATCTGGAACTGCCAGGCAAGTGCCGCTTCACTGTTGTCGCTGGACAAATCGGGTTTGACCGAGAGGAAGATCATTTGGGCCCAACGCAACCGTGGGATCGCTGCCCCAGCAGATCGACGACCAGGAACAGATCGGAAAGTGGGTTGCGGAAGCCCTGCTACGGCGCTTTTTTCCCTACCAGTCTGGTGCGCTATTCCCTGCCAAGAACATGAAGCCCCACATGCCATGGCTCTCGAACTCAAACATCCCAGCCAAGCAAAGCGGTGCGGGATGATGCAAACAGAGGCTGCGGGAGTGGCAGAAAATAAGAAAAATCGCGGAAAGAACGATTCGGCCCAGCAAACGCCCAACGCTTGACTCGGAATCCAATTTGCGCGAACCATGGAGAACCAACGCGGCAAATTTGGCTCGGGGAATCTTCAACCAGAACCGGCTTGTGACAACGCCCGATCACCATTCCAGCGCAAACAGCGCATGGGTATTCGCATCACAGCGCTACCAAAAAGGTCGCCAAAAAGCAATGAGATGGTGTCGACGATTCTGCACTGAGCGCATCCCCTGCAGGAGGGGTAAGTAACTCGCAGCACGCACAGCCGTCTCTGGGAGACGTGCGTAGAAGAAGCCAGTCAGAAACTCCATTCTTGCATGCTGCAAACCACTGCCAAGCCCTTGCAGGTGTGCCGTGCAGCCAACTGGCACCCCCTGAACGTCTGCAAGCAAATGCCGTGCGGTGCAAAGGCGGTCCACGATAGGTCCATGACTTGGGCAAGAGACATGCAGAGCGCGAACCTGCCGATTCAATGCGCTTCAGTGCTTCAATAGCCTGCCCTCCCTCGCAGCGCCCATTCTGCACCAGTCTGCAGTGGATTGTGCCCTTTGGCTGCTTGCCGCGCCGCCACGGAGGGGGATTCGGGGGGCAACCCTCCCTGCCGTCGAACAATGGCGCCTCGCGATGCAAATGCGATGCCCTGCATTGCTGGCGTGCGGCGTGCCGGTTCCGAGTCGTGGTCACATACCAACAATGTACCCCAATCTGCCACAATCGGCAGGTACAGGAGGGTAGGACAATACATGTAATTTGCGTCTAGCTCGCGGCGGACGTGTATCAGATAGGTTAGGTAGGCAAGGTGAGTAGCTTCCAAGGTTGTCCCCGCGAGAGCTGCTCCATAACAGGCGCGGCCGGACCCAAGACTGCGGTGCCATCGCCGAGCTAGTACAGACTCGTATACCTAGGGTATATACCTCGGATTTCCCATCATCCCTTCCGTTGGGCTGCATAGTACTCCTTCCAGCTTTTACTTGATTCATCCCTGCCCAGCCAGCGCTAGAACTTCGCGTCTCTCCCTTCTCCACATACTATAGTTTTGCTGGCCTTCTGGTTTACTTGTCGAGGCCTTGTCCTCCTCCGTTCTTGTTCATTGTTCTTTGTCCTTCATGAACTCCTGACGTCCTCGAGTCCCTGGATGTGAGATACTCGCGGGCAACTCAGCTCTGGCTGTTTGACTATTACGATGGGCCTCTTTAGCTTCCTCGCCCGGAAGCAAGGAGGTTTGCCCAAGACCAAAGTCAGCGCCTTTAGGGAGCCGCTGGACTCTGACTCGACAACTTCTGGGTCAATATCGTTGTCCACCCATGGTGAGGCCAAACCTGACCGGACAGACCTTCTCGGTGGGCTGGGGCTCACGCAATGACAGGGTCACGTCCGGCAGCCGCTTACAGAGTCAATAACCTTGACACCTTTTCCAGGGGCCGTCAGAGTTTCACCCGTTCAAGTGTGTCTCTAGGCACAGCGTCCGTCGAGGACCATTCGGCCCCTGCCCCTGGAATCCCCAGGTTTCGCGAGGATAGCCCTGAGAGACCAAGCACAGCCCCGACAAGTCAGGCCTCGAGATCGGAACTCGCAAACAGCGTCTCGCAACCGAAGAGCAAAGGGCCAAGGGGGCCGCCTCCGCTCTCGTTCCGAATGGTCCGGCTCGGCGTTGCAGGTCCACGGTCACGGCCGGAGTCACGCAGCTCTATCACCACGGCTACCAGTGCTTATCGCGGCACGAGTACTATCTCTCGCACCGCTTCCACTAGAAACGTCAACGGCCCGGGATACAAGGATATCCTCGATGCCCAGTCCGAGATTAGGCCGGCCGACTTCCGGGCAAGAGTCCGGGCCTCTGGCGCCAGAGACTATGGCGAAGATGTCGCGGACCGGAACATAGCACAGAACGGTCTTGATCTTCATCTACCCAGTCAGCCCTCACCGCGCTATCACAAGTCCTCGATGACTTTGTCGGCAGATGCAAAGCCTGTCAGAGAAAGTCTGGCCCGCCGACGGTCTGTCAACACGTATATGCCTTTGGGGTCTCCGAAAGTCATGAGCCGTTCAAGCCCCGATGTCGTCCAGCCGCTCGCTCCCACACCCGAACTTGTCAAGAAGGAGTCAAGCCCACCTACCGCCGGAGGGCGAGCTGCCCGTGCCACACGGGCTGCCCGTGATTCTATCATGCTCGCCAAGAGGAAAGCCGTCGCGACAATGTCAGATAATGCCAAGCGCGATGTGCCGTCTTCAACGGGCTCCATCCTACCGTCTTCATCCGCCCGCTTGTCCGCCCTCGGATTGGAGACCTCGCCGCCTCGGGCACGTCACAGCCTCCACGCGCTACAAATGTCCGTTTCTTCCATGCCCAGCCCGAAACTAGAAGAGATTGCGGAGAATTCCCCGTCCTTCAGAACCCGCAGCGTGCGCGGGTGGTCGGCTTCGTCCAGCGCGCCCACCACCGCCGACAGCACGGCGCCCTCCTCCCAGCAGCCCCCGTCCCTACACACGGCCAACACCTCCCTCGTCGACCTCCCCGTCACAGCACCCTTACCCTCCCCAACCCACCTCAAGTCCATCACCACCACGATCCCTGCCATAAACGATACCATCAACCACAACAACGACGATGGTGATGGTAACGGTCACGACGGTAACGACGACGACACCTCGTCGTATTACCCCGCCTCAGAAGGTGGAGGAGGAGGCCATGCACGACCCGGCTCCTCAAAAGCAGAATATCACTTCCACTACAACGACGACAATGACAACAACAGTACCCACTCGTTCAACCTGGACGATTACCTCTCTTTCCTGTCCGATCACGCCGATGGGGACGACGGCGATAGCATTCGCCGCCGCTCGGCCGCAGAAAGCGAGAAATCACTACTCTTCAACGATGCCGGCTATGGCGCGGGTGGGCTGCAGCTGCCTGGGCTGCCTGAGCCGATACCTGCTGTTGCTGCGTCTCCTCCTGTTCCTGCCCCTGCTGTGGGGGGTTTGAAAAGCATCGGAGGTGGAGATGATAAGGGGATCAAAGTCGGGTGGAGGTCGAGGTTGGGGCCGGGCATGTTTATGTTTGATCAGCGGTTTTATTTCCCCGAGGAAGACGAGGAGGAGGAAGAGGAGCTGGGACAAGGGCCAGGAGAAAGGGAGAGGGGTTATATGAGAGAAAGACTGGACGAAGTGGGGAACAAGGGATTGGAGAACGGAATTGGGAGGGAAGCGAATATGGAATGGGAAAGAAGGCAACGGAGGTATGTGCTTGATACAGGGGCGCATGACGAGGAGGACTTCCCTGAGGAGCTGGGAAAGGGGGAAGTCACCCCTATTTGCACAGATATCCCCGGGAAGAGGTCGGCGACCTTGACGGCGCTGTGCCTGTCCGGGGGAGGGGAGACTCACACTGAGCAGATAGAGCCAGTACAGGGGCAAGAACAGCGGCGAGTTGAAGAAGTCACGGGAGAGGGGCGGTACCAGCGAGAAGGCGACAAGACTGTCGACATAGCAGCGGCTGTGCGGCTGAGAAAGCAAGTGAGGCGAGCGAAGCGGATGGTGGCGGCCGCAGCCGCACAGACGGTGTCTGTCTCGAAACTGCGCCCCGCAGGACCAACACCGGTCCCGGTCGTGCATGTTGAGCCTGGGACGTATGAGGAGGGTGGTACACTCTCCACGACAACCACGGCGATCTCTAATGATGGATGAGGCCGAGTTCCTTTGTTAATCTGACGGGTTTTATTTGCATGGCGCTTTTTCTCGAGGGATAATCAGCAGGAAGGGTGAAAGGAACCGTTGAAGCGATTATAATGGGGATAAGTAATAGGATACTTCACTAGGTACGGACGGCTGGGCGGATTGGGATATTGGACATGATACCATTACTATTTACTAGGACACCACGGGAGCGTGAACAGCCGGGCACATTTGGATATAGTAAACGGCCGACTCCGGCTTTGAAGACCTGGAGATGGATTATTCAGCAGTCAGTAGATGGAAAGCATCAGAGATCATAGTGCCTAATCCGAAGTCACTAATTGCGTGATTCTTTTCCCAAGGGATTGAATCTGCCTTCGTCCTATGGCTAGCATCTGCTACGGACGATTGCTGCTGCTGAGGAAGAGGAGGGCCCGCGAGTGAGGCTCTTTAACCCAAGCCCACCTCGGCAGCCGCCATCATGGTTCGCGATCCGAAACTTTCAGTGCATACGAAGAGAGATGATGGGCCACGCCGGGCTCGCCTGGGGATGGGCCAAGGAGAACCCCTGTCGAAGTACCAAGGAAGTGTGGATTGTCCTGTCCCAGATGTCGCTGTAAAGGCAAGCCGTGAACGTCGCGCTCTTAGCTCAATGCTTAGCCAGGGCCACTACCACTTGGCATACATAGCCAAGTGGTAATCGATCAAATCGCCGACCCATGTTCCCCTTCCTCCTCCCCCCTAGACAGCGCCCCGTTCCCGCCCGCCTCCAAAACGCACGCGCACCCGTACGCCCTTCTAAACTGATCGACTTCCATACCCTCCAACAGCGCGAGCGCCTTCTTCGCCGCGCTGATCTTTCCATACCTGCTGCTCGCCGACACGGCGTGCGCAACCGTTTGCCCGTGCACGCGCACCGCGCAGACGACCTGGCCGCCTTGCCCAGTACCACTTCCCTGCGGATCCATCAACCCCGCCACCGCAGCCAACTGGTTATTGGGAGGTGGCATCTCGCGGACCAGCACCCGCCAGTCGCGGCAGCAGAACTTGGTCTGCATGACCCCGCCGAGGAGGGTGACGGGGTGGTTCTGGGCAAAGGCATCGTACAGCCGCATGTCCTCGAACCAAGGGCGGACATGGACGTTGAAGAAGCTGCGCACGGCGCCGGCGTAGTCAAAGCCTGAGTCGACGAAGACGGCGCCCAGGTAAGCCTCGACCACGTCCGGCAGGCACTTGGGCGGGTGCGAGAGGGCGGTCCAGAAGTCGCGGGGGAAATCCGGTTTGAGGATTCCTTCGCCGTCATCGCCGTCACGGTAAGGTGCAAGCGCCTCGTCAAACTCGGCCACGTAGTCGGTTATCTGCCGCTGGATGTGGGGCGAGCAGTAGGCGAGTGAGCGGTGGAAGCCCAGGTGCACCGCCAGACAGCCTAGGAATTGGTTGGATACCATGGCCATCTTGTGCTCCGTCAGCCACTGCGGGTCGGCGCCGGGGAAGTGGTGGAAGAGATACTCCACGCAGGCCATGTCCAGGAGGGAGTCGCCCAGGAATTCGAGGCGCTGGTAACTGGGGAGCTTCTCATAGATCGATGGATATGTTGGGTGCTGGAAAGCCGAGCGCAAGAGGCGGGGGTATCTGAAGGAGTAGCCCAGGCGCTGCCGGAAGCGCTCGGCCATGTCTAGCTGGGCGCTGTTGCAAGGCGCGGTCTGCCAGGCGGGAGGAGTGTAAGAGGCGGCGTAGTCGGAGAAGCACGTCATGGTGTGGCGCTTGTCCCTGACCATGGTGCTGACTGCGCGCACCGCCAGGTCAAAGTTGGTCCAGTCTTGTTCTTGAGCGGTGAGGTAGGCGGCGCCGATGAGGGCCTCGCAGACGTCGGCGATGGACTTGTCGGCAAGTTCGTGCTTCCGGATTGGTTCCTTGCGCTTACCCTTCTTCAGCGTCAAACCCTCGGGGTACCAGCTCCGGCGATCGAAGGCCATGGAGCGGATGTATTCCTCCAGTTTGACCTCGAGTGCGTTGTTGAAGAGATTCAGGTTGCAGATCAGCAGCATGCGCTCGACGTGGTACTCAAATTCATCCTTGTCAGGGACGAGAGTGAAGATGGCGATTGTGGTTGCCATCTTGAGAAAACTATCGCCGAGAAACTCCAATCTCTCGTAGTTGTTGCCCATGCCGCCCTGAAAGTTGACTTGTTCGGCATCGTGCTCGCCCGTGTTATCGCTGTCCTTTGTGAATGCCTCAAGAGCAAGGTCGGGCCGAATGTTTAGCCCGAGCATGTGGCAAGCATCCAATGCAATGAGGTTGGACTCGATGCGATGGATAAGAGCAGGGAAGTTGTAAATCATGCTGACGACATCTACCGGCAACTGCACTCTGTATTAGTACGATCGTCCGACAGCGATGGAACCTTCAATGAAAACTTACCGGCGAAATTCTCAGGGGTTGCAAGACCAAGAAGCACTGCTTCGGCTCCAGGTCTTGGTCTCCAATATTGTCATCCAGAAGGTTACGTCTAATGGGCAGTAGCTCCGCCTCCACGACAGGCTGATCCTCCCTGAGGGACATGTAGCTCCGCGATTTCGTCCACATGCTCAGACTGTAATTGAGAATGTCGCGGTTGGTGCACGTCGTGCGCCAGGCCCTGTGACTCGGGGCGACAATGCGTTCAGGCACAGGGTCGGTGGCCTTCAAAGCGTGGCAGCGGCCGCGAAGGAAGAATTTGCGTGAGCCGTCATACGGATCGGTGACAAATTTATCAGTGAAGAAGCTATCCGGCTCGTTGAACTCGTACTTGATGCACTCGTTTTCGTGCACGCACCTGAGCGTAGCCCAGTCAAGGGTATAAAAAGGATCCGAGACGGACGAGAAGTCGTAGAAATGCTCTCGTCTTGTTGGGGCAAGAAAATAAGGGAGCTCGGCAGCAGTAGCTTCGTATTCCTTGCTGAAAACATCCTTGTAAACAGCCAAGGTAAATGCCGTCAGGTACTGAATGAGCCTGTCATCATCAAGCCTGAGAGGTCCGGGAATCGGAACACATTTGACTGACGAAGAGCGGTTCTGGCCGAAGAATAGCTCGAATGAAGCTACTTGGGGCATCCGCTGTCGAGCCAGCAGGAGGAGCGGGAGGGATGGTCTGCCGACTGCCGCCGGGTTATCCAATGTTAGAGCTGTCACGTAGAGCTCCGAGGGCTCGCCCAGGATTGACCAAATCTCGGGCTTTATCCGCATACCATACACCTTCCTCTTCTTGGAACTGATGGCGAGCCGTGCATTGCGCATGGCAGGAAGCTGTTTTGTAAAGACAGGCTTCAGAAACGCATCAAGATACTTGTTTTTGATAAGCAGGATGCACAGCTCAAAGGCTGCCGAGCACTTGGCGACTGCCTTGCTCGCGTAAACACCCCCAGTAGCCCGTTTGATGGGGGACGACGCAGGTAATATCACCTCGCACTGAAAGCCTCCTTCAGGGACAGGAAGCACGACATAGTTGGCAGTCAGGCTGACGTCGGGCGGATGAGGCAGTGAAGCCACAAATCTTGCAAGGCAGACCAAACTTTGCTTAAAGTTGAGCTTTGCTCCTGTTTCTGGGACTGTGTACTGCTTTTGTCCCTTTTCCTTGCGCAGAAAATAATCAATGTTGAAATTGTTTCCGGTCAGGCATCTGTCTTCTGGCATGCTCTCGCAGAACCGTCGCAGCGCGTCTTCGGCCAGCTTATTTTCTTCCATCCTTTTGCGGTGCAGGATATTGCCCTTCTCAACAAGGTGCACGTAAACCGAGCCGTCCTGGCGCGCTCTGCCGCGAGACTGAATGTACTGGATCAGAGTGTCGTTGAGGTCGTATCTAATGATAAGGTTGCAGTCCGGGATGTCGAGGCCCTCCTCGGCAACAGGAGTCGCAAAGAGACAGTTCAGCTCGCCCTTCTTGAACTTTATTATCGTCTTGACCTGGTCACGATAGCTAATCTTCTTACTGTCCCAACTGGCCTCTTGCCTGCCACCGCCAACCTGTCCAGCCCATTAGCATAACTGCAATAACATATGAAAGAACGAGAAGTCTCACAAGTACGCCAGGCCTAAGGCCCTGGATGGTCATCTCCGGCTGCTCAAGCAAGTCACAGAGTAACCCAGCCACATTTCTCTGCTTGAAGAAAATGATGCATCGTTGTTTGCCATCTTCAGCATGGAATTGCTCTCGCAGCACGTTGACAAGTTGGACGACCTTGTGAGACAGATGGTCCGTATCGAGCCTTGGCTGGATGAAGTCGTGCTGATTCACCAGCTCGTGTGCCTCTCGCACCTTGTTGATATGTTCAGCCACGTTCTGGCTTAAGTCAGAGGAACGGAAGAGGTTACTCTCGGTTCCCGCTTCCAGATATGCCATTCGGTCTCCGCTGAGGAAAAGCTGCCAGTACCTATCGGCGCACCAAGGTCCCATCTCTGCCGCTGCAGTCGCGGTGAAAGCGAATGCCTTTTTGAAGACTGCATGATTACCCACAAGCCCGCGCAGACCTCTGTTAAGCTCTGTCTCCCAGTCTGGAAGCTTCCTGTCGTACTCGACAACTATCTCCGTAGTTGGTGTTCCGGCACTCTGTTGCATTGCCCTCGGGTTGGCGACGGTGGCAATCTGGCTATGAAGCAGGCCCTCAAGCTGTGCTGCGGCAATCTTGGGGTCGATGTGGGCGTCCACCGGAGAAGCCGTCATTCCAAGAATGCGGGGTCTTTTCTTCTCATCTTTGACCTCGATGTAGAAATCCTTGATAATGCACGCGTAGGGGTGCCTTTTCTTGGTGTGGTGGGCCTCATCAAATACTAGGAGGTTGATCTGCTCCATCCGGATGTAGGAATGGTGGAGGCAGGAGTAGAGAATCTCAGCCGTGCACACGATGGCCATGTTGTCGGCAAACGTCTTGTCCCAGAACTCTTTGGACGAGACCTGTTCGACCATCTCACCGCATAACCTCTCAATAGGATAGTCCAAGTTGCATGTGAGCACGGCATGTTGCTGAAACACCAGAGCAACCTTATCGACAAGGAAAAAAGCGATGCGCTTTGGAAGTCCTTTGGCTCGGTCCTCCAGCTCATTTTGAATTGTCCATCGCAGGAGCAGCGCAGCAATCAGTGTCTTGCCCGATCCTGTGAATTGAAGTGCTTGTCAGCCAAGAAACCTCGCACCGGCTGAGCAGTCGTAGCATGGACCCTTACCAGTATCTAACACAGCAATGGTGTTCTGTGTCTTGGCCCGCTCAAACATCTCGAGTTGGTAATCTCGAGGGCTTGCGATGATGCACTTGTTGTCGAAATCCTCAACCAAGCCGTTGGCAGATTCATCATCGTCAATGACCAATCCGCTCGGGCTCTTGGAAAGCTCTTGTTGATTCTCCTCAATCCACAAGTCGAACGCGGCAATGTCTGCGCGCTTCTTTTCGGATACCTTGCGCGGCTTGCGAGGACTGTGAACGACCCATTCGTTGGCCCCGTCACTATTCTCACTATCGATATCACTGTCGTCGCCTCTGTCGTCGGCGAAGCCTTGCTCAGCCGAGTCGCGCACAGCGGGCTCATCGATGGACATTTGGTCGTCGTCAACCAATCGAGGCTGCGACAACGGCGGCCAAACTGGTTGTTGTTCCATTTCGGCCTTAAATGGTTGCCTTTGCTACTCAGGAAAGTTGAGCGAGCCGGGTCAGCATGCACTCGAGAGTTTCCCAACGCAGCTTGCCGAGCCACCCTCTTGCGAGTGCCGGATGCTGGTTAATCGTTAAGCTCTGAACCACTCCCGGAGATTGTCAATATCTGCGAATTTAGAATCGGGTCGAATATAATCCCATGCAATCAATGGTCTTGGTTGATGGAGGGGAGGGAGCAACAGGCCGATGTGGGCGCGAGATCAAAGTAATTGAATCTGGTCGGGGCGACGGGGCAGTATGAAGAGAGAGAGATGATCCGGTCTTGCGTTTCAATTATTTCGTGGTTGAGGGTCGGTGAAGTAAGGTCAGGTGGTTGGAGGAAGTAAGTGATTATGTAGGTTGATTTCGCGAAAACCCCGTTTGTGGTCTTGGGAATCGGATCGAAGTGTTTGTCTTCAAGTGTCGCTAGCCACGTCGCCGAAACGTCTAGCAAATGTCTTTGCGAATAATCCCCAACCAGCTACAACCCGAGACACCAAAGGATGAATTTTGCATCAGGGACTTAGCCTCTGCAAAGTCCACTTATCCTGCCCATCGTCACCCGTCACACGGTCATACACGAACCGATCATGCAGACGGTTCTCCCTGCCCTGCCAAAACTCGAATCGTTCTGGCACGATCCTCAGGCCTCCCCAAAACTCGGGCACTGGAATATGGTCGACACCCTCGAATTTGGCCTCGGTCTCCTTCACCCACCTGTCCAGCATTGCCCTTCCGTCATCGCCCTCCAGCGTCTCATCCGGTACCAGCACGGCGCTCTGCCGGCTCGACCACGCCCCGATTCTGCTCCCACGCACACGCGTGTCGAAGTAAGCCTGGCTCTCGGCGGCCGAGATCCTGGCCGCCCTCCCTTCAACCCTTACCTGCCTCTCTAGCGGCTCCCACCAGAACACAAGCGACGCCCACGGATTTCCTGTGCTCGAGCCGTCGGCAGTCCCAAACAAGTCCCGCGCCTTGCCGCTGGTGCCAAAGTTGCTGTAAATGACGAACCCCTGGGAGTCAAGCTCCTTCATGTAGACCATGCGAGCCGACACGCGGCCCGACGGCAGCTGTGCTGTCGACAGCGTGCATGTTTCTGGGTGGGATACGCCGGCCTCGGGTGATGACGCCTGGCGGAACCACGTGTGGAACTGCATGATGGGGTTCTCCGGGTCCAGGTCGCTCCGGCGCAAGCCGCCCGCCCGCTCGGCCTTGAGGAATTGCGCGGCTCGTCCTGGTGCGGCAGCCGATTCAGCAGACATGGCCGTGCCCGTCGGGGCAACTGTGCGACGCGTTTAAGCGTCTATGGTCAATGCGATGAACCGCCAGGACTAAGGTAAGTACTTACAAATCAGCTTGGCAGCGTTTTGGGGCGGATGAAGCGCCATTCTGCTTGTGCTCAGGGGGCGCGTTACTCGGGCGAAGGTGGCAGACGCGAAAAACAAAGAGCGGAGAGCTATACCCATAGGCAGTTAATGTTAGGGATAGAGTCAACTTCCGGTCAAGATACCGGATGGTGGACTGATCGCTGAGGGTAATTCCTTGTGCAGCTGCTCTCGGTGACCCGCCGTGCACATACATGCAATACCCTCGTCAATTGGTTTCCACTGTCGAGCAATCAAGAGCTTCAGTCATTTAAGCCAACTGAATCTGGGTAGGTATGCTCTGTTGCTAAGCCCGCTGTAGCTGCTCTGTAGTCTTACTGCAGGCACTGTACTTTACGAGATTGATCAACAGGCACAGACGGGACACAAGGGGTCAGACCTCGGATGATCAGTCAGCTCGACTCAGCTGGAAGGATCCAGAGCGCTGGGCCTGTCCTGATTTGGCCAATATAATACCCCGCCAACCCCACTACAGAGCTGTTATCAAGCCGATTAGATAAGATAAATAATTCACAAGAGCGGCGGGCACCAGACAGCACCAGACAAGAAAGTCACGAATCCCAATTACTTTCTGTCTGAAGTCGAGCATACCGATATAGAACAGTTGAGCTTTTTGTTTTGATATCGAATTGTAGCTTCAGATTTCCGCATTATCATCATCACACGCAGATTCGTCCCGTAATAAGAAACAATGGACAGAGACGACGAGCCCCGCTCGCTCAAGACCGTCTTCGCCGATGCCGAATCGAAACGTCTTGCATTGGAGAATTCACAATTTGCGCCTAACTCAGCAGAATACAGCGACGTCGTGTCCTCTGCTATCAAGCTCTACGAAGAATGCCTGCGTCTAATTGACGCCGTCTCCCTCTTCAGCCCGAACGAGTCCCTCGAGGACCTCTCGACCTCAGACCTCCCTTTCCTCCTCACAAACTTCCACCTCGCCGAGCTCACCCAGAAAACCCCCTTTACCTCACCACAAGACCGGAAACGCGTCCTCAAATCCGCACGAAACGCCTACGAGCGCTACCTCCACCTGGTCGACAGCTACGGGCTGCTGTCCGCGGCGCACCGGAAGCTCCTCGAGCAGTACAACGACTCGCCCATTTCCTTCAGCACCGTGCCCGCGAACCCGGCCGCCCGCCGCGACGCAAAGATAGCAAACTTTAAGCTGGAAAAGGAGCTGCGCTCGAGGCTGGAATTCCTCCGCCGTCGACCGGAGTACGGCGCCGCCGAGGGGGAAGGAAGTGCGGCGGGCGACGAGGACCTCGTGCGCGAGACACACCTCGCCCACCTCAATTACAGCACACACCTCACGTTCCAAGCTCTCGAGATGCTAAACCGCGAGTGGGAGATGCTGGCGCATGCCCCGCCCCCGCCACCGCCGTCGACGGCACAGCTACGAGGGGGTAGGATCCTCCCGGGAGAAGGAGAAGGCGAGGAGGCGGACTCGCGCAGGCGGAACGGCAGCAGTAACGACGGTTACACCGACCGGCTCGACCACCCCTCTCACATCCGCCGGAGCGGGGGCGGCGGCCCGCTGCTCACAGCGCAGGGCAAGCCGCTGCAGCCGTTCACCCTGCTGAACAACAGACAGGAGCTGGCCAAGGGCGTGTTCCGGCCCGGGCACAACCTGCCGACCATGACCATCGACGAGTACCTGGCCGAGGAGCGGCGGCGGGGGGGCATCATTGAGGGCGGTGGGGAGGCGAGTTTGCGCCGGGACGAGGAGCCGGACGAGGACGACATGGACAAGGCCGACGCCGAGACCATGAAGGCGAGGGCGTGGGATGAGTTTGTCGAGGCGAATCCCAGGGGAAGCGGGAATACCCTGAATAGGGGGTAGCATGGGTTTACGTGGGTCTGATAAATATTCTGTAATTGTTAAGCGGGACAGGTGCATCAATGCTAGCGTTTGTTGTAAGTTATCACAGGTAGTAAAGGCCGTTCCCTTTGTCACCTAGGCATGAAAATGAAGGACTGGGAGTAAAAGCGTGTTTCATTAAGTCATGTGTCCGTTATCCGTTTGCGCCCGAACGCACCCAAGCGTTATATACTCCTTTTTTCCCCTCTGTCAATGGGCAGGGCAAAGAAATGTGAAAGCCCAGACTGCTGCGATTAGCAATCAAGAAGAAGCAAAGAGCCGACCGATCGCAAGAGTTTATCCCAGGAGATGTCGCCAAATCCCATCAAATCCGCCCTGATGCATTAGCATCACCATCGGCGTCAGCGTTGATCTCCTCAAACCCATCCAGGGTCGAGCTGCCGTCATCCGAGTCATAGAACCCCATATCGTCCATGTCATCAGCGTAGTTATCATCCAGATCCATCGCATCCCTCTGCTCCTGCATATCTTCCTCCTCCATATACCGCTCAATCGCCATACCGTGAACCTGATGGTCGGCCGGCTGCGCAAACATGGCATCAGCATAATCGTCGTCCTCTCTGGAATCTGCGGCGAACGACTCGGAGGGCGGTGGGGCTGGGTGCACACCACCACCATCAACAACCGAATTCCCATCAGCGGTAGCCGTAGGCGTAGCGCTGCGCTGCGCGAGCATGCTCTTGCCCGCCGCAGTCCCACCTCCAAAATAGCTCTCATCATCGAGCGCCAACACGCCCATATCAATGCCGACTGACGACTGGGCGACAGTCGAGGCATACCCCCCGGCACGGCTGCCTCCCTCGAGGGTCTCAGTATCGGCAGCAGTACCGCCATAGCTAGGAACGGTGAAGCCGGTGTGGTAGCCGGGCCCCGGCTCCGAGGGGCCCATTTCGGCGAGCGGCACGGGCTCCTGAAAGACGCCGCCGGAGCCGTCGTCGAGTCCGTCGGCCCAGAGGGGCAGGTATTTCATCTCGCTCTCGTCGAGTGCGTTCAGGAGGAGATGGTCGCTGAGATAAAAAGGGATCGCCCCCTCATGCTCGTTCAGAGCGGCGAGCTGGCCGCCCGTTACCGAGTTGGCCAGTTCGCCAACCCCTATTCTTAGCTCGTCGCGGAATCTCGCAAGGCTGAAAAAGTGACTTGAACTTGGCAGGCTGTTGTTATTGTTAACTTACTGCTTGCACGTTATCTTTGGGGCTGGGGGAGTCTTTACCTTGACCATGGGACGGCTCTTTGCCCAGCCTGGGAGACCTGGACATGCCAGTTGAATTGATCGACTAGTTGCATGAGTGTCCTTTGTTTCATGTTGTCATTGGGGTTCGTGAACTCCGAGAGTTCTTTCAACGGGGGGATATTGTCCTTAAGCGTCTTCCAAAAGAAGGGCGTCAACGCTTTTTGACTAGGGTTGAGGTCACTGTAAAGAACGGTGATGGGAGTGCGATCCCACCAAGGGATGTAGTGCTTGCGTTGCGCCTCGAGAAGGTCGATGACTGAGATAGGAAATGCGGGTGTTGCGAGGGAGTTTTGTACGTGTTGGTGGAACACAGCAAGTAAAGCCGCAGCGAGTTCTTCGTAAGCTTCTTTCCATGGGTTAGTAGGTTCGATAAGCCCGCCGAGCACGACGAACTTATTCCACTCGCTGATCGTCTTGGGGAGCCAGATGAAAACCTGGTCTGACTGGAGCATCCTGAGTTTGGTGCTCATTCGCTCGGCGAACGAGCGGCTGGCGTACTCAACTGGGTCCGACGGGAAATCTCCATAGTCATCGCGCCGGCGCTGAGCCCATGTGAACTCGGGCAGGCGCGACGAGGGCACCGAACTGGCGTAGTCGACTGCCCGCTCGTTGACCAGTATCTTGAAGGAGGCGATGAGCACACTCGGGATTTTGAGAGCGTATGCCAGTTGAAAGGCTTTCTCTGGGCAGATCTCGATGAACTTGGTGTTTGGCGGTGCCACGAGCCATTGAGTAACTGGGTCAACCTGCGCGTTGTTAGCAATCCCGGAGCAACCTTGTGAAAGCTAAAGGTTCACAAAAACTTACAACAACCTGTGGCACTTCGAGGTTAATAGCTACCTGGGCGACAGTCCACATGCGCACGGCCGAGTTCAGCAGAAGCCCGTCGCCGTTCATTGCCCTAAGAAGGCGGACAATGGAAACCCGATGTCGAATCGGACAGTAATCTTCAACTTTCCTAAAATCTGGAATGCGGCTTCCAGGATGACCCGGGTGCTCATCAATGATGCCGAGAACGTTTTCATTGGTCTGCCAGTGGGAGAAATCCGTGAGGCCTGGCCAAAACGGTCAGATCGAGGAGTCGAGATCATGGCATGGCGCACTTACACGAATTGCTCTTGCAGACATCGTCGTGGCCAAGGGTCATGATAGAGCCAACAGCTCTGTCAGCCAGAGGGCGTTTCCAGACCCCTTCCCCCGCAACAACTGGCTCTGGGATGTAATTCCCGGCCAGGAACCAGATCTTGATTATGCGAGGAAGCCAGAGGGCCGCGGTGAGATCGGCCAGCTCAGGACCCTCTTGGGGGGGCGTGAAATCGAGAACGTACTCGATCCCAGGCGGCAGCGTCGTGAGGGGCAGCCGTCGACGGAAGCGTCTTTGGGCGCTGTCGGTGAACATTTCGTGAACCTTGGTCGAGCCGAGGCCCATGAGCTTCTCGTAGTTCATTCGGATGAACACGTCCTCCCATCCCTTCCCGTCACAGGCGGGAGCCAAGCGGGCATCCTTTGGAAACCTCACAAATGCCAATACCGAGTCCCGGCTGTCGCTTGATGAAGTCAGCCTGATTGAGCTGATCTCCATCAAGTGGCTGTCGACGGCATTCACGGTTGCCGGGTTCAGGTTTTTCCTTTCACCCCCCAGGCCGTATAGAAGATTCACGTTATCGCCTGTCTGCGACACGGCCATTGTGTGAGGGTCGACAAGGCAGCGCCGCTTCTGGATAGCAATAGAGTTGTCTGCGGCGGCGCTCAGCGGCCGGAAATCTGGTTCTGAGCCAGCAGAAAAAGGTAGCTTCGGTTAAGCAGTCGAGACTGAATAGAATAATGCTGAAGAAGACTCGTAAGCGTAGTAAAAAACCAGATGGAATCTAGAATATCATGTGCCCATCCATTCTAATCAATGAAGGTCGGCAATGGGCACGGCTGTAAAGAGCCATCAACTACCATAAGGGCCAATCACGGTGCAGTATCGTGAAGCCGTTTCGGTCCCAAGGTTCTGGCAGAGTTAAATGTAACGGTCCCGAGGCGCAGACGGGGCGATTCTGATGATGGGTTGAAGAAAATGGTCATTCGAGGCTCAAGGTGGGTTGCGGACCACAGGCTTCCCTGCCCGCAAGCGCAGCCACACGCCCTCTCTGAATTGCGACGACTTGCTATATGTCCTTGGACTCAGCCTTATGCGAGCCAGAAGGACTGCATTCAATGGTGGCCTTGGTACGCCTGTTATTGGCAGGGTGTGCTGCGCGATCGCTGCAGAGTCACGGCTAGGCAGCAACCGCGGGCGGGACTGGACTGCGGAGTTCTTAAGGCAGCCAAGGTACCTACTCGTCAGCCCTGACGAGTAATAAGGTCGGGTAGTACTTGCCTCGATCTAGGGAATTGACTCACCTCACGTAAGTCACGGGTTGAAGAAGAAGAAATGGCACTCATGTATATAGGTAGGACGAACAACATTACCGACCATTCTATCTGAATTGTGGCTGTCACCTCATAATAGTAGTATTGTATGTATTGTATGTACAGGTACTGTACATACAGATGCACTTACCTGATGACTACTACCACTACCAGTATGAGTAGCGCCCCTGTAAAATCCAATCCCCTTCAGCCAAAGCCGAAGTACCGTAGACGAGGAAATGTAAGCCGACTTCAAGTTGTTGCTGACACCACTCGCCGACGGAAAGGATGTGCTTCCGTGTTGAAGACAAATTCATCGAGGCTGATCAGCCCGGGGTCGCTGAATATGAGGTAAAAGTATTTCAGCGTCTCCCCCATCCAGAACGACTCCATCAGGTCTATCGTCTCCGCCTTCCCCGTGATGGTGACGTCGCGGATTGCTGAGTTGGCCAGAGTGGTGCTAGTGGCCTTGTCAATGGCTGTAAACATGTTCCACGCCGTCTCCAACAAATCTTCCCGCCCAGTAACACGGTATAGCACAAAGACGCTCTCGATAGCTTCCGGCCGCAGGTAATATCGCGGATCCGTAACAGAAGTCACTCCTTTCGGTAACCGCGCCCTCTCGATGATGGTGTCGATATCGGCTTCGCCTTCTGTCGTGTTCGGGTCCTCCTTCCTGACTCTTTGGAGGACCTCTTGTTTCCAGACTCGTTCATTCCATTTGCAATCATCATTCAGCTTGCACGGGGCCACATAAAGCACCTCGGGCATGATGCCGCTAGGGAACACTTTATACGCCCATATGCAGCCGTCTGTAAGCCTTTTGGCAGCATCAATATCCTTCTCCCGGCCGAATAACTTTCCGCCCAGTGCCATCAACCCCCCTAAGAAGCAGACAAGGTGCTCATCTCTCGGCTCGAGCTCGAGACCATGGTCCCCGGCGTGGATATTGCCCGCAATAAGAATGTCCTCGTTTGTCGGTGTCAGTGGACGGAACAAATTGTGCTTGATTGCCGCATCCATAGCCTTCTCGTACATCTCCTGGTACATTGGGAGCTCACCACCAATCAAGGCAGCCATCTTAGGCAGATACTCGTATGCCGAGTCAGCCATAGAACCCAGGCTGAAGATTGAGCCAGAGCTGAAGTCTGCCTTTTCCCCATTCACCTTCAGGGGCCAGAGGCCCGGGAGGGCGGTCGAACCCTGTTGTGCGGCCATCTCATCCGCAATGTGTTGCACGGCATCGAACCACCTTGAATCTCCGGTCAGCATGGAGAGACGAGTAAACTCCATGGACAAGCTGCCTATTTCGGCGAGAACCACGCTGTCACGCGCGACCTGCTTCTCGCCCCTGGCAGCCGCATGGAGGTCCCAACGTGTAACGGGCATACGGTTTGGTGTGTCGAAGGCCTTGTACAGCATCTCGCCGACCTCGACCGCCTTGCGTAGTAGCCGTATATCCCCGCTCAAGTCAAAGGCCGATAGGAAGCCGCCGAGATAGCGAATGTTTGTCTCGAAGATATTGACCTCTGGCAACTCGGTATGGGTGAAGTTGATGGACTCCGCTGCGGCAACGGCCTTGTAGAATTCGGCCTTCAGGTCCATTATCCATAATGTGTCGAGCGAATCGACCAACGTGGCAGCCCAGCCACCAAAGGTATCTCGACGACCGCCTGATACCGGAGTCAACTCATCGGAACCCCAAGCGTACTTCTTGTAAGACTGCCAGCACTTGGCAAAGGCATCTCTGACAGCCTGACGGCGTTTGCTCAGTTCGGGGTGTGCGCCCTGCTGCTGGGTTGGAAATGCTGTAGCTTGAACAGGCGGGTATTTGACCGGTGTGCCAGTGCGTGACGGCCGGATGGTGGAAGGTGGGTAATGGATAGGAACATTGTTCCAGAAATTGTCCTTTCCCATTTGAGGCAGCCAACCCTCGACTGGCCCTGCGATTGTCAGGTAAACATCGTTCCCACTCCGCCATAGGTAAAAGTAAGCCAAGAAGAGCAGCAGCCCAGCACAAGGAATCAAGGCGTATTTAGCCCCTATTTTCCTAGGGAGGAGCATGCTGTAAGAAAATGGTAGCTGGAGAGTCTTGGAAACTGGCCTGCCAGATGCAGGGGCGACCACGAGATCGGCAACCCTCCGCATCAGTATCAGTAGACCGTCTAGACTACGGGGGCTTAAGGGAGGAGGGAAATCTTGATAGTAGCCCCCGAAAGACGAATGAGCGGAAGAGTTAGCCAGCGGGGACTTATGAACTCGAAAAGAGGAGTATAACTGTTATGGAAGGGGAATCCGCGCGACGTATGTCCATGAGACCATTGAAATCGGTGTGTTGAAAGGAGCTAAACGAGCCGGTGATGAACAGGGATTGGTAAGATAACCGAATGGGGGCGGAATCCTTCAAAGTGAAATCAGCTTTATGTTGGATTGGTCCGGCTGATGCCGTGTTCAGGGGACGTAACGTTAGGTGCCAACGAAAGCATTCATCGACTGCAAAGATCTGTTGCAACGGTGGCGTCCAACTTGGCCGCCATCCACCTGCTCAGTACGAGTCCCCGGCTTTGGGTCGTCCCGGTGACCTCTAGCCGAGGCCGCGTGCTACTACTCCAGCTGCCGGGTGGCGCCCGTCCATATTCGTACCAAGACGACACGACACGCGCGACGTGCTATGGCCAAGGTCACCATGCCTGACCAGCTGAATATGCCAGACTTCGCAAACCCACTGACAGTGAATGCAGGATTTGAAGTCTTCTGCATAGAGAGGTGGGCGTCAACGTCCTGAACGGCGGGACGGTATCTTCAAGTGTCTGAACACGATCGAAGACCCATACTTCCGCCTAGGCAACCCCTGAAGAACGAAATTTGACAGCGTAGCGGGTGATGACGGCGTCAGAACCGGAGCCTGTCATTGTTAGGCAACGAAGTTCCTTCGTCATCGTAAATATCGACATCCCGCCCTCCACTACCTCTTTTGCTTCACGTCGCGTCTGCCGGCACGGCCATTTCCTTGCACTTGGCTGTGAGACATCCTCGTCACGGTCCAAGACGGTCCGACGTAACCATGAGTAAGTGAGATTGGAAGTAGTAAGAGAGGACTCGAATACAGCTGCCTGTGTCAAGTGGTCAGACTACTCAAAAACAACCTCCAGACTCTCAGTAGTGGCCGGAAACCTGTTTCCTACCTGGAAGTGGGCAGAGTCGGATGCCAGTAGTGCCCAAGGAGTAAGTATGGACACGCTCCTTGAGAGTAGGTAGTGGTCAAGACAGGTGCTGAATCACAGAACCGGTACGAAGTACCTCCGTACCTAAAGGTAAACATAATGGATATAGTCCATGCTCGCGTAAATCATCTTCAGACTCTGCATCTTGATTGGAAGTCAATAACGCTTTGAATTCGAAGAGATTTTTAGACGAATTGTCGGGGAGGAAAGTGACGGAAAGAACACCGTTCAATTGTCAAGGCAGTCGGACTGGTCAGAGAGCCATCGCTATGTATCATCGGGGAAGCTTCAAGTTGCGCTGACTGACGTCGTAGCTGCAAGTTGGGCGAGGACCCTTGAGGCACTGACCACCGTGTTAATTCAGGTTCTATATGCTACATAATCCACTGTGCCTCCCTCGACGGAGTGAGTCGAGTCACCGTCTCACTGGCAGGAGTCAGACGGATGGGCCCTTGAACATTCTTTTAATCAACGAACGTTGAGTGATCCAATGCCGATAAATCGAGACACTCAGCCAGGACCGTTGTTCCAGGCTATGGCCATGCTCGTGTGACGCTGAAAATCCCCGGCTTCGGTTGGTTACAACACCAGTCTCTTGATCCCCGTCACGAACCTTCCGTTTTCTTTCGGATGTGCACTGGAGACTACGGATACTCGACTTGAGACATTTCCCTTTCTCTATGCACGCATATGCATATTCCCGTCTCTACATTTTGGAGCCACTTGGCATGACATGGCGCGGGAGATCAAAGGCGATCCGGCAACCTCCGTTGGGGTTCCGGGCATTGAGGCGTCCACTCCCGTTGCCGGCCCGAATCCCGAGTCCTAGACGGCAGGTAGACCGAATGTTTACATTCATTAATCCTCGAGATGCGGCTCTCTCTTATCCAACCGTTGGCTACAGCCACTGGCTTAACCCCAGTGGCATTTGCCAACTCGAGTCAAGATGCAGAAACTTGTGCAATACGGGCAGCCAAACCCGCGCATTCACTCTCGCAATACGACCCTGTAACGCACTTTGTAAGTCACAAATCGGGCCTGCTCTCTGCGGTCACTGGACTACGAGCTTCTCGGATCGTTCACAATGCAGACATGTCTCTGTTCTACTCCCCGGACTTCACGTCCAGCGGACCCTCCATCACACGGGGATGCTGCCGTTCCCTCTCTGGCATGGCGAGTAGCGTTCACGCCCGACTGGATTCTAAATCTTCCAGTCAGAAACCGACTTGACATTAGCCAAGCAGCTGTGGCGCATGCCACCGCCGTCCCGTTGATTTCAGGGAAAACGGACTGATTACGATCATGAGCGATGCGCGCAACCGCATGGGGATACGGCCGGGGGAAGACCCGAACGAGCTGTGGCAGAGAGGTGTTCGGGCCGTGGACCGCAGTCTCATTGGCGACAAGATCGAGCGTCTCAGAGGGAAGCGTCTACGAAGCAAGCCGGAGCTTTCCAGGGTCTCAGTTCTCGATGCTGAGTGAGTTGTCTGGGTACACGTTTACGGACTTACGCCTAGGGAGAACGGATTGTATTGTGTGCTTCTTCTGACCTGCCCATCGGGCACCTTCAGGAGCCCTGGACATCATAGCCAGCGCCATGATGTGCGGCTCTCCTCGCTCCTAGTTAAGTACTAGTTGACAACCTACATTGTAGGATTCCATGACCAATGCATCTTCACCCGCGCAGCACTCACTCTTCAGGTAACCGGCATATCATACGAAAATTATTCAGGCCCGGGCATTCACAACACAGGTTCGAATCACGACTGGCCGAGATACTATTTCAGAGAGCGGCTTAAGACACCAACCAAAGGAACAAAGCTCACGCAGTAAGAATAGGCAATGAACGTGATGTCGTATAGAACAACAATCGCTGATTAGTTACCCTGTTCGCACACCAGACAGATTTCAAGATGTCGGATCTCTACGCCTCGCCACCCGACCATGCTTATCTTGTTGCGACCCCCTTTGATATGCCGACCGAGACGGGGAGCATATGGGCGATAGCATTCACCAGCAACAGCAGCCGGTTCCTCAACGCGGCGCTTGCCATCATCTTCACGCTCATTTTCCCATGGCTCTGGGGCCTGATTTGCGTTGGAGCCCTACTATACACTCCACACAATCCATCGCGTCGCCGTTCTGTTGCTTTAGTTACCCTATGCAATGCGCGCGAGCCCTGGTCCGCTTTCAAAAGCCTAGCGGTCTACACTTACGACTCCTTTCGTTTTGTCGTCGGCAACGAGACCGAACAGACTACATCCTGGAATGACACCCTATACGGCCTTGCATTCTCCTTCATTGCTCTTGCTATCTTTGCCGTCAGCATGACGATGGGTATTATTGGCCCTTCTTTCTTGCACATCGGCAATGTCGCCCCAGTACGGTCGACCGTGCTCTCTCTCGATGAGGTTCCACCCCCCGACCTGCGCGACAATCTCCTCAACAGGAATTACGCCTCTCTGCCGGACAAGACAGTTAAGCAGGCTGTGGGAGGCGTGGACTCTGCCGCGGATACAATTCGGTCAAAGGTGTATGTCTCAGTCGATGGCCCTAATAGGACGGACAGCGTCGCAGCCAATGGCTCTGAGGTGACGGGCAACGTGACGGTCAAGGTAACGTATGGTTATAGCATGACCGGCCTTGACCTTGGCCTACCACACGGATCCGACCTTGAATATTCAGTCAACGGCTCCTGCATCACCGAATATAAATGGGTCCGAGAATTCACAGACGAGGACAACTGGAGCCACGACTTTTACCGCCTCTGGCCAGAGCACGAGGATCTTGCTATTGTCGACTTCTATGCTGGCAGAGCCGGAAATGACGTTAACGAAATCTCTATATGGGCTCCATTATCTATTTTTTGTCTTGCACCCGGCCGCTTCCGAACAGGCTCATAGCGGCGGGAATGTTTCCTACGCCCTCGTCATTTCTACACTGTTTCGGCCAAGCACAACGAAAGGGGCTCGACCCAATGTACGAAACAGAACCATTCCGGTATGATGACATTCAAACCACTCACCGTGTCAAGCGCTTCAGGCCAGCACTCTCGTGCTGGCAACATGACAAGTGGACCTATGGGACGGAGCGTGTCAACTCGATCTTTGATCTGAGGTTTCTGCCCAACATGAAACTCCCATCTGTGTTCCTCCAGGTTCTAGAGAACACTTTTTCTTACCCGATAATCAAGACAGTCGGCAGCGTTGCCGGAATGAACGCCCTTGACGCACCCGTACAGTCCTTTGGCGTCCTCGACGCAGAGCAAGCTAGCATCGAGAGAGACATGACGCGCCTGATCATGGCCAGCTACTTGAGTTCACTGAACGTCTTTGTCTACGCCACGACTGACAGCGGCGAACCTGGGCGCAACAACATCTTCACGGGCGAAAACGGAGCTCCACGAGAAGGCGCCGAGCAGTTAGTCGTCCGAACCGGGAATGTCGAGACATACTCCCTCTCCGGTCTCATATCCCTAGCTACGCTCGTGGTAGTGATACTCCTCATCAAGCTGCTGCTTTTCCTCAAGCTCCTCCTTCACCGCGATCACGAAACTTCGCGTACCACGGAAGGAGACTTGATCGAATATGACGACCGATGGACTCGGATCAAGGCCATGACTGCGACCCAGCTGCTCCGAAACGTCTACGAGAGCGGGCAGGGTTCGCCTCGAGCGGGCTGGAGTTGCGGCGAGGTGCTCCCTGACATAACGGACACCAAGACCTTCAAGTTGATCAAGTGCCGGGACGGCGAAACTTGCTGCGGCGGTCATATCGCAAAGGACCCGGAGATTGTCGTCAGTCGGAGGGAGAGCTACATGTCGGGCTCCGTCGCCCTTGCCGGTCAGGAGAAACAGAAATCGCCGTAGGTGACACCTTGAGCAGACGGAAGGAAGTATCCATTCTGGCGGGATTGAATCTGCAGGCCCAAGGAGTCGGGTGCTTTTGGGATGGTGGGGTGTATGGTGGCCCATACGTACATACCGTCCGTTCACGCCAACTTGCACCAGACTTGCGCAAACCCCATTATACATTTACACCCGGTGCACCACTTCGTAACTAGTTTTACTGCATTCCACCACCCATTACAAGCCATATTGTCCTACTTTTACACTTGCAACTATAGAAACGTTGCAAGTCCCAACCACTCCAGCTCGAAAGGCACTACAATTGCATAAGGCCCTGACTGCTCAACTTGCAAGGCACTGCAATTGCGCAAGGCACTGCGACTGTGCAAGGCACTGCGACTGCGCAAAGCACTACGACTACGCAAGGCACTGCAACTATATAATATACTGCGACTATGCAAGACCCTGACTACTTAACTTGCAAGGCACTACAATTACGCAAGGCACTGCAATTCGCAAGGCACTGCAATTCGCAAGGCACTGCAATTCGCAAGGCACTACAATTCGCAAGGCACTGCAATTCGCAAGTATAACCACCGGGTTAGGGTTGAGTTAGGGTCCTAGGATTAGAGTCCTAGGGTTGAGGTCCTAGGGTTAGGGTAGTTGTAGTACCTTGCAAATCGAGTAGTCAGGGCCTTATACAATTACAGTGCCTTATATAAGGTAGTTATAGTACTTTGCATAGTCGCAGTGCTTTGCGCAGTTATAGTACGTTGCAATTGCAGTACCTTGCATAGTCGCAGTACGTTGCACAATTGTAGTACCTTGCGAATTGC